AATCACTTAAAATGCCATGCGGTGTTTCCTCGGGTACGAACTGGCTCCCAGTGGGCCAGATCCATGGGAAGAAGATGCTATCAATTGGCCAGTGGCCATTTGGCGATTGATGATGGCTATTTGCGAAGATCTAAGAGCAAGGTTTTCTATGCCTAGATGAGGCTTCTTGGCCTATCTGCGCCACGACCTTTGAACCTTGAAGTCCAGAGTGAACTCACCCATAGGGCCGGACACCAAGATAAGCCTCAAGTGCATGACGGTCATCATGTGATTTCTCTCTATCCGTGCAATCGGGCTGTTTGACTAGTAGTTGCGGCCAGAGGGTCGTCACATCCCTGTTTCAGATACAGTGGACCCGCCCGCAACAGATGTTTGATGAATGATCGAACTCACCTAGCCATGGCCGATACGAATCAGAACTACTTCCACAATACACGGCCTTATTTCCGAAACTTGATGAGATGGTGACGCAATGCTATCTGAGGAAAATACAAATTGGAGAAATCAAGACGCGGCGAAGCTTGCAGACCGTGAAACCCGGCTCATGCATCATGGAGTGGTGCCTGTGTTGGAGGCGCAGGCCGCGGCTATTTGTAGATGATACCCTTGAGCGCTGTAAGATATAAGGATATATTCAGGACATTGGCGCGAGCGGATAGGCTAAACTGTTGTGAGTTCCTTTCCAATTTGAATAGAATTGATACGTCCCAACAATGCCAATGGTCCACCCGGTGCCAGTGTGATTGTCAGCGGTGATACTGAGATAGCTGGCGACATAATTTTTGGCCAAAGTAGCAACCACGTTGGGAAAGTCTTCTACGCGTATTTCCGCAACTTCTGTAGGCAGTGGAGGGGGGACACCAGTCTTCTGGATAATCTCCGAGATTCTGATGGCCTGAGTGTCATATTCAACGTGTTAATTGAACAAACCTGAGTGAAAGCTGAAAAGAACTATGTGTCCTTGTCATAGACCTTGCGCAAATTCCGCAGATAAAGTATTTCAAAAGCACTTCAGAGCAAGTGAAAGCATACACCTCAAGCGCGCAGACAAAATGCGTACAAAGTGCACGTGACCGCATAATGACTAAAATGGATCGTTATTTGAATTGTCCTTCCGATCATTGCATGCAACTGAACTTCAAGTTATCAAGTAATCCGTACTAGTGATCTTACCACCAACTGCTTCCCCAGTTCTACTTGTGATGACTTTCGACGAGGTTGTACACTACGTGACCAATACATGAGGCCCGAGTCGGACCCAGTCTACTACAGGCTAGCCTGAACCTGGGCCAGTGCGCGATATCGCTTCTTGTTGTCGCCATTCCACTATTCCGATTCTCCGACAGGCCAAGTAGATTATAAATACCGCTGGTCACACCCGAGAGGCCATGTCTGCGGAAACGAAAGAGATCAATCACGCTCAGTTGCAGAACCCGTTTCTTTATTGTCCTGATAGCAATCAAACGACGCAGGATTAATGAACATGAAAACCTCATGTGATGAACCTGGTAGGCAGGACCTACTTCTCCTAGTGCTGTAGGCCCAGTACAAGAAAAGGGACCACTCCACCAACTCGACAGCCATGAACCAGACCAGGACTTACCTGGTTTCGGCGGTTCCTTCCTTTCCGAGCTCGGCATCACAGATCAGCCTGTCTTTGGACTTGTTGTTGAACGTTGACGGCGCACTTGGAATAGTTACGATGGCGAGGAAGGCAAACGACGTATGTACTGCCTTTGTTCACCATTTTCAAACCGGCTCACGAGTGATCAATGTAGCAGATCTACGTCATGAACCATGATGTCCCACAGTATGATATCAGAGACCCTCTTCAAGCACTGGAGTTTGTGTCTATTCTGCCGTGCGTCATGGCCTGGGCCTCCGCCGTTTGTCAGAGGAGCGGCTTGCCACTATAGATGTGAACCAATTTCAATCAAAGCCGTAGTCCAAGTTGTCCCAACGGCAGGAAGACGAAATATCGGCGACCGCTAAACAAAATTAACGCAAGGGGACACCAATGTTCTCGTTCGCATATAGAATATCACTTAGCCGGTCCAAGTACTGTTTGTCAGCGCTCCATCGCACTCATATTTGTGTCTCATACGGGATTAATAAACTTGCCCGGTCCTCGCTCGCACCCAGATCCAATAATCGTTATCGGGTCTTCGAATTCTGATTCGAACCATTTCTCAAAGCCTAGTCAATTCTCAAATGATGACCACCGTTGCTGATTTCCTCGCGAGCAGCCTGAATCTGAAAATTGATAAAGATAGCTGGTGTATAGATCTCATAAATCAAAATGCGTCTACAAGTAGTCCCACTGGTCTACACGTTCTCGAGTGAAATATATTTTTCGAGCAACTAGAGCTGAGCACTGAGCCCTGCTGCTAGTATGCATGTAGTGTTTAATTTGATTTTCCAACTCGCGGCTGTGCGTTCAAAGTCAAATTCAAATTCAAATTCAAAGCACCTTGAATTCAAATGTAGTTATCCTTCAGGTTGTCCTCCGAATGGACTCTCCGAGTACTTAGGGCCGCATGTGCAGTACTATCTCCATAATATTCATATTCGTTGACGTTGCCCCATCCGGTTTTGTTGTTTAAGCGGTCGCTTATCGATAAGTCGTCATGTCAGATATCGCAGGTCCTGCTGCTACTGCCCTGGCATCGCTATGCCCTGACGACCTAATTTTCCTTCAGGCACTCCCTAAGGCAGAACTTCATGCTCATCTTAATGGATCTATACCAATTAAAACAATATTGGAACTTGCGCAGCAATACTCACCTTCTACCGCCGCACAGACGACTGAGGTCGCAGACACTCTCGAGAAACTCAGGTCTGGAGTCGTCTTCAATGAAATAGATGACTTTTTCTCTCTCATGCCCGCCATCTATGCTCTGACATCGACTCCGGAGGCAGTCACGACCGTTACTCGTGCAGTCCTCCAGTCGTTCTTGAACCCCACAGGTGATGGCGCGGAAAGCCCTCAGTGCACGTACCTTGAACTACGAACTACACCTCGCGCGACGACACACATAACGCGAGAGAGGTACCTTACAATTGTGCTTGATGAAATAGAGATGTATCCTGCTATTCAGGCTGCCCTGATTGTATCCGTCGATCGTCGCATGAGCGACTTGGACCTTGAGGAATGCGTTAGTCTTGCCATCAAGATGAAGAACAGGGGTAGAAGAGTCGTAGGCGTTGATGTATGTGGGGATCCACGCAGGGGCGACATGCAATCTTTCACTCGGCACCTATCAAGAGCCAAGGGTGCCGGTCTTGGATTGACCGTGCACATTGCGGAGGTACCTTGTGATATTCACTCTGGTCAACTCAATGATGACTCGGATGTTCAAATTTGTAGTGCACAGAGAATACAACTGAGGATTCTCTGGCACTCCTTAGTTGTCGCCCGGACCGACTCGGACATGCGACATTCCTTTCAGATGAACTCAAGGCTGTGTTCTTTGAGGATATCTCGCAGTCTGGGACGGAATGCGGCTCGTTGTTTGAATGTGCTGCGGGCACAACAAACCCTTACACGACAGCCGGATGGACATTTCAAATTCTCAAAGTGGGTTATTTTCTACGCTTCATTTCAGATAGCATTGAGTCTGAGGAAGCGAAAATGCAGATGTCTTTCTGGGCCTACGCAAAGAAATTTTATGAGAAACTTGCGTCTAAAGATATCGAAGAGAGTAACGCACGTGCAAACAGACACTACAAGCCGTGCATCGAGATATGCCTAAGCTCAAATCTTCTGTAGGGTCATGCATCGACTCTGCGAGCTCTAATCCAATGTTTCTTTTAGAGGCAAAACCGCCGCATCTCTCGACGCGCATCATATTCACTATTATCTGAAGAATGACCATCCTATTGTCATCTGTGTAAGTACGCTATCTTGCGTGTCATAAAATGTTTCGTCTGACGTTTGACATTACCAATAGACCGACGACACACTCCCTTTCAGAACGTCTTGTCTTGGAGAGTACTCTTTGCTTCTAGCACAGCCTCCGTTAGGCCTGGGCTTGAGTAGAGGTGATGTTGCTAGAGTCGCGCGGATGGGCCTGGATGCTGCATTTTTGAGACCTTGTGATTGAACTAAATTTTTAGTTTCGCCTACGACGTCGATTTGGGTGGGATGGGTCCTGATTCTAGAATACTAGTCGGTCACAGAGCAGGACGGCACATACCCCGACCTGTGAAGAAGAATATTACCTGTACAATACCTGTGAAATGGAAAAGAAATGCCAACGAAGAGATGTCGCAAGATGATACAACTGCACAGTATACGGTTGCCATGAAATAAAATGCAACATAAGATTATTCGTCCTCCCGTCACCTCCAGTGTATGGCCAGTCACATACGTCGCAAGACTCAAGTGGTGAAGCAAGACTGAACATCGGTTAGCTAAAGTACCGAGATAGAGGCTGAAACGCACAGAAGCATGCCTTCGGCCGTCTCATCAGCGGTGGCACCTCTCTGCAAAGGAAACATGTTATTTTTTGAGTGAGTATATAGGTCAACTTCTTTGCGAGTATGAGAGGAGAATCAAAACTTAGCTTGTGAGGCTCGGTATGTAGCCCACGAGTTGCGCATGTCCCGGAGGTGCAGCTGGGGAAACGGGCCAAGCATAACAATCTGGAAGTTGCATGCTTGAGAATCAATACGTCCCAACAACTTAGCTCATTCTTTTCATCAAGTTGAGTTCCTGTCCACGGGCGGCGCCACTCGCTGTCCAATGCCAATGGTGCACCCGGTGCTAGGGTGATTGTCATCGATGATACCGAGACAGCTGACGACAAAACTTAGACATGATGTTTGGCTAAAGCAGCAACCACGGTGGGAAGGTCTTATATACATATTTTCGCCGCCTCTGTAGGTAGTAGAGGGGGGGATACCAAAGTTTTTGTTTCGGCACCATGACTCATCGTGGGAGATCTTCAAGAGAAAGTTGATGGGCCCAAAGTGACAGAAGTATGTAATTGAAAGTCATCATCAATTGCAACGAACTCATCATAAAATTTTCTCATGGTATTCTGGATGACATGTTTCGGACAAGATACCATGGCCAGTGCACAGGCTGTGCCGGTGTGCACATGCAGTACTTTATACGATGCAATACCCTAGCGGCCTCCATGTCAACGGTACCTCAACCTCACCGTGGCCTCCCGGTCCGCCGTCGTTGAATTCGTGGGCTGGCGGAGCACTTACTGTATCATTCCTCTCGACTGGCAGGTCTTTGGTGTACCAGTACTGCAGTTTCAGCTCTCTCAGTGTGTATGTGCTCTTAATCTCACTCCATTTGCACTCAACGCGAGGTCTTTCACAGCGAGATGGGGCAGTGGTCATCTTGTATCACTAACCTGGTGTATCGAGCTGGGTTGCAGCTTTGTCCTGCAGGACATCCTCTTCGATCCTTTTTTCTCGACAGTCTTGCAAACAGCCTTCTAGACAAATTCTGGCACCATGGCGTCATGTTTGACCTTGATGAGGCCATCGACCCTCTTCCTCCGCCCCCCGGTCATTCAAATCGATCCTCGTCTCTGAAAAATCTTGCAATCAGCCTTCACAACAGATTCCGGCAGCGTGGAATCACGTCTGAACTTGATGAGGCCATCGAGTTACATCGGGATGCATTATTCCTCCGTCCCCCTGGTCATTCAGATCGATCCTGGTCTCTGAACTATCTTGCACTCAAGCCTTCGCGACAGATTCCAGCAGCGTGGTATCATGTCTGACCTTGATAAGGCCATCGAGCTGCATCGGGATGCATTACTTCTCCGTCCCTCCGGTCATTCAGGTCGATCCTCATCTCTGAACGATCTTGCACTCAGCCTTCGAGATAGATGCCACCAGTGCGGCGTCCAGTCTGAACTTCATGAAGCATTTAATTTGTATATATGAACTCTCCAACTTATCACATGCAGCATCTCGCTCAGATCTTCGTGTCGCTAAGTCATGGGCGGCTCTCGCTGACACCCTCAATCACGCCTCTGCATTACTTTCCTATAACACTGCACTGAAATTCCTGGACCAGCATGATGCTCTCTTGTCGCCTTCTTCGCATCATTTCGACGTCATCAGGAAGGCTGTATCTTCCCTTGCTACAGATGTTTTTTCATGCAGTGTTCGTCATGTTGCTCTGACGACTGCGGTGGAGCTGGTGGAGCAAGGTCGTGCAGTGTTCTGGACCCAGTTGGCACGCTTCAACACGCCCCTGGATGAACTTTCTGTTTCAGGTGATACAGGTGTGGCCTTGAGTTCAGACGCTTGAGTTTTCGCCTTCGTAATGCGTTCGATCAGTCTAGTACTGAAGACCAGTATCCACAAATCCGGCAACTGACCATGCAATGGGATGACGTGGTTTCACGGATTCGCATGCTTCCCGACTTTTCTCGGTTTCTCTTGCCTCCCCTTTTCTCCGACCTACAGAAGGCAGCTGAAGATGGTCCTGTCATCATTGTCAATGCTAGTCAGTACCACTGCGACGCCTTGATCGTCCTGAGCGATGAATATCCTGTCCACGTTCCGATTGATATCACGCAGACCGAAGTTGCCGATTTGTCTTCCAAGTTCCAGTCCCTTTCAAAAGAATTTGGTTCCCTTGAAACTCAACTCAAGCTTGTCAGCATCCTTCGTAAAATTCGGCATGGCGTCGTTGGCCCTGTAGTACAAGCCCTTAAGATATCAAATATTCGCCATGATTCGCGTATCTGGTGGTGTCCCACTGCTGAGTTCACGCTGCTTCCTCTACATGCAGCAGGTGCTTACGAGAAGAAGAGAGACAGTCTGTCTCACATCTACATATCCTCGTACACCCCCACTTTGGCCACGCTTGTTCGTGCGAGACGGCAGGTTTCACGAGATGGATCCTTGCAACATTTTGCTGTCATTGTTCAAGGAAACGGAGGGAAGCCACTTGAATGTGTAGCTCCCGAGGTAGCCGTTGTCGCCAAGCGTCTCGGACACGTCGTGTCGTCCTTCACGTCGCTCGAGGACAGCGACGCAATAGTCAAGGGTGCATTTGATGCGCTAAAGCGTAACCAGTGGCTTCACCTGGCCTGCCACGGAATGCCTAATCGACGATGACCATTTGAATCTTCCTTCGCAATGCGTGATGGGCCGTTGATCATCAAGGACATCATCCGATCCAACTGGCAGGAGCCGCAGTTTGCATTTCTATCGGCTTGCCACACTACCGTGGGCGATGAGAAGAGTCCCGGTGAATCGAACCATCTCGCTGCTGTGATGCAATCCTCCGGATTTCGCAGTGATTGGTTCCATGTGGTCGGTCGACGATGAGGTCGCACAGGAGGTCGTGTCTGCTTTTTACGACCACCTGATCGATGGTTCAGGGAGACTGGACTGCACGCGCGCTGCAATGGCGTTGCACAAGGCTGTGAAGAAATTGTGGCGCAGTGATATTCCACTGCAACAGCGGATTGTATTTGTTCACATCGGTGTGTAGTTGAAGATCTGATTCGCTATATTATTACATTTGCTGTATTTCTAACTGTTTTCATTCCCTCGCTCTACTGTTGGTTACTTTAATACTTATTTAATGTCAATTTTTTCTACATGATACTTCGTTATTCTGTACTGTACTAGTCGCACACACTAGGATTCCCGCTGAATGAATCCGATTTACTCCTGCATCGTCAAAGTTTCAAGTCATTAAGTACAGTCGTAGGTTACCTGGGAACCACCCTCGTTGCCCCCATCGCGTATAGTATGTCTTATAGACACCAATAAGACACCATTACATTGTACCATGCCGGATCCTCTATGATGACATCAAATATCAAAAATTTCGAGACGACAAAAATACGAGTAAGATACACTATAATCATATACATAGCATGAAATGAGTGTCGTTAGCTGTAGAGAGAATCGTCTAAAGGAATGTCAGTAATAGAAATGGAATGAGTATCATCGCCCGTAGAGAGAAGTTGTGTCAAGAATTAGAGTCAACACTAGAGCACGGAAATAAGGAGCAACGTCAGTAGCAGCAACAGATGCGGGGTAAGGGGGGTATACATATTCAGACGCTGTCCTAGGTCGCGTTCTTGGCAGGCACGATATATCCAGAAACTGACTTGATCATCGCTTGGAGACGGAATTCGTACTTTCCATGCTCAGCAAGGGCCCTGCTAGCAAGCAATGATTTGCATCCCTTCTGATGCCGAGCCAAAGAATCGGTCCTCGACGACAGCTTCTTGCAATATGGGCATCGATAGGACGTAGAGAAGTGGACCCCTTCGATGTGACGGCTCAAATACATCATCGTCCCTGCGTCCGGACAACCCTCGAATCGGCAGGGGCTCGAAGTGGCTCTCTTCGCTTCAACCCCATGCCAAAACCACAGGTGGTCCTCAATACGGATCTTGTCCACCTCTATGAACAGACCAAACAGCTGGTCGGTCCAATCGCATGAACGTACGCAGGTCGACTGTGACGAGTGGTGGTCAGGAACGTTTCCGGATGCATCGGGTCCAGCTCTATAACCCCAAATCTCCTCATTCGTAGAGGAATTTCCGTTGGGATCATGAGTCCTGCGGCTACTGGTGCCAATAGGCTTTGGGTCGTGAACAGCCATGGTCATGATCGTGGCACTAGTATTCGCTAGCGTGTACGGACCAAACTTGCCCGGTCTGTAGTCATCGGCGGCGTTCGGGCGTCTGCGCTTGCGCATTGATGGTGCAACGGACGAACTTAAATCATCCGAGGTCTGGCGGGTTTTACGCTTACGAGGCCTTGTAGATGTTGTCTCGTCGAGAGCAAAGGAAGTTGGCGCCATGTTTGAGCTCCCACTAGATTCCGTCTGCACTGGAGTATATTGACCTTGGGAGAATGTCGCAATGGGGTAATACGCGTTGGACGGACCCGCAATGGTGGAAGGTTGCTGATAAGGGTAGGAGGGAGCAGGATGATATCCATGCTGGGCCAATGCGTGGCCTTGCGGCGGTGCTGGAATGATCGCAGAGGGTTGAGGATGATACGCACCAGGGGGTCCATTGGCATCATGCTCAGGATTGTATTCATGCTGGGACCATACGGTGCTTTGTGGTGCGGCAGAGGGCGAAAGATTTGACGCGTAGGGTCAGTCGCATTTTTATTGTAAACGTGCAAAGACGCTTACCTCGTGTGTCCACTGCGTCGCAAACCAGCGTATCCCTTGCTTTTGATGCGGTAATTTGAAGGGGTGATATAATGAAACCGTCCAAAGCATCATATCACAATACAGTTGATATGCTCATAACGCATACCGTTGGCGGCAAACGACTACATATGTCACACAGGTGTGACGTTTGTGACGTCTGCCAAATTTGTGACACGCAAAGTACAGTATCCTGTCTGGGCTCCAGCTTCATTATCGACATGGTTATTTACTGTGTAACGTGTTTTATAAGGACATGATGCGCACCGTCAGATTTCGATCGGACTCGGACATCCATTTCTGTCAGTGAGCTATTTGCCAGGCCAATGTCAGTCAACTTGGTAAGGATGTCCTGAAGGCCTTCGTTCTTTGTTTTCAGTGTCCCTACTCCCTCAGAGGTAATGACATCATCATAGATCCAGATCATGATATAAATCAACACTACACCACTACACCGTTAAATAAAAGACTTATTAACATATCTACGAGCGGTAGGTAACCTTGTAGACAGACGAATTATGGAAATGGTATTATTAGGTACATTAAACCGACATTCCGCTTCGTAACCGGACATGACTCTCATTCACTGGCGCCTCGATGCTCACATCTGGGGCCTACTCAAGGGGTACTCATCTTGATACGAATCTGCAGACTTGTAATCTTCGTTGAGGGGAAGTACGATGCCTGCAACAGCATAGATGATCACAACGGCGTACTCCATGAGCATGTCCATTACGAGGTAGATTTGCCATTCGCCCGTCAAAATATTGAATTTTGCCAGGTCGCTAGTGTTGGGCTCGGTGGTTCCGGTTATCGAGAACGAATCCGAAGAGAACGTGGACAAGACGCTGTAGAGCGTCCGAATGGCCAGGAATGGAAGTGCGATAGAGATGGCCTTCAAGAGCTAAAGATAAGGCGTAAGAAAATAAGTCGAACAGATGACGGCGTTCCGGAAAGCTCACCTGCTTGCGGTATCTCATGACAAAGCCAACTTGGGTCCATACGTGGACGCAAATGCCGACAAGGATGATGTATAAGGCGCAAAAGAGTATCACACCGGCCCTGCGCATGGTGTTCCCACTCGAGCTTGAACTGGAACTTGTCTCATTGGAGATGCCGGTGATGGTAAGGATGAGAGCGACCATGCCGAGGATCTGAAGAAGGCGAAATTGTCTGTTATATCTCGAAAAGCCATCGGGAGTTTGGAACCTATAATAGTGTTCAGCGCATTCCATCTACGATGACAACTGGATCAACTTACATTGAGTGCAACAGACCCAGCGTACAAAGCAACAGTGGGGATAGGCCAGATGACTCTAGGGCATAGCCGCCGATGTAAAGTGAAATGTTTGCAGGCGTGATATCCTCAGCTGCGACAAGCAAAGCGCCTCCCAATACTCGGACTGAAGGTATAACAGGGTTAAAACTATAACTGCGATAAATTAAACAACTTACTGATGCTAAATACCAACAACAAGACCCAACCATCACCTCGCGACATTCCGTACTTCATCACCAACCTGAGGGAAACGAATAGGAAGGGAATATACATTGCGATGGTCACCGCTGCAAGGATGCCCTGAGTGTCGAGAGCCATTTTTCCTGAGAGACTGGAATTGAGGAAGGAGGAAGAAGAAATTGAATATGGAAAATGATGGGATAGTAGTTGTCAGACTTGTCTGCCTTTTGTATGAAATCATAGCGGAATCAGTTGGACAGCGGGCAGTGGGCGCTGCCTGTGCTGCCTCGTTGTATTCATCTCCAAAAAGGTAAACTTCCTTGGATTTGACAGAAGGCTAGCAGCTGCGAGAGGCTGTGATATCGGAAGCAAGGTTGAAGCGGATGCAGATTCCGAATTTCGTACTGCGCGGAAAGTTGAAGTAATACTGCGCACTGTATTAGTATTGTCGGCCCTTGATCACAGCCGATCATTAGGTTAACCGTGATGTGGCTGGCAGGACAACCAGGTACTATCCCTTCCGAGGTCGACAATGTCACTGTACAGCATGTCACATAATATAACCGGCTTCAAAGTCACTGAGCTCGACCGACGACGCAAGAGCGCGGATTCAACGTTCAGTGCGTACGGTGTTCACTAGTAGACATGTCTATAAGTACGAGGGTGACCATTAGTGCTGTAGGCAACTCGGATGTTGAGACCCGGAGCACGTACATTGTACGTATGTTGTCCGTACGCATGCAAGTTCGATGATCAGAATAGACTGTGATGGAGGCCTAGCTAGATTAGTAGTGCAGAACTGATAGCGAGTGTGCACTGGTTTGAGCAATTGGCGAACGCGTGAGCCAAATAGCTCAAACCAGTGCTTACTAATCGAGGAAGCGCGTTTAGGATTGGCGCGACGGTTACGCGTCCCTTGTTCTTTACCTTCTGACTACTCCTCGCGCTCCCTCGATTATTTTCTCAAGTTGAGAATTCGAATGCAACCATTAGTATAAATTTTCACTATTACACGTATTATCTCGTAGAATGATGGAGTCTTCAAATTCTGGCCCTCCCGCTGGAGCAGGTGGGAAAAATGCGGATGCGTTTAACCCCACGGGGGAATCGGGTCAAATGACTGAAAACGAGGCGGCGCGCCTCGCCAGGTTTATCAGCCAGACGAGTACATCACTTAATGTTAATTTAGACGACCATGAGGCGGTAGTAGAAGAGAATCTTTGGCATTTTGAAAGGAACTCGGCAAAGGCTTGGCTATGAGAAGATCCCAACTATATCGAAGTGCTTTCGGATGATGAAGACCTACTGGAAGAACCAATGTCAGAGCCTTCCACCCCCTTTGCGCAAACCGCAATAGGGCGGAAGATGACAAAGGCTGCGGCCTTTTTGAAGACGCTTACTCCTACAATGAGGAAGATTGTGGAAAGGATTACTGGTGAAGACGTCGAGAAATCAATGCAGGAACCATCATTGTCCTCTTCTGCAGAGGTGAAGATTTTTACCAGCGCTAACACAATCTTGGCTCAAGGCATGGAAGGCCTTTTCGGGATCCCTAGGCCTCTCCTTAACTTGGCCAAGGCCAAGGTTCACATTCCACTCACTTTACTCATGAATGCGGCTTTGTGGAAGATGCATGAAGAGCCTTCCTGTGTCAAGCTGAAGAAAGGCCTGGTCCTTAATGCCCAGTGAGAACCGGACCTCACCGTATTGATGGAAAACGATGGATATATTTACAAATATTGTCAAAGCTACGCAAATCGTGAATTCAGCATATTATCGAGAAAGTTGACATGCGTCATCTCGATCAAAAGAAGCAAACACACAATTTTGTCAATATTGTCTTGCACATTTTTGCAGACATAGGTCAATCAATCAATCGAACACAGCGAAATTCGAATCACTTGTCACTTGTTTGTGTTGTTTTTAACTTGATAAGTGTACGCGACGCGCGTCCTTACTTTCAACTACATACTAGTACGATGGCTTCATCCCAGGTTGATCTGGTCCTGGGCCCGTGTCTCTTCCTGTGCCCTGTGTTTCGCTGATTATCGATTACTCATGACGCGAGCAACTCTCTGGAAGCTTCATCCACTGTGCAAACACAGCAGATACCACTCCTCAAGACCATCTCGATCATGGCAATGACACTGTCGACATGAGCACCGAGGACACAGAAACACCTGTATAAGTAACATGTGCGACCATGGTAAGTCGCCAACTCGTGCTTGGATTATGTTCACAGATACTGATGGTATTGTAGACCTCCTTCCCTGTAATCAAGAACCCTCTGTAAGTCTTCAAAGACCTTGTTCAAACTGGCACTGACTTGGGTACATACAGTGCGAAGCTTGCTGAGTGAAAACGCGAATCTACTGTTCCAAATCCTGCAGTGACCCAGTACATCAAAGAACGGAAGGTATGTCATGTGTCGATCTAGAACACTGTATCAACCTTTGACCTGGAATTTTGGGCTTAGGTCACTCTGCGCACACCGATGGTTGAAGCAGATTGTCGCAAATGGCTCATCAGCCAATTTCAGGATTTACTGGTCTGGCCTGATGAAAGAGAAGCAGCTGGTACGTACTCCTATGCTACATGTTTCACATGATTGATTTATGTCTTGCAGGCTTATGATCCCGACGCGCTGAAGCTGGTAATGAACTCAACTAAATGCGCACTCATCCTGATACAGCTGTTTACATTTTTTTTCTCAGGTCAAGGACAATATATGGAACGGCAATACAGTCAACATCATCAACAAGATCTCTTCCGGCAGCCTATACTAGTTGGCATCCACCATGGGTGCAGCGGTTGACATCAGGTGGGTTGCTGGCGAGGACCAGGTGGACAGACTGCAGCAGGCAGTATAGTTATGTATATTTCATTTTTGCGGTGACATTCATTTGTTCTCGCAATGTATATTAGCGTCATTTTCATGCGATTTCCGTAGTTTCATTGTGCAATACGACTACATTTAAGAATCTACGATAGTCGACGGAAATATCATATGCGAGAATCGGTGTGAAATTGTGAGATCTCTGTCGAACAGCATCGCCAGAAAATCGACTATAAGTCCCATTCTCTACACTCATCTACGGAAATCTTACATCTGTGGCTCATCAATATTTCGGCCATTTTCCGTTGATATGGTGAGGTCCGGTTCTCACTGGGCTTAATGACCCAAAGATGATCGTTATGGATATGACCAGTGGTTTCCCCCCAGAGTCGACACTCACTGCTGACATATTTTTTGAAGTGTCGAGCAATTTCTTGAAGTTGCTGGCTTTGGTCGCAGATGATGACACGGTATTTTGCTTCACAAATCACTGCACGTTCTGCATATCACGGGATGAATTCACCTCTAACTTCTCAGCTGTCCTCAGATTCGATATTGAGACTTGCAGAAGGTTCTTCAACACTTCTGTTTTCCTTGACATGAATGCGTACAAGGAACACTGGAGTGAGGTAAAAATAGATTCGAGGATGGACTGTGAACATGGCAACATCGGGGGGGGGGGTGAGGTACAATCTGTACCCTCCTTGTGGACCAGATGGCCCTTCTGGAACGGGTGCTTCCAATGATGGCAAGCCCTTTTGGAGGGGCAAAGGAGATGGCCAGCCTGACAACCTCCTTTGTGTCATTTGTGGTTGGACCAGACACAAGTCTAGCAGGTGTACCCACACTTAAACAGTCAAAGGAACAGCACCGGTTTGTATGTCACAAGACAACAAAATCATTCTCAAGTCTACAAAGGAGATCGTCTGTATCTCTTTCAACCTCGGATGCTGTCCCTCATGCCATGGCCCCGAAATCCTCCATGTATGCTCACAGTGCGGTAACTCATCACATGGAATCTCTTCCAAATCTTGTTGACGATGTGCTTCACCGCGTTGTCTTACTAGGATGTGATTGGCAATAAATTCACCAGTTCTCACTATCCTCCATGATCAACGGTTCAGACAAATACCAACAGTTGATAATGTGGTCGTTCATGGGGGGGGAGGTGTAAATAGCAAGGTCGTTCTAAACAAACTTCTAATGACTTTGGATGGGTTGAGACAGTAACCGTTAACTGGCTTGATGCAGTGTTTAGGTACTTGAAGATCACTAGTCCGTTAACTGGCTTGATGCAGTACTTAGGATTTCTTGAGATGAAGGTTGTAAATAGTGTAGCTAAATTGATAACTGGTGTGATGCAGTACTAGGATGCTACTAGAAGATGATTGCAAAGATATGCAATATGAAGATGAAATTATGGGTAATATCTTGTAAACACTCCCTATTCTCAAATTTAGAGGAGATCAAACTAAGCCTCTAACACAATAGAATCAACAAAAATATGTGGCTTCAAAACTAACTTCTCTGCTGCTCAGGCACTCACAATGAGTATGACACAGAATCAGAACAGAGTACACCCTCTTGATGTAGTCTTAAAGCAGCCAAGCTCTTAATATTGTTGAATAAAGTGCTAGTCTTATTTATCGTCCTCCTAATTGTTTAAAAATATGCAAATATTCACTCAGATGTTCACACAAGTATGAGGTGAGAAATTCAGGAAGATACTCAAATCCTCCTCCCTCTCTCTTAAAGGGGGATTGTCTGTCCTCTCAAAGGAAAATTGATTTCAAAAGGGAGATTGTCATTATTCAGAGGGGAAATAGAGCCCCTTATATACTATTCTAAATGTGGCTGCATAACTATCTAAATAAGGAAATATGACTCATACTGATTCATACAGAGTCATATGAAGATGACTCATTGTGACTCAGATGGCAAAATGACTCATCATGACTCAAACTAAGTCATATCTCAAATATTCTCAAATATCAACTTTCTCCATTCAATTTCCTGACTAATCCATCTCATCTTACTAATTCATTTCATCTGACTAAGCCATTGATCACCTATGAACTATTGATACATTGAAATGTTATATTGAATATGTTTCAGAACATGCAAAAGACATGTGAAGAGTGTGTAAGGAAAAATGCTGAGTAATGTATTATGATATGTTTGGACCTTATCTTTGAATAGGATAAGTGCCAATTTGAACTTGTTATGAAGTATTATAGGTTTGTTAAGTCCGAAACTTCTCAAATCAATTCTTAATGTGTTGTAGAATTTTCTTAGAATTTTTATCGGGTAAAGTGAGGAACAATAAGGCTCAAAAGTAGCTATGACCATGCACAAAACAAAGTTGATGCGTGTCATCATCATCACCCTTTACATCGCAGACGCTTATGATTCCTTCTTGTCTAAGTTTCACCTTACTGATAAATACCCAGATCTCACTTTCAACTTGCGCCACAGCTTCCCAATTGGGGACATCCCCCCCCCTCACGCAGACATACACTCCAAAAAACCACAAATCTGTGGTAGAAAAACCTGACATTATTAGAGACTATTGCAACGAGGAGGTGAAACTCAGGCGCATGTCTGGACCCTTTTCCAAAGAAGAGGTAGGGCGCCTACTTGGGGGTCACTTTGCCACTTCTCCGCTCGGCCTGGTAGAGAAGTCGGGGAACCGGGGAAGTACCACATAGTGCGAGACTTATCCTTTGTGAATGAGGACAGTTATGCTGTTAATAGTTGGCTTGACACAGATAATTTCCCAACTGAATGGGGAACTGCAGCACAGGTTGCAGAAATAGTAAGTCCCTTTTACCTTGTCAAAGCTCGCACGATGGTGGAGCTCAGCGACGTGATGGTGTGCGCTATGTTGTGTGTAGTCACACTTGTCTTTCACGCGACGGCACATGATATTGTTTGGTGATGTGAGTGCATCAGCCATTTGGGTGTTTCACATGGTGTCATGGACCCCTCCCCGAGTGCATATTTATGCATACATACATTGAGTGCTCACGTTGACACTTCACCTTTGGCAGGTCGCATCAGCTCCTCCAGGGACAGAGGCAGCAACTCTGGACATCGAGGCAGCATACAGGACCATACCTGTATGGCCCCACACAAGTGTTTCCTAGTAGTCGTGGTCGATGACGATTTGTTCATTGACCATGTTTTCCTGTTTGGTTTGACGACAGCAGGAGGTGTACAAGGAAATGTCGCAGACACTGCTGTCGACATTCTACACAACCTGGAGCTCGGATCCATTAAAAATGAGTCGATGATCATACATTCTTTCGATTCACGACTGGAGGGGGGGAGCTGCTCCTGGATGGATCCTGGTCACCTTTCCTCTATGCACACAGTCTGAAAGAGGTGTATGAGCACTCACACCTGCTTGGCGTACCATGGCACCCTTTGAAATGGTGCAATTTTGCAGTGGCTTTTATATACCTTGGTTTCCTGTGGAACCTCGTCAATCATATGGTGGAACTCCCAGACCGAAAACATGAGAAATATGTCAGAAAACTTGCGCTCATCATGGAACTCGTTGACAATGGTAACCAGCTCTCATGTATGGATGCGTTGAGCAACAACAGGACACTGTCGCATGTGTCTTTCATGATCCCTCATGGGCGAGCATACTTGGCTAACCTGTCGAGCTTTATCGCTCAATTTCACACATACTCAAAGTCGCATGTGCAATTTGCAGCTAGACACCCCCTGTCATCTGTCAAGAATGATCTTAGATGGTGGCTCAACACACTATCACAAAAACACTCTCCCGCAATCTATCGCCAAGAGGAGCAACACAGGATGTGGATCTGTGGGTCGACGCATCCACAGACTGGGGCATAGGTCTCATTCTCAGAAAGTTTTGGAATGCGTGATCGTTGTGCGAAGGATGGAAAGGGAGTGGTAGAGATATTGGATGGCTTGAAGCAGTCGCTGTAGAATTGGCTGTTCGCACTCTGTCTGACAGGGGCTGGAAGGACACATCAGTGATCATTCACTCAGACAACCAAGGAGTAATAGGTGCCTTTCGAAGAGGAAGAAGTAGGAACTTTCAAGTCAACTTATGCATTCACAGGGTGGAAGCCATTGTGATGGCTTCAAACATTTTTCTTGTGCTTTCATATGTTGAGTCTGCCCACAACCGGGCTGATGCAGTCTCTCACGGTGAGACTGGATCACCCGCATTTTGTCTCAGCCATGTTCAGCTCCCAGAGGAGCTTACACCATACCTCGTGTCATATGTCCAGTGACAGTACTTCTGTGGCATCGGCTACAGCCAACGCCGTGGCAGCTTTGGCTCGGCTTAGGGAGGCACTGGCTCTTCCTCCCTCAGTCAGAGTACTGGTCACTGTTGCTCACAAAATGATAAAGCTGAGAAAACCAAAAGCAGGAAACGAGATCGCTTCATCTTCCTTGCGCCCTAATGTTCTTGCATGCAACCGTCTCTGCAGATGGGTCGCTCCACACTCAGATATTTTTCACAACTCAATTCTTGAAGAACTCCCATTAGCAGATGTCTTGAAGCTTTTTGACGTTATGCTTGTCTCTGTTGAAGTCAAAACACAAGAAAACTACGGCACAGGCTGTTTGCGCTTCCATCAATATTGTGATTCACACTCGATACCAGAAAAGAACAGAATGCCTGCATCAGACCATCTTCTTGCATCTTTTGTCACCTCTTTGGCCAGGAAAGTTGCGGCCACAACAGTGCAGAACTGGCTGGCAGGTCTGCACTTCTGGCACAACCTTCACGGTGCGCCATGGTTTGGACATACATAGTATACTCCGTTCAGTGACCGCCGGCCTCACTAAAGTTGTTCCAGCCTCGTCAAAACATCCCTGATGGCCACCCATCACGCTTGAATACATGCATGCACTTTTCTGTGGACTTGATCTTTCGAACAAATTTGATACGGCTGCCTTCACGGTCGCATGCATTGCATTTTGGTGCTGTTGCAGGTATGAACCTGATACACGGTTTTGGATTGTTACTTACAGATAGTAGACTGGGTGAACTAGTCTTTGATTCTCTTAACTCCTTCGACACAATTAAACATGTGTCCCGCTCGACAACCATTCGTCACCGTACACTGCCAAATCAGATCCCGTTTACAGTCTTCCACATTCCATGGATGAAGACTATGCATGGAGAGGGCACAGATATTGTAGCATCGAAGATTGATGATCTCACGAATCCTGTAACAGCGCTCAACCATCACCTCTCAGCAAACTCAAACATACTGGCCACAGCACGTATGAAACGGCCAAAGGAGGATGGATGCCGATGACAAGGCCATGGTTCCTCACGCATTGCAACCAGATATGGAGGAGTGCTGGCTTGTTAGAATTGACGGGGCACTGTTTCCACATTGGCAGCACATCAGAGCTGTTGCTGCGAGGCATCCCACCAGATGTGGTGGCAATGCAAGGACATTGGAAGTCGCATGCATTCTTGGACTATTGGCATAAGATAGAGTCTATTTTACCACTTTTTGTCACATCGTCATTTTCAGACACTCGCATATTGTTAGTACACTCATCGATGGACTTGTATGCTTGTCATGACAAATAGCTGTAATAACATATCAGTTTTTTCTTGTAACACAGTGTTTTTATTCGTCGCAATACCAGTAATAAGGGGGAGTCGTGGGTGCCGGGTCACGACTGGGTTGTGAGTGTATTGCTCAGGGTGGGTAGCATTGTGCACCCAGGTTTTTGTTTATCCCAAAGCTACCTCACACTCGAGGTTTCAGGTCTTCAGTTCTGATTGTCCCTGTCTCAGTCTTTATCTTGCTCGAAGCACATATCTCATTCTCGGGATTCAATTTTGATGCTAGTGTCTGATTCTGCAGATCATGTGACTTGATTGCATGCACATCACGTGACACGTGTACTTGCAGGCCGTTAAGAGTCAAAACCATCCTCCCTGAGATCTAGCACTTACTGAGCCAAACACAGACACACACTTCATCAAAGCTAAAAATAAGACCAAACCCCCCCGCAACTGATGTAGAAGCATGTCATCTCGAGCTAAAAATCTATGTGTGCACATCACACAATTTTGTCGCACTCTTGTGTGCGACCTGCTCGCAAAATAATAGATTATGTAAGACATTTGTCATCTATTATTTGCGAGCCATTCCACCTCCTACAGCGAACGAAGTACATAGTAAGCATCATTGGGGCGGCAAAAACTTGATGCATTATAAGACATATGCATGACTACATATGTCACACAGGTGTGACCTTTGTGATGTCTGCCAAATTTGTGACACAAAAAGTACAGTATCCACAATGCCTATGTGTATTATGCTTTGAAATAACAAAGATTTCTATAGAAGTCTACTTGGCATTCAGTAGCTCCTCTCGCTGACCTGCACCAAACCGGTTCAGTGCATGGACGACCAATACTCTCTCATGAGTCATATACCCTGAAATACCACTATGAAACCCTTTTCCCTTTTATCTGAAGTTGGACTGAGGCTAAGGGAATATTTTTTGCTTTTCTTTTTATTTTTCAAGTCTATATGCCAGCAGCCTGAATATTTTAGTACATTTAATTCTGCGATGAGTTTTGCTTAGTCAGCCATGGTGATGACTCAGACAAAATCCCACACATGTCAGGTGACTGTGAAAAATATTTCCCACATATGTTGTCCTGGAAAAACATTAGTAAACCCCTAAATACTAGGCTCGCGTCATTCTCACCCTTCAAACAAAGCAAAGCAAAGACAGCCACACACAGGATTCATATCATGTGACACTTCTTACTCTCTTTCTGGATTTGTCATCAGGGGTTGGACAGGTCACATGACTTAGCAAAATACCCAATGACTCACTATGACTCCCTCTGAATATATGACTCACTATGACTCACTCTAAAATACTTACTATGACTCACTATGACTCACCTTGCACATATGACTCATTATGACTCTTAATGACTCTTGAATACACTAGTAGCACAGCCACATTTATTGTGTATATAATGACCCCAGTTTTTGAAATAATAAGAAGCAGATACCAGCAGGTAGTAGGGTGTTTCTCAGCCCAACTAACACTAAGTTGTGAAGTAAGGTGTGATAAGTGTCAGTACCAGTGTCAAGAACTGTTTCAAGACTGAGAGGAACACTCTCAAGAGACAGTAATACTGCAAGCCCATCATACTGAACGACCCGCTGTGAGCTCACTGTGTGCAACAACCAGCAAGCAAGGTACAGCCACACTTTTATTCTGATTTCTATTATTCTTTTTCTTTTCTTTTACTTTCACTGACCTTTGGTGTTCTTTGTCCATAAATACTGATCCAAAATATTCGTGTTGTCTCTACGTCCACCTAAGACTCAGTAGTAGCATAGTGGGGAGACTTTAGGAATTGATAGTGAAGCTTGACCTCACTCATCTGAGTAGTGATACTGAGCCAAGATATTCTGTGCCTGCTAGGCTTTAGCCATTGAAGAGGGGACTTGGTAGTAAACCCAAGGACGTCCGTTCCTGAGTCTGTTTGAATACTCAAAGAAGAGTTCCTTGACAGCAGGTTCAATATCGAGCTAAGAGTTCTACAATAAAGCATTTGACTAGTCTTGACCTTTGATTCTACCTGTTTTGTGCTGAGGGAGTTTATCATTGTAATTCTGCACCATTTCTTTTGGAGTATAGTTGGCACGAGGCACTGTTGTTGAAAGGGAACTTGAGGAAGAAACCCGTATATTCTTTTGGTCATCGCCATACTGTCGGGCTGACCATTGTTTGTTTGTTTTCCTGTCAAGTCCAAAGATTGGATTGACCATCGTATTACTGATCTTGCAGAAGTATCCTTAGCTGAACATACCTTGGGTAGTATACAACTAGCCACCCACGAACGACCACATTATCAGTCATTGGTATTTGTCTGAATCGCTGACCGTGGAGATATTTGTTTTATAGGTGTTTATCTATAGATCATCTATCTAAGAAGACATCGCCATAACTGAGCACGAAAAATGTGGAGTTGTGATGACAAATTAAGGGAAACCTGTGGATCACAATGTTGCATGCATGTAGTTTCAAGCTGCTGACACAGTTTGAAAACTTCTGCATGCGTGAATGATGGCCCATCGTCTTCTGCTTCTTTGCAGGTCAAGTGTATGCGGCAGGCTTGTCGCATGGCTTCCATTTCAAGTTTAAGGACATTTTTATGAGTCAGGACATCAATTCATTCCACACTTACATAGCTGAGCAGGACAATGCTTGTAGAACAATGGTTCGGGCGCTACTTACTATGTCTCGTTGCGCTAGTTACGACCCTCTGATAATGCATTATTCCTTATGCAATATGTCTGCATTTTTGGTCCGCCCATGCTGGGATCCTCAAAAGTTCGTGCATTATGACATATATGCATGATGACGATATGCAGTATGAGCATATCAACTGTACTTTTGAGATGGAAACCATGGTTTCGACCTAGCGCTTGCATGAAGGTTCCACAAGCTAACTGGTAATGGGACAGAGAGAACACAGCCTGTAATAGTTCCATATGACGCAAGATGAAGGAATTATTCTATATGCTAGATGGTCCGTCAATAGTTATACAGCATACCCTGAGGAAAATCATGATACATGAGTTAGATGACATATCGGTTTGAAATACTAGACGATACACGCTTACAGTAAATTTTCAGGGTTGCACACATCATGTGTGGGTTGTATTTTTATTAGATTTCGCCATAGCCCTCAACTAGTTGTGCCAGACCAGTGCAGAGTTCAGAAGACAAGGGCAAGCGTTGATTTGGTCTGTTGTGCAAAGGCTTTGAGGAGTTTCCTTATTCAGAAGCTTTCCACCTTGCAAAACTTAGACCTGCCTCTATAATGAAGTCGTGCTTTGTCACAAAGCAATAGGGGAGCTCAAAGTTGAACACCCAATGCTCAAGCCCAACACCTAACGCCCAACCTCGTGACCTATCTAGAATAAATAGAAATAAATACAATGCAAACCACACGCAAACCCTAATAAACCCTACGCAATACATCATCACCCTTAATTTAGAGCAAAAAATCATGTGAGGGTAAAATACTAGCTTACATTGGGAGCCAATGCAGCTTCTTTGATGGTCTTGTAGATCTTATTTGTGACACCCTGCAAAGCTGCCTGAATCCACTGCTCATATGCAGGATCATGTGATGCTCGTGAATCGTGATTTACCTTTCGAGCGGCTATCTCCGAGTCTGACAAGTCGTCACAGCCAGTCGTAGTATCTATTTAAAGCTCCGCCATGGCAACGTTCGGCTGGCTGTCACCAGCATGAGTCTTGCGTGACTTTGGCTGCTTTCAAAGAACTTCACCATTTCTTCATAAAAATCAGTCGTTCACATGTTAGAAATATTGATTGAGATTTTAAATTATGTGTGGAAGTAAGAATTGAGATATTTAGGTCGTGACGACTTGTGGAAGTGATGACTCAGCCGGGAAGGATAGTAGCGCGCGGACGATGATGTAATGTGTAGGGTTTATTACACCTGAGGCAGGACGGAATCTGTCTGAAGCACAGATTGGTATCATATCCGCAGAAATATTTTGCATTGGTGATAGGATCTGTACTGCAGTAGTATTGGATATCAAATTTTACATATGTTCGTGATATGACATATAGCCAAATTGGGGGGACAATATCCTAAATCTGATGACATCACATATCTAAACTTTGAAATAAAATCTGTTTTGCTCTAAGATACGTGTCATATATAGAATTTAAGTATGAATATGGTGGCTGATCAATTTTAATTACAAATTTTAAATATGAACCCTATACATATTTGGTATAACAATTTCTTATTGGTCAGTCATCGAACAAATTCAGAATAATACAAACCAGATCTGCACATACAAAATATTATTGTCATAATTTCAATATGAGCATGGATCTGGTGCACAAACAAAGCCTTCCTTTCAAATTCTCAATATTGTGGTCTATATATTCTTCATTTGGAGATAAATCTGGTAGGGAATCAATTTCAACCACAATTTTTACATTTGTGCTCTATTTGTTTAGGTTCAACATCGAACAATAGATGTAAAATATTTTACAAATATGTTCCGCATATTAGCCTCCAGCCAATCCGGCAATGTCTCTGGTGTTAGGGTTTGCGTGTGGTTTGCGTTGTATTTATTTCTATTTATTCTAGATAGGTCACGAGGTTGGGCGTTGGGCGTTCAACTTTGAGCTCCCCTAATAATTAAATGGTTCAAACTCAGTTGAACTCTGCCGCGCTTGCCGATGGGCCTCAGGCTCTGTCCAAATCCCTGACTTTCTGCATCCCCTGAGGTACGTAGCCACATTTGTGAATGCGAAGGTATTTAAGTGCTGCAATAACAGTTTCAGTCTTGTTCTTGTGCAACCTCGAGAATTTCTCCCCTGTTTCGCAGCGATGGCTACCACTCATACACCACAATCACAGAAGTCTCAGGTACCACCGCCAGATACACCCCTAGTCCCTCGCCACACCGTACAATTTGACTATCCCACGGGGGATCTGGAGCTAGGTCGCGAGGGTGTTCTTACTGACTTGAGAAGGTATCTGCAGGTCCCATTCGTATCCCTAGCGAAGTATGTTGGTGCCGTGCCTTCTCAGCAGCTTCTGGAGGAGATGCGCGATCACTTAATCCGGAGCGAGATTCTCACCAACGACGGCCTGGAATGGAAGGACTTTCGACCCACGAAAATGTCCGAAGAGATGACGTTCAAGCTCGAGGGAATCATCTCTGGAATCTTGGAACAAGTCCCGAATTGTGCAGTATCCTACCTATCGAATCCGAAGAAAATGTCCCTCTCAGAGCGTCATAATACTTCCCTGCCGGATGGATACCTTGTGCGGGCAAACAATCGAGCTGCACCCAGGATGCATTGGTTCGATATCGCTGTGCCATTCGAATTCAAGAAGGAACAGGATGCCAAAGCTCTCCGAGACGTAAGTTGTTGTCACAGATCTCTTCGGCGCCGGCTTATCAACTCTGCTCTAGAACGAACACATTGCACAAGATAATCTGGAGCCTTCACAACATCATGCGCGAGGACCCCTGTCGTTGGTTTGCCTTCGGTATCACAATCGAGGACACGCAATTGAGACTGTGGCTCGGCAATCGTGGATTTCTCGCAGTTACAGAGCCTATCAACTGCTTCGAGGTACGCCACCTTATCGTGCTGTATGTAAGGGTACTAACTGGTATAATACATCTAGGACATTGATCGTGTCATCCCTCTCTTTCATGCTCTTGGATTTGCGTCTGCGTCTACCTCATTGAAAGGGCTCGGATGGGACCCCACTGTCGAACGGATCCGTGTAGAAGAAAAAACGCAATACAAGTTCACAATAGGGGACGAAGTGTTCACCACGACACGGGAACTTGCCACCTACGGCGCGGACTCTATGGTTGGGCGTGGAACTCGCGTGTACGAAGCCACGGACGCTAAAGGGAAGACGGTTGCCATCAAAGATTCGTGGAGAGAAATGGACCGTCAATTTGAGGGCGAGATCGTAGAAAAAATCTTGGCCTCCTGCGAGAAGAAGCTGGGAGCGGAGGATTTCGCTGATGCCAAGAAACACTTCATTGGAGTCCGGCTGTGGAAGGATGTCACAATCGACGGTGCCTCGGATGAGACGGTGAACCCGATGGCCGGAGATGAGCATAACGACACCTGGAAGCGGGAACCCATCGAACCCAAGCCCATCCTCTCCGAAAGGACGCATTTACCTACTACGGGTGACGTGCCCGACAGTGGTAAACTTTCTGCCTTCCTTCCTGCACAATTAGGCATTGTTAGGGGAAAGGACTGCAGAATCCCACAGAGAGTCCACGCGCTCATCGTTTTTGATGATGTTGGAGTCGCTATCAAGGATGTGATCTCTCTAGCCGACAATCTGAGTTGCTTGTCTGGCGGACTGAAGGGTGAAGCAACTATTTCTATTCTCCTTACCTCAATCGCTCATGCCACCCTTAGCCCTATCTTATTTGCATAAAGCAGGCTGGGTCCATCGCGATTTCAGCGTCGGGAACGTGAGTTGGGTCGTCGGTGACAACGGGGGTATCGGCAAACTGGGTGACTTCGAGTACGCGAAAGAGATAGATATTCCTCACGATGACGTTCGGTAAGAATTTCTGAAGATACCTCTCGTTGCTAACTCGTTGGCAGGGAACAATGCATTTCATGGCGATAGAAGTAGAATATCAGGAGTACTTTTTCCTCCCTCGAGCTTCCCTTCCACCTGCTTCATCTCTTGACGCAGACTTCCCGCTCCTCCCTCCATTCCACATGAACTTCCTGCATGACATCGAATCTGTATGGTGGGCATATACGTGGATCTTCTTTTATCACACGGACACGATCACGGCGAACTCCAACAATTCCTTTGATGTGCATGCGCAGTGGAGACAATTCCAGCTGGCGTTCCCTGGTGCGATTTTTCAGGGAACACGCCTGAACTTCTTCACTCAAATCCGAGGACTTCAGTGGACCTGCAAATCTATCCTTTCAGATAGATGCTCTGATGTTTGCAAAAATATTCCTCATTTCGCAGACTCTTCAAGACAGTTATGAAACGGCAGAGTCTAAATACCCCTTGCTTGCGCTTGATGACTCCCTTCTGGAAGATATGCATAGAAAAGCCGCAGGATATCTCGATGATGCGCAACCGAGTGCTGGTGATATCAAACTTGGTCCGCTCCCTGAGCTCCTCGAGCAGAAGAGGCCCCGAGAGGAAGGTGAACCGTCAGATAATGCAGGGAAGAGGATCCGACACGGTTGATTTTTTTATTGATTGTATGATAAAGACGAGAAGATGCTAGCCGAATATCTCACAGCTGTCGTGCTTGCCAATAATAACGATTCTTGTAGCTCAATCTTATTTGTCGTTTGGAGTGAGTTATCTAGCGCTCACCACTCAGTACTCAGTACTCAATATCAATGCCGCTTTGACAACTGCACCACCTACATCCGCCACGTCAACGTCAACCACCCACCCTGCGCAGTCATCATTGAACGCAGCTGGTCAATCTGCGAGTTATGTCTCGTTAGGCTCTATTGTCGCGACCATAATTTCGGCGTCGAGTAGTCCTGCTGGCCAGTCTCGAGTACAACGTCGATTTAGATGGGATGGAGATGGAGTCCCGACTCTAGAATACTGGTCGTGCCACAGAGCAGGACAGCACATAATCCGATCTGCGAAGAAAATAGTTGTGCGACACTTCTGAAATGGAACATGTACCACCCAACTTATACTCTCAATTTCTAGAGTACTTGGCTCTACCAGGTGAGATTGCCGGTGGACCTATCACTTCCCTTGATGTGCTCATCAGTACAAGAAACGAGAACGAGACGTTCAGTGGATAATCGTTCGCCTTGTGAATTGTCTGAAGTTTCGATGAAGTCCTACTAGCAATGAAGGAACGTCGGAAAATAATACAACTGCACAGCATATGGTTGCTATGAAATAGAACGCGACATCAGATTCCTCGCCCGCCTGTCACCTCCAGCGTATGGCCAGACACGTACGACGCAAGCGGTGAAGCAAGGCTGAACAGACCATCAGTTAGCTAGGGTACCAAGATAGAGACTGAAACGCACAAAAGCATGCCTGCGGCCGCCTCGTCAGCAGTGGCACCTCTCTGCAGAGGAATATCCACGAAAGCATTAGTGTTCTGAGCAGCAGCGCGCTGCCTTGCTCCGGGAATGCCCAGTGCAACCTTCTGACCGTCAATCTCAATGGTTGCACCGTCCTCTTTTGCTGCGGTCAACCTGCATCCTGTCAGGTACAATAACGTGAAAGTTTGACATGTCATACCGAGTGTGCACGAGGCCAAATGCAATGGTATTCGCACGAACACCAAATGGTCCCCACTCCTTTGCAATAGTCTTGGTGAGACCTACAACCGCAGATTTGGCAGCAGCGTAATTTGCTTGGCCAACATTTCCATGCAGACCGGACGTCGAAGAAACATTGATGATGGAACGGTTTTCAGGCGTATTGCTCTAGGAGCTTGTCATTACACGGAAATAACTAGATTAAGTGAACTTGAACGAACCTTGACTCGGAAATAAGGTGCAGCAGCACGAATAAGGCGGAAGGGTGCGCGGACGTGGATTTTCATGATAACGTCGTATGTCTCGTCTGGCATGGTGTGAATCATCTTGTCGTATGTGAAAGCCAGCTATACACATGTCAGAACAGAAGGCACTTCATAACAACTCGAAAGCGTTGACCAGTTGTTCACGATGTGATTGATCTTGCCATACTGCCTAGAATGCAGTCAGAAACGAGGCTGCCTACTCGTATGGCGAAACGGCACTGACTTTACAGTTGCGTCCACGATTGTCTGTGGAAGTCGTCTGCTCCAACATCTCCTGCAACGTATATTGCGTCGCCACCTGCTGCCTTGATCTCGTTCACTACGTCCGCAGCCTTCTTGGCGTCAATACTAAGCAGAATAACCAGTTAGACTTTGTAGGTCTAAAATGCATTCGGAACTCACTCGCTGACTACAACCTTGGCACCTTCCTTTGCGAACAGCAGCGCTGCGCTGCGCCCGATACCCTACAAATTCATATATTCATCAATATTATCCCCCTCTCAAACACAAAACTCCTTGCCTGTCCGCTACCTAACCATACGTGGCAACATTAGACAGTGTCTAGCATGACAAGCACCGTGTGACACAAACTCACCAGTAATGATAGCTACCTCTCCAGAGAGAAGCCCTCGTCCATGTGCATTGCTAAGGTGACCGGACACCTGTGCGAGACGGTTTGCCATAAGTATATACTCGTCGGTGAGTGTGCTACGTCAACAATTGTTCAAAGTCACGAACAGACTCATTCGAGCTTCTTATCAGAATTCGGCTCGGCTATAGTCATTCCCGAAGCCAATAACTCGTGAAATCCGCGTTTGCATAATGCACCAACGTTCATTCACGTTCGCGAGAGTTTGAAGCCCGAGTTCATCACCGACGTTGTGGTGTTTTACATAGAATCGTAGTGCAGATTTCACATGTCCTGACTCCTGCAGTTGCTGGAACACGCTAGTCTAAATTATCGTCAGCAACTTGACTCAAGATTAGTATGACCCGAAGAAACACCTGGTCATGGTGTAATCACTGGAAGCACACTGGAGTACGGACAAGATGCGAGGTCAGCGAGCCTGATTGCCCCGAATCATAATCCATGTCGACGTCAACTTGAAGGTTCTAAGTTACAACTGTGTAGAGAGCCGCGTAAATCAGTAGCATAACAATACACATCCACCGTAGTAAACGACTTGCACAACACTTCCGTACAATACTCGAGCTAAATATCTGCTATTACGTGCGTATATCATGCGTGCGCAAGTGTACAACATCGTACACGCATCGAAACATGGGTTTGGATACCTTGCACTGATATTAACAATATCATGGCTAATCTGAGTCCCCCCGTCGTCTCCGTTTAGACGGGCGTTGCTGAGCAATCGTGGATGCAGACACAGAAGTCTTGGCTGAACTAGGATTGACCGCTCCTCTTTGCGCGTGTCTCGCAGCTCTTGCAGAAGACCCATTGACAAGACCAGTGAAGAGGGCATCTGCATCGGCCTCAGCATCCCACATCCCATCCATCTCCACATTAGCAAGTCTGCCAAGATGACGCTCTGCCTTTAACAACAAAGCCTCTCGCTCCTCTTCCGTCTCAGCATCTACGCGCAGGGCTCTCAGAGTTCGTGCGACATACTGACAGGCAGTGTACTTTCGCATGCTATTCTCATGTTCTGAGGCTGGCGTTGCGCGAGGAGTAGGGAGATGAATGACTTCGTCAAGTTCCTCGCGGATGTCCTCGAGTTGCTCGTCTCGTCGTTTGAGGTTACGTTGGAGCCTTGCGACTTCCTTCTCCTGTGCTTCCAAGGCAGACCTTAGTCGTGCAATCTCCTCTTCAGCGCGATCCAATTCGCTTGCGAAAACAACCGGAATCTCGTCGAATTCCTCATCGATTCCAGCATCGATTCCAGCAAGTGTAACAACTGTGGGTGCTGGATTACCATTTTGAAACACCGGTGGTTGGAGCTGAACCTCTCTGACGGATGAGTTATTCATATCAGGTGATGACAGGCGCTCTGCTACAGAAGAGGGTGGTGAACTAAGAATGCTGAGCGCCCGTCCGCCAGGTGATACATCCTGGAAGGTGACATGGGAGTCTTGGGAATGATGAATGGGAGTTCCAGGTGTTGGATCGGGCTCCACCAGGTGGGTTCTTTGTTCATGTACACCCCGGCCGGTAAAAGATCGAAGTTTGACTGTTAAGCCAGTAGGAGCGGTCTGGGGTAGTTGCGGTGTATTTTGAACGGTGGAAGGATAGGCCGGAGAAAGAGGTTCGAGATTAGGGGCAGGGGCAGAAATAATGTGCGAGGGAGCCGGTTCTTGATCATTCTTGGCTCGCGAACCTCTAGGTGCGGACTTGAGTGAAATACGACGAAGGTTTTTTTCGCTGGTACTTCCTCCACAGTTTGCCACAAACCGGCAGTTTCGAAGAAGAGGCGTCCGCCTGCTGTACGAGCCCTTTGACCTGTTCAACCGTCAGCTGAAGCACTTCAGCCGACTTTTCAATTTGGAACTGGCGTTTTAGTGGACACGGTTTGGCCCTTGAACGTGCACATGGCATACAACGCAATGAACCCTGTTGCGGTGAAGGGTAGCACTTGCGTGATTGTGACACGCACGCTGCACACTGCGCAATAAGAAAATTCATGAGCTGTGAGCCGAGGACACAAGTTCTTAGGAGAGCGTACCGCAGGCTGTCTTTCGACCCATTCCACGATGACATGCACCGGCCATATCATTTGCCATGCCTCGCGAAGTTTTGCCATCAGCTCCGGGTTATCCGTGACTGTATCTGTCTTATCCTCTAATAGTTCATCAACTTCCCGTTCCTCGTCTCCCGCTACATCCATGTTTTCGTTTTCATGATGATACCTGCTACTTCGTGTCGCAGTTTTGGGCATGAGAAAAATGTCTGATAGTGATCAGTGTCAATGTGGAATATGTGCAAGGGAAGGTTTTTGTCACGTGTACATTTTTGGTTGCATCTCGGATTCTCGGTTAACTCTGTACCGCCATTTAATATTCAAGTTCTCAAGTGACTAGTCTTTGGTTGACGCCATAGCGTTCGTGTAATGAGGGTATTTGAGAAAGCAAATATATTTTGGGACGGGACTACAAAGTGCAGAGTGCGAGAACTTAAGAGAATGGCGCTATTTGTCCCCGATCAAAAGAGAGGAAGTGAGCTGCGAAGGTGGGCGGCCAGCAAGTTCGGATGAATTCTGAATGGGAGATTATGCTGATAGAGCCCACAGGAGCGGTTTGGCACATTAATGTGAAGCACCGTCATGAAATATGGTAGAGTGGTAGTGAACTGGGAGCGGGTGGGGATAAGAAGCTAGACGACAGATACATCGAAGAGCACTCGGAGGAGCGGGAACAAGAAACGCCGGCTTCTTCCACTCGTTCAAAGACCGATATTAAGTTCGAGAGAATCCTACAATCCAGCCTCTCTCGGCATTCAAGTGACGGCGACTGGGAAGACTTTCATTAATTTCACAGTAGCTGGCTCTGGCACGCATATTGCTCTACACCGGTTGAACTTCGAGTCATCCTGGCAGGCGCTTAGGCTCACTACTCTTATCTTTCGACGGACAGCGCGCAGTGAGGTCATGCTGCTGCATAAGGCATTTCCTCGCGGAGAGCGGTGTTGTCGGACACGAATACTCTCTTGGAACAGGCCACGAATGTACCATGGATTACGACTCTGCGTGTACGACCCCATAGCCTCATACTCAGGCTACTCCAGCGCAGTGACCGCCATGGGGCTTCATATCGGCAAACTAAGCCAATCCATCAAGGAGCGTGTCTTCTATAATTTCATTCTCCCGGGCCAAGGACGACGTTAGACATGGCTACGTTCCAATATAACGAGAACCTTTCTATATGCGATCATATATCGTCATCATATTATGATATCTGCGACTCACTAGTCCTCTGATGCTTTGACAGTCACTCACATGGCAGATCGGTTCTACTAGTCTTAAAAAAGACGTCAATACATTCAGTAAGTAAGTAATTTTCTTTGCTATATCGATCAATATTATAAGGTTAACATCAAAAGAATCTCTCAGCTCCAGCAGCTCGCAGCCTGTCTTGGTCTTGCGACAACGATCCTATTGCAAAGGCCCCGAATGGTTGGTATACGTTTACATAAAAGATATCGGAACAACATAACGGCGTCAGACGGTCGGCGCAGACTTCTGGAATGTCCGCGGCACACGGCAGATAGCATAAAGGGCGCAATCTAGACTCACTGGTATAAGTCAAAGCCTACATCCATCTGCATATTATCATAGTGATTTACGCTGTACCATGGTCATCCCCAAGATTCCTACCAAGGATTCGCCTGATTCTTTTGAATTTTGCTGGAAAATGACCACCAGCGCAATTCTGGTTCTTGCGGGTGGTGTCTTCGCTGGGTGGGTCGCACATTGAGTACAGCAGATGTTGATCCAATGTATCAACAGATTATCAATTGGGCTTATGGGACTTGACGAACTTCATCTTCGTGTGTTGGCCACCTCGTCAGAAGAAAAGACGGAACGGACAAATGCACAAACTGGTGCGTGCAGTATCTGACAGGTGTCACCCAACTTTCAGTCGACGATGGTTAGTGTTGAACCTCATGCAAAGGGGCCGCCACTTGGGTGCTGGTGGTAAGTCTTTACTTGCTCTCTATCCTTCTCATTCTCAAGCTCGTTCAAGGTGCTTCTTCTCAGGTAACGTTGTTCGTATCATTGAGTATACATATGGTTTCGTCTTGCATAATGAAGGGTCACGTTTAGATCATCAACGAGAGCTTGCCAATCTTTCTTGACAGCGCGGTGAGCACATGCTCGGCATATAGCCCCTTTTGGTTCAGAGCAAGATAACCTTATTGACACTCAGATTGGAGGAGGTTTACTTGCTATAGTAATTTCCGCGACTGCCATTGGTAAGTAGCGAAGTCCACGCATCAGGTTCAACAACTGATCGGACCGACTTCAGTTATATTTGGGTACGCATGCCATTTGTTTTGAGCATCACGAAACATGATGGTTGATGAAATCTTACTTTTTTGACGGACAGAGAGTAAGTACAATGTGTCGTGCGCTATGGAGTTGTTTTTGACCTACTCAAAAGGGTTATACCTCAAGCAGTTTGCGCGAGACACGGTCTCGCCATCGGCGCACGATTTGCGCCATTTGTTCTCCTTCTAATGTACCTCCTTGGTGTGTAGGCAGTTTTGACTCCTAGGAGTTTGTAAGTAACCTCTACCCGGCACAGCACCCATCGCATATCCAGTCGCAAAAATTCTCGACCGTGCCTTAGGAGTTCACGATACGCACACCTACAAGAAAGCTGAACTGAAATCCTTTCTCCAATTCCACCGTACTGGCAAAGAGCCTTTGCGTGATGACGAGATTGGCATTCTCAATGGCGTCCTGGAGCTCAGCAGTAAGAACGTGGAGATGATTATGACTTCGATTTGTGTCAGTATTTCTGATATTTCCTTTTGGTGGGCCCAACACTTACGGCGGGTGTTCATCATTGCAGGATGTTGTCATGTTGAGCTCGGATACAATTCTAGACCACGCCACTATTGACGCTATGTATTTGAATAATTGCCTTTGTCTTCGCAGGAGCGCACTTACACCTCTTTCAGCCTCACTAGCGGCTATTCTCGGTTTCCCGTGCACAAGCCAGGGAATCCGCTCGCATTTGAGGGTCTTCTTTTGATCAAGAAGGTGCATCTGAAGCCGCACTTTGTTTGAATAGCTTGTTGACAGTTGCGTGACAGTTGCTGATGTACGACCCCGCACGAGCACTCCCAGTCTCACACTTTCCTTTGTCCATCTTACCTGAGGCCCTACCATCAATCAACTGTTTCCAAGCACTCGACTATTTGTACGCCCTCACTTCATGCTTCTATTTATGCAAGCCAGGCGATAATAGAAACAATTTTTTTAGCCAGACAGGGCGCGCGCATTTATTATTGATCAGTCGGACACCTGGTTCACAGGGCGGCGCAATTGGTCTGATTACTCTAGAAGGTAACTTAGACCAATCATGTGCACTTGTCACTGCCTAACAGCTATTGTTTTTGGGTTAGATGTTATCGAAGTATGGTATTCATTTAGCTTTACTAGATATATGCCATGACATTCTCCCAGGAAATTATTTCAGAGGAAATTGTCGATGAAACTGATCAGTACGAGGACAACCACAGCAAACGGCATGCTGAGCGTATGATCAATGATACTGTCATGAGAGAGTGCGTCTGTATCTCGCTATTTGGGCTCGATCATAACTCCCTTCTTCTATCTAGCATTGTTGAACGGGAGAGAACTATATTCACGCGTACATCCACTATTGAACCTACGCAGGTGGCTTCTGTGAATATTGAGACCGTGCCCCTCCTTCCTGAGTCAAGCCAGGGCGAGTATCCCCAGGCGTATCGTTATGTTTATAATTCAACTGACGAATCATAACACGAGAATCATCGGTCTTCAAGATGACATGTATTACATTTATGTTAAAAGGCGACGTTTTCTGGGAATCGTTTTATATTCTAACGTTTGAGTGCTCATAAATCAAATTTGGCTTCCTTTTCTCGGAGACATTGAACTCGACTGAAATGTGTCTCCGTAACTCGCTTCGTCGGGAAGTCTGAAAGATCAGTGTACACTGTAGAAGGACAAGTGTTGCATTACATAATTGTTGACACTTGTTAGGATCATACATTGTCGGGTCCATCATTTTCATCTAAAATTTGTCGTAAGTCTACATTGAGTCTACAGCGCTCACCTCAAAGTTTGTCAATTCAAATCAGGCTAGGTTCAACGGGCATCCGAACATCCCTGACAGTCAGAGTCCCAAAGTTAGCGAGGAGGGCTCTTGTCGAACATGATCGGTTGCCCATCTCCCGAAACCTCTGCCGGCTACACCCGTGCCCAGCGCTCGGGCCTTTTGTCATCAACTAGATCTGAGACGGCGTCAAAAGTCCCAAAAGGAAAGAACCGAATAGATTCTACTGCAGTGCGTCGAAAAACAAGGACTAACCACCAAGAGCCATCAACATTGAAGGTCCGCTAGCCTCATCACATCATCCCCATGGAGGTCGATGTCCTCATCGAACTCTTCGAAATCCTCCTATCCTCCAATCATACTACACTCCTTGGTCCTTGGCATCGGTCTTCTCGGTGCGGCATGTGCACGTTACGATACGTGTACCGTCATAACCTACTCCTGTGTCCCAGGTTGTGTTTTCAGCAACACGATCAATGTCTCACTTCGAGACCTTTGATCGAAGCCAACAAGGTACGTACAAGGCCTTGATAAGTCTCTTCCTGGCACGTGGTACTTGGCATGACCTGTCAGTCGAATGGAACATCATATTAACCTGATAGCGATTGTCCTTTATGAGGATGTTCAGGTGACCTTTGCAGTCATGCAACCGAATGCATCGCGCCCTCGCAATCACCGAGTTACTCACGCACATCCTCCGCGATGTGTACAATGATGATGAGGGACTCAATCTCCGCCCGGGGATCAAGGACATGGCTAGGATTTCTCAGGTCTGCAAGACTTTCCGAGATCCTGCATTGGATCTCCTTTGGAGAAATCTCGACAGCCTGCTCCCGCTTCTTCGGGTGCTTCCTCTTGAAGAGCACAGTGATAAAGCTCGACTTTCAAAGGTCGTCTCATCAGCCCATTACTAGCCACCTTCAGTTTACTGATTTTGCCGCAGGTTCTTGCGGACCTGAAGTCGACAGAGCGCCAGTGTTATATCTCAATATCCAACCGCGTGCGCACTCTATCCTTTTCGGAACCACACGAACCTATCCCTCGCAATTTAATAAATGATATTATTGAATACAATCTCCTCTTAACTCCTCGCATAGATGTCCTCCACTTTCGCATATCATCCGAGGCCGGCCTTCGTCTTCTCCCAGCCCTTATCACACCCGAATTGACCGACATCTCCCTATCTTTCGATGAAAATTTATATATTTTCAATCGTCCGCTAGACCTTGGCGATCTCATCAAGTCGGTCTACACGACTATTTTTCGGTGTGCGCCCAAGCTTGTACATTTCTCTGTAGTTGATTTGTACGAAGCACTGCCGTTGTTGTCACTTACTAAGGCCCCGGGTCAAGATCATATGGATATAGCATGTCTCCAAAGCCTGACACATGCAGTATTCTACATAACTGCCGCTTCCTTACCACAAGTTCTCGAATTGATGTCACAGCTTCGTAAGCTGGAGGACCTGACCATTCAGGTTTGCGAGAAACCTTTCGAAGAAATTCCCCACCTCTCCTCCTTCGCGTCAGAGACATTCGGCTCGCTGAAGAACGTCGCGTTTGATGGCTCTCTTGATATCATCAGCCGCATATTCTCCGCATTCCCAATCAATAGCTTCATCCAATCAGTGATTCTACGAATGCACGGTCTTTACACCAATGCCGATATTGCACTGGTACTCTCGGCGGTTGTTGCAGCTGTGTCCAAGGAGTCATTACGGAAGATTATAATAACTTCCGTGCTCTCAACAAGCGACCTTGCACGCTGGGATGCTGATTCGGGAATCGACACTCGCCAATTCATACTAGACATACACGCCATCGAGCCCGCCCTGCAGTTCCGGAATCTCGAGATCTTTTCGGCTTGTCTCGGCGTCCCACTTTATCTCACAGACAAAGACCATCTGCGCATCGCACAAACATGGCGCTCCGTGCAGTTACTATACATGTCTTCGATCGTCCAGCGTGTTGTCTTGGCACACAAGCCTCCGGCTAGTATTGCGTCTCTGGTGCACTATGCACGATATTGTCGCCGCTTGAAAGCGCTTGGGTTGTGCCTCGATGCATCTACGAAAGCCAGTGTCGATGCATGTATGCAGGCCGTGGACACCTGCGAGGAGTACGTTCCAGAAGAAAACCACAGCCTCCCATCTTCCTCAATCCAGATGGTCGAGTTTGGTCCTTCGTGGCTGGAGTGTAACTTCGACCCTGGGCACATCAACTCTCTAGCCATGGCGTTCACGAGGCTTTTTTCCAACTTAGCTGCGTGTCGTGCGTGCCGGACGGAGGAGCTTGGGGTGCCGCAGGCTGCATGGACTTGGATGAAGGTGCAGACATTGTACGAATACATCCTCTTTACAGATCAGGGTTGCAACGTAAATACCCCACGGAGCGCGTGGAAATTGAGACTGTTTTCCAAGGTGTGTCGTGTGTGGTTTTCGCTGCTAGATATTCAATTTGATTGTACGTCTAGTGGACCTCGGACTATGGAAAAGATTACGAGAAGGTTGCCCTGGCGGCCCCTGGTTCATCCGTAGAAGTTGACTTTGATGAGTACGTCCTCCATTGATCTATGGGTGCTCAATCTCACACGCCGACCTTTGGTGTTACAGTGATCAGAATGCGGAGGCGTTCAATCAGATCATGTACAAGACAGCAAGGGACGAACTCGCGAAGATATCCAAAGAACACGAGGTTATGTGAACAAGACCCATAGAGTGCAGGGTGGCATGTCTGTCGCTAATGTAGCTTTCATCCACCCATGACGACCAAAGTGCGGTGATCATTACATGGAGATCCACGCGTGGTGATCACTGGATTAGTTATTTCCATTGATTTGGGCATAGAATGGGAGTTTAATCTCATCGATGCATTCCACACGCATAAGTTATAGTAACAATCAAGGGAAGGCTGCCGTTCTGAAGATTACTTAGACATTGTCGCCGTCCTTAAGAATCTCACAATGTCCGGCATAGCTTTAGCTTGGTGGGCTATATTTGACCTATCTCGAGTCGTTTGGTGGTCACGAATGCACATACCCGACCCCGACGATAGCAAGGCGGTCGAAAGGGATGGAGAGACCGACGAGCTAACAGTACGCAGTCCCGTGATTTTCGTCATGATGCGGCGGGAACATCCTGTAGCCTTTGTTGTTCGTAACACATCTGTGATGTCATCATCTAAAACGTTGGAGTATTAGTACAACCCGTGTGGTTTAGTGAGCACCCTCGGCAGCTTTGTTCAGTGCTCTGCTGCATACATGTGTCAGTTATGTATAGGGTTATAGTCTATCTCGCTCGTACTCTGTAGGGTCTTCAGCAAGGATAGTTCGCAGGTAACATTACTCACCGAATCATATGCTACTACCGCATCTAATAACTTAGAACTGTGACGATGCAGGAGTAAATTAGATTCATTCAGCGGGACAATGTGTGTGGCACTAGTACAGAACAACAAAGTGTTGTGCAGAAATATCTGACATATATGAGCAACAGGAGAGCAACGGAATGGAAATACAGAAAATGGAATAATATAGCGAATCGGGTCTCTGACTACTACACACCGATGTGAACAAATACAATCCGCTGTTCCAGTGGAATATCACTGCGCCACAATTTCTTGTGCACGCATGCAGCGCGTGCAGTCCAGTCTCCCTGAATCATCTATCAGATGGTCGTAAAAACCAGACACGACCTCCTGTGCTACCTCATCGTCGACAGACCACATGGAACCAATCACACTGCGAAATCCGGAGAATTGCATTGCCGCAGCGAGGTGGATCGATTCATCGGGACTCTTCTCATCGCCTACGGTAGTGTGGCAAGCCGATAGGAATGCAAACTGCGGCTCCTGCCAGTTGGATCGGATGATGTCCTTGATCATCAACGGCCCATCGCGCATCGCGAAGGAAGATTCAAATGGTCGTCGTCGATTAGGCATTCCGTGGCAGGCCAGGTGAAGCCACTGGTTACGGTTCAGCGCATCAAATGCACCCTTGACCGTTGCGTCGCTGTCCTCGAGCCGCATGAAGGACGACACGACGGGCGCGAGACGCTTGGCGACAAAGGCTACCTCGGGAGCTACACATTCAAGTGGCCTCCCTCCATCAGGGTTTCCTTGACCAATGGCAACAAAATGTTGCGGGGACCCATCTAGTGATACCTGCCGTCTCGCACGAACAAGCGTGGCCAAAGTGGGGGTGTACGAGGAGATGTAGATGTGAGACAAACTGTCTCTCTTCTTCTCATAAGCTCCTGCTGCATGTAGAGGGAGCAGCGCGAACTCAGCAGTGGGACACCACCAGATACGCGAACCAGGGCGAACATTCAACACCTTGAGGGCTTGTACTACGGGGCCAACGATGTGATGCCAAAGTTTACGAAGGATGCTGACAAGCTCGAGTTGAGTATCAGAAGAACCAAATTCTTTTATAAGGGACTGAAACTCGGAGGACAAATCAGAAACTTCGGTCTGCGTGATATCAATCGGAACGTGGACAGGATCTTGGTCGCTAAGGACAATCAAGGCATCGCAGCAATACTGACTGGCATTGACAATGACGACAGGACCGTCTTCAGCTGCCTTCTGGAGGTCGGAGAAAAGGGGGGGCAAGAGAAACCGAGAAAAGTCGGGAAGCATGCGGATCCGTGAAACGACATCATCCCATTGCATGGTCAGTTGTCGGATTTGCGGGGACTGGTCTTCGGTAGACTGGTCGAACGCATTACGAAGGCGAAAACTCAACCGTCTGAACTCCTCTGCCAAGGCCGTGGCGGTGTCACCTGAGACAGAAAGTTCATCCAGTGGCGTGCTGAAGCGTGCCAGCTGGGTCCAAAACACTGCACGACCTTGCTCAACTAGCTCCACCGCAGTTGTCAGCGCACCATGACGAACACTGCATGAAAAAGCATCTGTGGCAAGGGAAGAAACGGCCTCCCTGATGACGTCGAAATGATGTGAAGAAGACGACAAGAGAGCAACTTGCTGATCCAGGAATTTGAGTGCAGTCTGATAGGCAAGCAATGCAGATGCGTGATCGAGGGTGTCGGCGAGGGCTGCCCATGACTTTGCAACAAGAAGGTCTGTGCGAGATGCTGCATGCGATAGGTGGGAGAGTTGAGAATATAAGCTAAATGCTTCATGAAGGTCAGACTGGATGCCCCGCTGGCGGAATCTATCTCGAAGGCTAAGTGCAAGATAGTCCAGAGATGAGGATCTGCCTGAATGAGTGAGGGGACGAAGGAGTAATGCATCCCGATGCAGCTCGATGGCCTCATCAAGGTCAGACATAATGCCACGCTGCTGGAATCTGTTGTGAAGGCTGGTAGCAAGATTGCTCAGAGACGAGGGTCGATCTGAATGACCGGGGGGATGAAGGAGTAATGCATCCCGATGCAGCTTAATGGCCTCATCAATGTCAGACATGATGCCATGCTGTAGGAATCTGTCTCGAAGGCCGTTTGCAAGATTGTCGAGAGATGAGCGTCTATCTGAATGACCGGGGGGACGGAGGAGTAATGCATCCCGATGCAGCTCGATAGTCTCATCAAGGTCGGACATGTTTGGATGCTGCTGAAATCTGTCTCGAAGGCTGATTGCAAGATTGTTCAGAGACGACGATCGATCTGAATGACCGGGGGAACGGAGGAGTAATGCATCCCGATGCAGCTCAATGGCCTCATCAAGGTCAGACATGATGCCACGCTGTAGGAATCTGTCTCGAAGGCTGTTTGCAAGATTGCTCAAAGACGAGGATCGATTTGAATGACCGAGAGGACGAAGGAGTAATGCATCCCGATGCAGCTCGATAGCCTCGTCAAGGTCAGACATGATCCCACGCTGCAGGAATCTGTCTCGAAGGCTGAGTCCAAGATTGTTCAGAGACAAAGATCGATCTGAATGACCAGAGGGACAGAGGAATAGTGCATCCCGATTCAGCTCAATGGCCTCATCAAGGTCAGACATAATCCCACGCTGCTGGAATCTCTCTTGAAGACTGAGTGCAAGATCGTTCAGAGACGAGGATCTATTTGAATGACCAGGGGGACAGAGGAGTAAGGCAGCCCGGTGCAGCTCAATAGCCTCATCAAGGTCAGACATAATGCCACACTGCTCGAATCTGTCGTGAAGGCTGATTGCAAGATTGTTCAAAGACGAGGATCTATCTGAATGACCGGGGGAATGGAGGAGTAACGCATCCCGATGCAACTCGATGGCCTCATCAAGGTCAGACATGATCCCACGCTTCTCAAATCTGTCGTGAAGGCCGCTAGCAAGATTGTTCAGAGATGAGGATCGATCTGAATGACCGGGGGGACAGAGGAGTAATACAGCCCGGTGTAGCTCAATGGCCTCATCAAGGTCAGACATCATGCCACGCTGTAGGAATCTGTCGTGAAGGCCGGTAGCAAGATTGTTCAGAGACGAGGATCGATGTGGATGACCGGGGGAATGGAGGAGTAATGCATCCCGATACAGCTCAATGGCCTCATCAAGATCAGAGATGATGCCACGCTGCCGGAATCTGTCGTGAAGGCCAGTAGCAAGATTGTTCAGAGATGAGGATCGATCTGAATGACCAGGGGGACAGAGGAGTATTGCATCCCGATGCAGCTCGACGGCCTCATCAAGATCAGACATGATGCCATGCTGCTCGAATCTAGCTTGAAGGCTGATTGCAAGATTGTTGAGAGACGAGGATCGATCTGAATGACCGGCAGGACGGAGGAGTAATGCATCCCGATGCAGCTCGATGGCCTCATCAAGGTCGGACATGATGCCATGCTGCCCGAATCTGGCTTGAAGGCTGATTGCAAGATTGTTCAGAGACGAGGATCTATCTAAATGGCCGGGGGAACGGAGGAGTAATGCATCCCGATGCAGCTCGATGGCCTCATCAAGGTCGGACATGATGCCACGCTGCCGAAATCTCTCTTGAAGGCCGCTAGCAAGATTGTTCAGAGATGAGGATCGATCTGAATGACCGGGAGAACAGAGGAGTATTGCATCGCGATACAGCTCGATGGCCTCATCAAGGTCAGACATGATGCCACGCTGCTCGAATCTGTCGTGAAGGCTGATTGCAAGATTGTTCAGAGACGACGATCGATCTGAATGGCCGAGGGGACGGAGGAGTAATGCATCCCGATGCAGCTCAATGGCCTCGTCAAGGTCAGGCATGGTGCCATGCTGTAGGAATCGGTCTCGAAGGCTGAGTGCAAGATCGTTCAGATACTCGGATCTATCTGAATGACCAGGGGGACAGAGTAGTAGTAATGCATTCCGATGGAACTCGATGGACTCATTAACATCGAACATGATGCCACACTGCCCGAATCTATCTCCAATGTCGAGCGCAGGATTGTTGAGAAACGAGGACCGAAGAGAATGACCTGGAGGACAAAGCTGCAGCCCAGCTCGATACACTGGGTCAGTGATGCTGTGAAAGGTCTCGAATTGAGTGCAAAATGGAATGAGATCAGAGTGAATACACACTGAAAGAGCTGAAACTACAGTGCTGGTCCACCAAAGACCTGCCAGTCGAGAAGAGTGATTCAGTGAGTGCTCAGCCAGTCCAGGGAATTTAACGGACAACGGACTGGAAGGCCACGGTGAGGTGGAACACTATATGGGGCCGCTAGGTGCACACTGCACAGCCTGTGCACTGGTATCACGTTAATCATTACAGGATAACTTGAGAAAATGATGAGTTCATTGCAATTGCCCTTCAGTCACATACCTCTGTGACTTAGGAAATATTACAGCCGCGTTTTACCGTTAGTCTACTGCAAGCCCAGGAAAACGCATGCATTGAAAACATGGGAGGACATAATTGAATCATTGATGGATTGAACTGAAACTCGCATGTTGATTACATAACGTTGTCATTTGCCGCCCCATTATCTTGGACTGCGCATACGGAGACCATGCACATCTATTTCAGACACTAAAAAAATGTCTTAAATATCCTTTACGCCGTAGGGCACTTGTGCCAAAATACCAGCCCTCAGCACGAAAATAATATCAAAGTTCATATATACTACATACGTGATACTCGTCACGACTTCACGCCCCAAATCCTACAACCCCTCTCCATACTTGGCTTCAACAATCCTTCGTCTCCAAACCGTGGCTCGAAGCGCGCAGCGAAGCGTTTTGGGTGCGCAATCACGCTTGCCACACAGTCCGATTGGTCAATAGGATTCTCCGGGTCCTGTATGATCTTGAACGACCACAAGAGGAGCGCGAGGTTGATGAAGATCGAGCGATTCGCTATGTGTCGCCTGGGGCAAATTCTGCACGTCATTTTTCGGGAAAAGGCATACCTGCGTCCAAAACCGTATGAAGGGAACTTGAGCTTGAGGTCCTCACGGATCTTTCCATCGCTGTCGAGCCATCTCTCGGGTCCAAACTTGTCAGGGTTTGGATAGACGTTCGGGTCGCGCGAGATAGCCCTGTCAAAGCATAGTCAGCGCGCACATTTCGCCTACAATGCACATCATTCGGTACCAGTGGTTCCCAAAGACAATAGCGCCTTCTGGTATGCAAATGTCTTTCTACTCGACCAGCGAATCAATTTAAGAATTATGCCAAAACATTGGAAACGTACATATGGTATGTCGGTCAGGCCTCCAACGAAGACACTCAAGCATGAACGCCTCAATCTGGGGAAGAGCACCGTAGTCGTGCAACGTGGGAGCTATGATGACCAGGTTGAGATTTATGAGCTTACATGTTGACCTACCCCTGTCACGACCAATGACGGTGTCCAGTTCCTCTTACACTTTCTCCTGCGCCTTGGGATAGCATGCAGCAGTCGCGTCTGAACCGGCACCAAAGAGCGAACTAGGCCATTTCTTCATCCGAAAGCTTGTGCGAAAACTGATTCTCGAGAAGGTACCGAGAAAATGAGGGTCCAGCTTCGCGGGTCGCCTACGAACTAGTTGAGTGGGTGTTCAGGAAAGATATTTGAAAATATACCAATTGTTTCGGAACACGATCAAGTTGATCATGGAAGAGGACTCTCTTCCCTTCTCCACTCCTCCAACTCGGTCGTGTATCGCGGGAGGTATCTGATTATTGGGAAGCATTCTACCAGTAACGCAAGAGAATGTGGAAGCGCTTGAGCATCTTGTGGATGATGATGACCTCGAGAGCATTCATGGCAAGATGACTGAAGCGGCATAGCTTGAGTTGAATACATGAGTGGTAATAAAATCAGCCATCAAGTAAAACACCGTTTCGCGGCCGCTTGGTGTTCTTAGGGTCATCAAGGATGCTCCTGCGGGTGCAAGGATCATACGTAGACTGGTAGACAGAATCTCTCCTGCTGCAACTGCACGAGGATGGCTCGCTGGCAAACCACCTTCTTTTTCGATGATGTCAACGGATTCCTGTACGAGTGAGTATGTGCTCTAGGTAGCCATTAGTTCGGAACCATCTCACCTGAGTCTGCCAATGATGATCATGACCCTGGGCCCAACCCGGAAGCGAGATGGTTGTATCAATCCATCCAGCAAAGCGTCGAGATTGGCTGGATGTGTTCACTGTTAGCGAACGGAGAGTATTGTTTTTATGAACTCACTTTTCTTTTGGGAAAGCGTTGTCCAATAGCCAATGTCCAAGGAGAAGAGGCAAACGTCGTATCTTGATGCGGAGGATACCGCCCGCTACTACGAAAGCCACCACATTAATCATGCTCCCAAGGAGATCTTGAATCCAAACGTGAAGTCGAGCGAACTATCACGGCCCTCAAATTTTAAAATTTCAAAGCCCGAGATATAGCAATTTGAATGAGAATAGATAAGTGCCGGATCCAACAAAACCCTCGAAGGGATCGCTATTATGCAACCAACTCAAAGGAACATGATAAGTTGCGACGCTTTTGCGATTCACGACAAAGTCACGATGACGGACGCATAGGGGACTCTAGGGACCGCTTCTTCCGAGTTGGTTCAACTTGCGGAGAGTATAAATCGGCAAGAATTCACTTCGAGACTCTCAAGCTCTCACCTAGTAATAAGTATCTGCATGTGCGGAATTCAAGCACTTCATCATCTCCTATATCTTACAAATTCGAACAAGGCATTCGTGACAAAATCCAGCTTAAGATCCCTGCAAATCTTCCGGTCTGTTTAGCAACCTCCCCTCCATTCCACCTTCAACCATCACTACTTGACCAGTGACATGACCGGAGAGAGTGGATGATGCAAGGACTACGACCTGCGTCGCGACGTCGATCGGCATGGCCACTTTTTAAGTGGAGTCCTGTGGTGACACGAAATTCAACATGGATCATGAATCATGATGGTGTCACTAACGTAGACAATGCACGATACACCATTTGAGGATCCTTCAAGGCCTCTTCAGCCATGGGTGTTCTGACCCAGCCAGGCGCAATACAGTTGACCCTGCCTTTTGGGGCTATCTTCACGATTTCATTCTTGAGAGTAAGGTTCAAACCGTACATCATTGCTAGAACATGATGAGTCCATGCCAGATTGCAGACAGAATCGTTACTGACCGCTCTTTGTTGCAGAATAGTCCCCGTGATTGGCTTCGCCATACTTTCCAGCAGTACTTCCGATAAGCACGATCGCTGCCTTTTCCTTGATGGTGGAGGATGCACTTTCAAGGTGCTTCAGATACTCTCTACACACCAGGAATGATGACGTCAAGTTCGAAGTCATGGTGGTATTCCATTGGTCCAGCGTCATCTTTGCGATTGGGACATCTGCAGTGGGATATATAGCGTGGTTGACGATCACCACTTGTACGGGGCCATGAGGCATAGCAGATAGCGACTCGAACATAGCCACCACGGCATCCTCTTGAGACAGATTCGCCTGGACATGTTGAAGATTGGCGTTCGATGCCAGAAGCTCCTGGATTGGATCAAATTGGGAGTTGTAATGTGCGGTTACGTTCGCCCCCAATGCTGGATGTCCGAGTCTGTTTCAACTCAGTAGTCGTCACTCGAGAGTAAATTACTCACCACAAAACAATCTCACGGTCTCTAGCCCGATGCCACCACTTGCCCCTGCTCGAGTACTGTCAGGTGAATAGTGCGATAGGATACTGTAGAATACGACCTGTTACAACGACATGCACTCCTTGCAATCCAAGATCCATGATGTGCTATATTATCGGTGTGATGTTACTTGGATAACCAGACGATTAACAGGCGATAACGGCCCCAGTAGTGTCGAAGTGTGAAAAATTCAATGCTACTACTCATGTAGCTGGTTCCATTAGACAGGTGACCCATCGATTATGAATAGCTTCGAGCGTGTGTTATATGGGCGCTTCAATTGTAGTTCGAACGTTCAAGTAGCGGCAGACTGTAACGGTCACTCAGTTGACACCGGCATCTTCTCACCCTCATTCAACACCTCGATTGAAACTCAGCAATCAGAATTATATCAGGACACACGGACGCTGACTGGCCTCGATGATCCTTGCTTAAGCTTGCTTGTTACTTCTCTTGGTTAACGGACAGCAGTCACTCTGTGCACGGATATGTGTACAGTACATTAGTGGTTAGCCTTGATTGGTTTTCAGTGATCACCATCCTGACACGTACACTTTCAGTATGCACTGCAATGCGACGTAAATCACCGCTACACAGGATCCATGTGAATACTATGGTGCACGAATGCTCTTCTATCACCAAGCCACATGCACCAGAAGCTATGGTCATAAATGAAATATATTTAATCTGCATGTCAATAATGCGCTGGCCTTCCTGTCTCCCATAATGATGGCAGCTTCTTCCAAACCGACAGAAGAAAATTGGCATCCATCCAGCCTTTTTGTATATAACCCACTCCCGGGTCACCAAGACTTTGACTTGACAATATCTGATGCGAAGTCCACTGCTGATGCTAGAGCCGATTTCTACGATCGCAGTCTGACGAGTCGCAGATATGCCCTTGTCGGAGTGGCATGTTCAAGTATCTTCAGCTGCTTATGCATCATTGCAGGGATTGTCACTTTAGCCAACCACGGAATCTCGGGAGTAACCCCGCTCAACATATTCGAGTATCATGATGTGATGGCCATCGGTGTGGGGCCCATCCAAGTACTACCGCTGCGGGGGGAGATATTGACCCTGATACTTGACTTATTTGTCACGTTATGTACCGAGTCCATAGGCTTCGTACACGGCATCTCATTGCGCTCTGCGCTAGCCTCAGAGTCTCGGCTTCGTTTCAACACCAATCTGCGCCTTCTGACCGCAGCCCGTGGATGGTATAACCCTAATAGCGCCTTCCTTAACGGTATCTCAGCTGTCCATATCCTACAGCGCGGCCTCACTCGTTGTATGCCAGGACTTTTGGATGACACCAGCAGGTGGAAGTTCTGACAGTATTAGTATCGCAGGGTTTCCGCTCCTCATTTTGGGCGTCGCACTACTCCTCCAGGTGATGATCGCATTGTCAGCGATGCGGGCTGTCAAAATCTTGACGTGGAGTTCTTCACCTTTCGACTTGACTGCTGCACTCGTCCACCACGCGCAATTGACCCCTGCTACTTTCCGGTGCATGCGTCCTGTGTCTGACCTCGACATGTATGGTGGTCCAGCGAAGCCACCAGAGACACAGCCCTCTGCGTGGCATGCTCACCCTAGCATCCGTAAAGTTGTCATTTATCTTTGGCTGATCGTTGCAGCGTGCGCTGGATGGGCTGTACTCGTCATGTATTTCTGGGACCACTTCCACCTCGCTCAAGTTGTTCCCACCTCTCCGCTTACACTCCAAACGTGGTCGTTTCTCCGGAATCTTATGGGCAATTACGTCATATATGATCTGCCAGGTGTCAATCTTGAGGCATGGATTGTGGTCTTTGTCTTCACTGCAGTAGTCCAGGGACCATTGACGCTTGGGCTGCATTGCTCAGAGCTCATCGCGAATGTCATCCGAGACGAAAGACAGTGGAGATGTGCTACCAAAAGGAAAGGACTTAGTGTGGCGACGAACCCGCTGAAGCCAATTTTCATTCATCCGATGTGTCTCATACTTTTCATCGCGAAGCCTTTCCTGCGTGAGTCATTCACGCCTAGTATTTTGTTGTCAGCGTTATTGAACACTATCCTCTATGATCACAGACTGGATGTTTGGGCTCTCATTCTCCTTAGCTTTGACAGCCTTTGACGAGAATATAAACGCTCTGGTGATGTCTATGTTCACTGCCCAGGTTTGTACTTACTGCCCATGTAAAATTGCTACAACATTCTCACACATTCTCGCAGATCTGGAACTTATGCATTGCGCTCTTTATATTTTCCTGTTTCTTCACCTTCATCGCACTACGCCGACCGCACGGTCCCCAGCCAGCTGCATATGGCCACCTCCAGACGCTCGCCAACCTCGTGGATGAGTGGTCCCCTGTGATGTGGTGGGGACACAAGGAGAATGGAATTCCGTACTGTCATGCTGGTAGGGTACTTGGATACTCACAGTGATACTATATTGACACTTTTGAAAAGGGACAAGCGATCACCCGCTGCCGGACGTGAAGATGGACTGCGTTTATGCTGGTTCCGTTGCTGGGTCTCCGGTACCCCTCTCGTGAGAGGTACTCGCCTGACTTTTTAGAGGGAGTGTTCTGATTTCTCTTTTTTAAATAGAGAAGTATATCCATGTCAGGCTGGCGATGCATTCACGGTGCACACAATCAGCCATGCCATTGAACGAGACATGCGATTTTCATGCTATCTACTGCATTCCAGTTGGTTCTTCTTATAGCATTCATACGAGTCTGGGACAACTTTTAGTGGAAACACTTTCGATCGGACCTTCAAGCAATTGTAATTTTGGTGGATTATAACTTGAAATCATGTAGCTGATGGACACTTTTCCTCACGGCATCTCTGTACCGGACCTTACCACATCATCATACGATGAAACCGTTCCTTACCATTCAATGCCAAGTTTTCACTCGATCCAGAGCGTGCTACACCATTCAACTACGTAGGGAGCATCAAAGTGTACCTTCGCTCTGACACTGCCCAGGCAAGGATGCCGAGGCGCACGCAATTTCAGCTTTCAGCTTGCGGAAAGTGACCCTGACACAGGAATCTGTCTCTGTTTGACCCTGAAGCACAAGTTCAGAGGAGGATGATGATAACGTCGATATAGAAGAAGGTGGAGACGAGCGTTTAGTCTTCGTATTTGCCATGCAGCTCACTCTCTGCTACAGAAACAACGTCGAGTACTTACACTCACGGTTATTTATGCCGAACCATGAACTAAACGAAGTGCCAGTGAAGAACCAAATATTGTTTCACTGGTGACTCCATGTACCGGTCTTGTCGTGTGCAAACGTTAAACGTGTTGAAGCAGCTAGCTGGAACAAATAACTACTAAATACGCAGGCCCCAACTTGGATTTTGATGACGCTATATAATTCCGAGTCGGCTATGGAATAAACCGACTTTTCCTGCAAAGTGACAAAATTCATCTTCAAAATTTATGTACGTCTAGTGGAGGGACGTAGATTGAATATTGAGGAGTAAACCTTTTCCAGTCTTCTATGGCGAGCATGCAAAATTCACCATTATCGTTCTGCGTACGAGAAGATGGCATTCGTCACAGTACTACTTGTTACTGGAGGATTAGACTCGACATTCGATATTGCATTGCCGGATTATTCAGGAACGCAGGGTGAATTGTACCAGAAGCTGGTATTGCGTGTCAAAGGACAGTGTATTGGGTCATTGTTTGATCCGGACATTAGATCTTCAGAGAGAAGTTGATGAAGGTTGCGAGATCTGCGGAGAGGAAGAAGATGATCAGCAGGAGCAGACAAGAAGTCTGAACAATGCATTCGATAAGGGTCAGGCTCGTACCACGATCATTTGACGATGCAAGATTTTTGGCCGCGACGAAGGGTATTGAGACAAAGGTGGGCGTCGATAACGTTCATGGTCATCTTTTGTTGAGCAGGTAAAGTAGATAGCACCAACAGTGCGTGTCGTACGTCAGTCCAGGATGAGTGAGTTGGTCGGAGATTGGGGAGGTAATATGATATAACTTATGAGTATGCAATCAAGAACAACAATCAAATTTAAAGACCAACCGCAAAGTCCAATGCATGCAGTGCCAATGAGTGAGTAGGACAGAAAGCAACTCGCAGGATATCGAGCAGTCTATGTAACTCGTATTTTTATAGAATCTTCTGATATTTGATGTTATCACAGAGGATCCGGCGGTATGGTACCACAGTGTCATTGTGTCCATCACATATGTCATGGGGGCAGCAAGCGTAGTTTGCAGGTAACACCAAAGCCAAATGCTTCATGAAGGTCGGACTGGACGCCACAGTGGTGAGATCTATCTCGAAGGCTGGATACAAGATTGTTCAGAGACTTGGATCGATTTGAATAACCGGGGGGACAGAGGAGTAATGCATCCCGATGCAGCTCGATGGACTCATCAAGGTCAGACATGATCCCACCCTGCTTGAATCTGTCTCGAAGGCTGAGTCCAAGATTGTTCAGAGACGAGGGTCGATCTGAATGACCGGGGGGACGGAGGAGTAATGAATCACGATGCAACTCGATGGCCTCATCAAGGTCAGACATGATCCCACGCTGCCGGAATCTGTATGCAAGGTTAGTAGCAAGATTGTTTAGAGACTTGGATCGATCTGGATGACCGGGGGGACAGAGGAATAATGCATCCCGATGCAGCTCGATGGCCTCATCAAGGTCTGACATGATTCCACGCTGCTGGAATCTGTCTCGAAGGCTGACTGCGAGATTGTTCAGAGACGGAGATCGATCTGAATGACCGGGGGGATGGAGGAGTAATGCATCCCGATCCAACTCGATGGACTCATCAAGGTCAGACATGATTCCACGCTGCTGGAATCTGTCTCGAAGGCTGACTGCGAGATTGTTCAGAGACGGAGATCGATCTGAATGACCGGGGGGACGGAGGAGTAATGCATCCCGATCCAACTCGATGGACTCATCAAGGTCAGACATGATCCCACGCTGCTGGAATCTGTCTCGAAGTCTGAGTGCAAGATTGTTCAGAGACGAAGATCGATGTGAATGACCGGGGGGACGGAGGAGTGATGCATCTCGATGCAGCTCGATGGACTCATCAAGGTCAGACATGATCCCTCGCTGCTTAAATCTGTCTCGAAGGCTGAGTGCAAGATTGTTCAGAGACAAGGATCGATCTGAATGACCGGGGGGACGGAGGAGTAATGCATCCCGATCCAACTCGATGGCCTCATCAAGGTCAGACATGACCCCATGCTGCAGGAATCTGTCCCGAAGGCGGATTGCAAGATTGTTCAGAGACTTAGATCGATCTGAATGACCGGGGGGAAGGAGGAGCAATGCATCCCGATACAGCTCGATGGCCTCATCGAGGTCTGACATGATCCCACGCTGCTGGAATCTGTCTGCAAGGCTAGCAGCAAGATTGTTCAGAGACGAGGATCGATCTGGATGACCGGGAGGATTGAGGAGTAATGCTTCCTGATGGAGCTCGATGGACTCATCAAGGTCTGACATGATCCCACGCTGCAGGAATCTGTCTGCAAGGCTAGCAGCAAAATTGTTGAGAGACCAGGATCGATCTGAATGACCGGGGAGATAGAGAAGTAATGCATCCCGATGCAGCTCGATGGACTCGTCAAGGTCAGACATGATCCCACGCTGCAGGAATCTGTCGTGCAGGCTGTCTGCAAGATTCCTCAGAGACGAGGATCGATCTGGATGACCGGGGGGACGGTGGAGTAATGCAGCCCGATCCACTTCGATGGCCTCATCAAGGTCAGACATGACGCCGCGCTGCCGGAATTATCTCCAGGCTGAGTGCAAAGTTGTTCAGAAACAACAACGGAAGCGAATGGCCTGGAGGACAACCCTGCACTAGGTTGGTGATGCTGTAAAAGGTCTCGCATGAGCGCAAGATAGAGTCAGATCAGAGTCAATACACACCTGGCGAGCTGAAATTGCGGTACTGGTACACCAAAGACCCGTTACTCGAGAGAAATGATACGGTGTGTGCTCAGCGATACCACGAATCTAAGGGCGAAGTGAAAGGCCACAGTGAGATCGAGGCTCGGTTGGAAAACTATATGGCACCGAGAGGTGTAACCTGTAAAGTACCTGTGCAGGTTGCAAGGCGAATACATAGAATCGCACTACATCACTGAAAACCGGATAACCCGGTATGACAATATTTACCTTATAAGGTTGGCGAAATCTGTGTTGTCCTTATATGCCCATGTATTGGCCTACTTATCAAGCATCATTTTCCTGATCCGTGAGCTTGTTTGTCGTTTCGACACATTAATTTAACAGTATGTCGAATTCTAAGCTGGTGGTATAGTTTTTGCATTCATGCGTAAAAATTGCTTAATACTATATAGCAGTGCAGAATGATAGGAAGACGTCGATGCTGTAGGCATACGCTCAACGTATATGGCGCTGATCTATTCAAAAATTCTAGACACACAAAACTCACACACACCACTGTGAGTTGCACTCGTCCTCCATGGCTTCGCTACATTTGCTTGTCATTGTCATATTTTCTGATTCAACAATTCATCTCAAGACGCAGTCAGTGCCATCCTTCTTCGCTTCTGAGGTCCTAACATCTCTTACTTGACATTGAGCCGACTTTTCGAACAGGCACTGCCGGTCTGTCAAAAGCTCGAAGGGATGTGGTGCTTGGAATGAGCTGTGACATTTTACTGGAGATTGATGGTGTTGAATGCGGCCGAGGGATTGTGGGTACCTTTCTCTAAGCTGCAGAGGTGCGTGTAATATGTATTGTGCATTTTTATGCTGCTAACTACCTCATTTCCATAGGTACCCAAGACTTAAACTTACCTCTCCCTCATCTCCTTCTCGCCCTCCTCCACTCCTCTCATTCTGGCGCCTTCCGGTGTGGTTCGCATATGTTCGAGCCACGTCAGCATTTGCTGACATGCGCTGGGCATGTGCGCTAAGCACTGGCGGTTGTTGGGATCGGGCAGTAGTGAATGGTGGTCTGGATGATCCCTCAATCCCACTTGAAACCTATTCTGCATTTTGGCCTTTCTTCAAAGTCAACATTGGCCATGTGTCCTCGACCGATGCTCGAAACTGCCGTTATCTCTGTTGGTTTTAGCTGTCTGCAACTGACGCCGAAGCTCGCAGCCTTACCCGGCTCCGACCCTGCTCCTTCTCTTTTCCTATTCTGAAATAGTTTGACCACCGGATCTCAAAACGAACGAGGTACAACTCCCTTGGGAAGGGTCAAGACCTCAGTCACCACCGGCCGAGCATATCTTCCGGTCATTGATAAGTAAGGATCCGACTCAGATTTTATTTACAATCCCCACTATCACCTACTCTGCCTTCAATCACTCATTAACGCTACTTCCTGCAAGTTTCTCGACAGGATGCCATCCAGAAAGTCGCACTGTACTACATGGTCTGGCAACAGGATATGTCATGTTGTGGTCTATGTTTCTGTCTAAGGATGACTGGTCTTCGATGATATGGCTGAACTCGATCTCATATTTGGATTTGATCCCTGCGACCAACTTCTATTCCATGGCCAAAAACTCGATCCTATGGCTGAACTCGATCCTGTTACATCCTATGGTACCACGAGTTCGATTATATACCACCAAACTCGATCCTATACTGGCACCGCCGAGCTTGATTGTACACCGGCACCGCCAAACTCAGTCAACCACTTGAGCAGTGCAAATTTTGCATAAGGAAACAATAGTGTCAAGTTGCCACGACACCTTGCTTTCATTGGACTTCAAGGCACTAACGATATCTGTTGTGGTTCAACCCATGTTATTGTTCCTGCAGACGGTGTTGATGATGAGATTAGGGTAGAGAATTGGCGAGGCATTGATAAACTACATGTATTGTACCGAGTGTCTCTGTATAATCCTATACAACCCAATGTGACTTCCTGGCCAATCAAGTATAAAACCCGCAATACCATGATGCCAATGAAGCAATTGTCCATATGATGGTACAGATGGCAAGAATTTCTATCTCTTTTACTTATTGGACAGGAGAGCCGCTGTGCTAGAAATGCTAAATGAGAGACACTTTTTCGAACATGCATCATCACTTCAGTACAGTTTTAGTATTGTCACAACATGATTCATGCAGCCAATGCCAAATGAAAACCATTTTGATAATTATTGGTCATAGGGGATAGCGTTCTACACATATATATCTTGTTTTCAGCAATTAGCGTGTTTATCAATCTGTTTGAGTTTTTACACAGCCAAATTCATTCAACTAATGCCGGGCACAGGTAATCATGATAAAGATTGGTCGCAAGGGATAACAATATATTTCTATACAAGACTATGGCTTCTGCACTGCCATATTTTATACGATTATAGACATTGTTGGGATTATAATGTGTATATAAGGGTTTATCATAGATCTTGGTTTTCAGTGATGTACAGCAGCAGTGCACAGCCTGTGCACTGGTATCACGTTAATATGTTATCCAGGACAATACGAAAATACGACGAGTTCATTGCAATTGTCCTTTAGTTGCATACTTCTATGACTTCAGGAATATTGCGGGCGTGTTTTATCGTCAGTTTGCTGCAAGCCCTTGCCAGCGACTTCAGGAAAACGTATGCATTGAAAATATGCGAAGACATTACGGAATGGAACTTGAAGCTGTGCCATACTGAACTCGGTATGACTTGATGTTGATTACATAACGTCTTCACACCGTTCCTCCAACCCTACTAGGCTTAGGTGACCTGAACCAACAATGCATTATCAGCCTCACCTAGTACTGCTCCATTGTCTTGGACTGCGTATACGGAGACCATGTAACATCTATTTCGGATACTAGAAAGAATGTCTTGGATATCCTTTACGCCGTTGGACACATGTGCCAAAATATCAGCGCGCAGCACAAAAATATTACCACATCCCAAAGCTCATATATACATACATCACTACTTCACGACCAAGATCCTACAACCCCTCTCCATACTTGGCCATAACGGCCCTCAACGACGCCTCATCTCCAAACCGTGGCTCGAAGCGCGCAGCGAAGCGTTTTGGGTGCGCAATCACGCCATCCACAAAGCCCGATTGGTCAATAGGATTCTTTGGGTCCTCCGTGATCTTGAACGACCACAAAAGGAGCGCCAGGTTGATGAAGATCGAGCGATTTGCGATGTGTCGCCCGGGGCAGATTCTGTACGTTGTTTTTCAGCACTATAGTCAGTGGTTCATCAGGGAAATGCATACCTGCGTCCAAAACCATACGAAGGGAACTTGAGGTCTTCCCGGATTTTGCCCTCGCTGTCGAGCCATCTCTCGGGATCAAACTGGTCAGGGTTGGGATACACGTTCGGGTCGCGCGAGATAGCCCTGTCAAAGCATGATCAGCGCACACATTTCGCCTAAAATGCATATCATTCAGTACCAGTGGTTCCCAAAGACGATAGCGCCTTCTGGTATGCAAATGTCTTTCTGCTCAACCAGCGAATCAATTTAAGAATTATGCCAAAGCATTGGAAACGTACATATGGTATGTCGGTCAGGGCACGGTGGGCGAATCCAAGAGTTGTCACGGGCCTCCAGCGAAGACACTCAAGCATGAACGCCTCAATCTGGGGAAGGGAACCGTAGTCATCCAACGTGGGAGCTATGATGACCGGGTTGAGATTCGTTTGATCAAATAAGCTCACATGTTGACATACCTCTGTCACGACCGACGACGGTATCCAGTTCCTCTTGCACTTTCTCCTGCGCCTTGGGATAGCAGGCAGCAGCCATGACGACAACCATAACAGCGACAGCGGTCGTGTCTGAACCGGCCCCAAAGAGCGAACCGGCGAGATAGGCCATTTCTTCGTCTGAAAGCTTGTGGGAAGACTGATTCTCGAGAAGGTACCGAGAAAATGAGGGTCCAGCTTCGCCGGTCGCCTACGAAGCACTGGTCAGGTGTATATTTAAAAAAAAATATGTTTAGAAACCTACCAATTCCTTCGAAACACGATTGAGTTGATCGTGGAAGAGCTGGCTCTCTTCCCTTCTCCATTCCTCCAACTCGGTTGTGTATCCCGGAAGGTATCTAATTATTGGGAAGCGTTCTACCAATAACGCACCAGGTCTCATGAGATTCTGGAAGCGCTTAAGCATCTTGTGGATGATAATGATCTCGGGAGCATCTACGGCGGTGGGCGTAGACTTTCCATACATGACACGCAAGACGACTGAAGCGGCATAGCTTGGGTTGAATGCATAAGTGGCCGTAAAATGAGCCATAAAGTGAGACATACCGATTCGCGGCCGCTTGGTGTTCTTTAGGGTTATCAAGAATGTCAAAGATGACATCACGAGCGGCGTCCATCTGGATGGGCGCATAGGATTCTGCGGCCTTTGCTTGAAGGTGAGTGTGCGCGGCCCTGGATGATGTCACTTCAGCAAAGCAGTCGACAAAACAAGATATCACTCAACTTGCGAAGTCTCCGGAACTGCTCTCCTGCGGGTGCGAGGATCATACGTAAACCGGCAGACAGAATCTCTCCTGCTGCAACTGCACGAGGACGGTCCGCTAGCAGACCACCTTCTTTTTCCATAATGTCAACGGATTCCTGTACAAGTGAGTATGTGCTCTAGATAGCCATTAGTTCGGTATCATCTTACCTGATGTCTACCGATGATAATCATGACCTTAGGCCCGATCCGGAGCGAGATGATTGGTCCATAGGTATTAATCCATTCAGCAAATTGTTGAGATTGCCTGTGATGCGTTCACTGTTAGTGTCCACGTCCACGTAGACTCAGAGTTTATGTGCTCACTTTTCTCTTGGGAAAGCGTTTCCCAATAGCCAATGTCCAGGGGGCCCAGGGGGAAGAGGCAAACGTGACCTTGATCGTATCTTGACGCGGAGCAAACCGCCCGCCATCACGAGAGCAACCAATGCTCCCAAGGCCTTGAATCCAAATGTTAAGTCGAGCATATCTTATAAGCGCAAATACAGTAACTTAGTGGAAGGGAGAGAGAACGGTGAATACGTAGTGCGGCGAATCATGCCAATCATGTTTTATCTTATAGCTGACGAGCTGGCAATCGAGCAGTGCTGGAGCGCCGACAATGGTGCAGACCAAACCTTTTGGGTTAATGCAAGGCCCCCAGATTGCTATTATCAATTTGGGCCTGATATTTTATTTATCCAGACATGACAGCATGTACGTAAGACATTTGGGTCAAAATGTGATTTTGACCTGATTGTTCCCACGCGCGTAGACTGCGCTCATGTTTTAGTATCATGAATTTCGAAATTTAGTTATCATGAACAATCTGTATCATGAGTTGTAATGAGGCTTTGGTCTGTCTCGATGACAAGTACTAGCGCAGGGGACATGATTGAGCTCATTATTTATACTAGTAATTCGTGTCTATGATGAGTTGAATTGGACAATATTTCCGCACATAGTCCGCATCATACACAGGCCCAGACGCCCGAGGTTTGAGACTTTTTCACCAAACATTCAAACAACCTGAAACAGGCATCCCCATCTATGTTTCAGGGGGCCTGTGCTGGCTCTAGAAGGCTAACGCTATGCCTAGTCGTCATGCACGTCATGAGATGCAACTAGTACGCTGAATTGATGGTCGATGCAGTGATCTCCCCGCGGTGTTCGCAGTGGACATATATGTCATATGGAATCAATTAGCGTGTTTGAGACCAATATGATTCGAGCACAACCTGATCGGGTTGGTGAAAAGCTTCAAGTTTTAGGCGTGCTCACCAGCCCTCAAAGACGGTTTAGAGTTTAGAGACCAAGGACGATGCTATAGCCACTTACTAGCAGACCGGTTGCTAGTGCTTTGCTGGTACCAAACTAGTACGCAGTTGACACATGGTAGTTGATATGGTGCCCGCATTCGACGAACCTACTACCTTGATATGGTATTCGCAAGTTCCCACCCTATTTTAGTATTCACCGCCACCTTGAGCACGTCTCCTGGAGCCAGGTGACGGTCGGCGTTACCAGGCATTATACACCGTGGCTCCTGTGCGGAAAGAGTCGAACGTGTTTAGGCGTCGCCAAGACCTCTGAAATTTGAAAACACTCTAGTCCCTGAAAGGACACTAGTGATCAGTGAAAGGCCAGGACCAGCCTGAATTTGACAGGGATACGGTAGGATACGGTATGACTGTCAACCTGGGTTATATGCCCGCATCCAAGTCTCAAGAGTGTCCGGATATTCGGAATTCCTCTGGTCCTGTACCTTTTCATCCACGTCGGAGTATCGCGGGCGCCGCGGGACCCGTAGGTTGTTTTGAGCGGAAGAGAAGTCCATCCACCCGGGCTAAGGATGATCAACCTCAAATGTGTAAGCACCTTCTGCTACCTTCTGTTCAAGTTCCTGTTTGATGGTGCACCTTTTTTCCCTTTTGACCAAGATTAGTGAGCGGAAATGTCTTACATTCCAACTTGCTGACGTCCCAACTTTTGGTGATCAACATTAGTAACCCACAGGCTTCATCATACCCAAGTCGGTCATACGAGTAACCCTGTTACTAATATTCATGATTTGGTGCGGTTTTCTCATTTGTTGATGGCTTTACTTGCAACTCTGAGTCCCGAAACCTGTCCACTGATAGGCGATCAATATTCAATCTTCTTTGGCATAAGGACAGGAGTGGCACAACTTGCAAGACAATGAAACCTGGCCTTTTAATGTACGAACGCTGTAAGCAAATCAAGCCACTGAGTACTGAACAGTTGTCTTCGGTAGCAGCGCCTAAACCACTCATGACGTCATCATGTCCGTAGGCCGGATGAAGAGCAGTGCATTGCAAACAACATCAAGACTAGAATGCGCCACGACACGAGTGAGACACTGGATGGAACGAGTCTACCTTCGACCGACAAACCAATGGCCCCGTGCCCGGCGCCCACCCTGATAGCGAAGGTGGCATCGAATCTAAACAATTTTTTACTTCATTCAACTAGGTTCACGGCAACAACACTAGTATGTGCAGTGTACATAACCGCGTATTCAAGAATTACGACTATGCTTAACAAATCGCCGTAACAAATAATCTGCAACAGCCGAGCTCAGTTGAGTCTCCACCAATCATCGGGACCGCCCCAGGAAAACTTTACTCATCAACGTAAGCGCAGAAGCTCTGCAGGATTACACTCTGGTGAATGCTAGTCTTGGATAATTTAAGATCTGTGAGTTACGATGCTGACTACTACCCAAGTATTAGGTGAGTGAGTCAACAGTCCGACGAACAGCATCAGACGCACAGCCGACCGTACGTGGCCACTGGTCATGAATTTCGCTTCGTAAGGTTGAACCTTTTGAACTTTCGCATAGTAAGCACGAGTGAAGGCTTCTATTGTACTTAGCTATCACGTTAATGCCCGGTAGTCGGCAATGGAATTATGATTTTCTTAGCCGATCTGATAAGACAGTGACGCATACAAGTTGGGTGAAGGGGCGGGGCCCACATTTTGTTGTGGGCGCAAGTAGATTCTGGACCCTCGCATGATATATGCCGGAACTCGCATTTAATACGGTCCCTCTCGCCTAAACTTGAAGACTAAGCCCTGAAGAAATTTGAAATGTGAGTACTTAATAGTTCCTAAGATGGCCAAAGTCAATGTGCACCAGGGGGCATAGAACCTTCGAGTTCCTACTTGTCTACATGAACACCGGGGCTGCCCGCATTTTGCTATCGTACCAATACCCGAAGAGTGCCTTTAGCGAGGTGTTTACTGGACAACGAGTACCTGAAGTTCCGATCTCTATGCTTCGATATGACCACGGATCATTGGACCAGGTTTTGCGAGCAGTTGTATTCAATATTAACGATCGTGAACCTTGTTTGACATCCAGGTCGCGAAGGTAAAAAAAAAGTGTAAACTTCACGGGGGATTTGGATTTGAATTCGACGGCATTCGCCAGCGTTCTGCCTTGCTAGACAAAAGGCATAATCGAACGTTCCAGCTTAGTTGGGCCTCTCCACACCGGCGAAGCTTTTACCAAGCTCCGATAATCATAAAACCCATGCGGTTGCCTTTAGATATGCTTTTTTCATTAAAGTTAACGTTAAGACCAACCGCGGAGCCTATATCATTTATGCGACTTGCCGTAGGTACTACGGCGTTTTGTGTTATTGCATCCGGGGGTGGACCCTTGCGAAAACGGAGGTCGGATTCAATTGACAAGCCACCTCAGCCTCAGAGTCAGTCTGAGTTGTTCAAAGGATAGTTGGAAGGATTTGAAAATACTCGAACATATTCCTGGTAGGATTCGTGGGTTTGATGAAGTTGGCACTGTTCCTTGTCTAAGAATATGGACATAAGTACAGCATCTTATCTCAGCCAAGTTATGGGAATACCTTTACATACAGTCACCGTGGGAAATATCAATGAGGCAGAGTCTGGGTATATAGACGCCCTACTTAGTTCCTTACTACCTTCAAGATCTACAGCGAGCCACAGTTTTTTTAACTCTCCCTTTCATTATCGTTTTCTCTCTTTCTTCAACCATCCTGTCCGATAATGCTCTCCGTAGACGGTCCCAAGATTGTCCGTCAGATTCGCTGTATATTGACAGCAATGTCCTCCAAGGTCCATGCGAAACGGTAAGTGTTTCATCTTCTCATACGTGGGATGGTGCCCTCAGTAACGTCGGGCAACCACCTATGCAATTTTTTGTTGTTGTCTAACCTTTCTTATTACAGGCGAAACGCCTTCTCTGATAGCCCCCGCACATCATTCATTCATTCACCCGCACTCGACCTTCCATATCTACCAACGGAAATATGGCTCATGATTCTGCGCGAAGCCACAACCATGAACTCAGACCCCCTCGATATCTCCCTTGGTCTATCATTTTTGGAAACCACCTGCGAAGTCTCAGAATACCACGCCTCCATGAAGATCAAGCGGGACCTATCGCTTGTAAGCAAAATGTGGAATAAATACATGCAGGAGTACCTATACGAGTTTGTTTGGATCAGTCGAGCCAGCCAAGCAAAAGCGCTCGCACTCACCTTACTCACACAATTTATCGAGGGTAAGCCCTCCAGCGGCAACTACATTCGCCGATTACACATGGAAACGCCCGTCCTCATGCGGTGCGCTACGGATGATATCCGTACCATTCTTGATTACGCCCCCCATCTCGTCATCTATTCTGATCATCACTCTGTGCGATGCATGCGGTATTCAGAGTTTATTGATGTGCGCTGTTCCCCGGAACAGATGGTTTCTGTTCTTGCAAATTCGAATAGCAAGCTCCGCAAACTCTCTCTTACCAACTATAGTGATGACCCCTTCCCAAAACATGTGTCGCCGCTCCTCCGGCGCACTGCAGCTAACCTCGAATACCTGGAACTTTCATCATCCACTATACCCCTCGTTTCTGGTCACCTCTTCGCATCAAAATCCCCCATCGTTTCCCTTCCTGTACTTCAATCCCTCAAACTGACCCTCGATAACACAACCTTTGCGGTACTTGCGGCATGGGACATGCCAAATCTGCGAAATGTCTCTGTAGTCTCTTCAGATTTTGGCTACGCAGGACCCGGGTTCGCTTACTTCTTTGCCGCACATGGCAAAAAACTACACCAGTTGGAACTGGGACACTCTTCTTCGCTCGTCGTCGAACACTACCTCTCACTTCATCCTCGGCCTGTACAACATATTCCACTAGCAGAGTGGTGCCCCAATCTCAAAGAGTTCATCTGTTCAGCGGATGCAGAGTGGAGCTGGCAGAATCCAGATTGGATAGCTCCACACGTCCTCCTTCCTGGGCACAAAAGCCTGGAATTCATTGGCATCCGAGATATCGATAAGCGCCTCATGGATGACGCATATGCTTTCCCTGCTGACAGGGAAGATGAGGCGCCATTTTTCCCATTGGTGGAGCAAATCTCGTCGCTACTCTTCAATGACGCCTTCCCGTCTTTACGGTACATCCGTGACTTGAGCCGGGGATCCCATTCGATGCGCGTCGGACAACGTCCCGAGACGCGAATCTTGAAATTCTGGGCCAAGATTCTTGCCCGTTGTGGTGAGCGGCAGGTCTGGCTCGAGGATTTCCGAGGCGTCAACATTACGTTACGGGATCTGAAACGGGCAGGACTTGACCGTATAGGAGGTGCTGGCACTCTTGTCTAGTGTTTTTTTATTCCCTTTACTTCTGTGCTTTCTACATGCATACCCTCCTTATCTTCCGTTCTGCGTCACTATCTATCTGCGTCACTGTCCGTCTATCACTGTATCAAAAACCCGTACATGCATTCTTCATTCACCCCATAACCACACATACTGCGAATACCATAGCACTAGTTTCTCGGTCCTCTTCATTTTTTTCTACCCATTCTACATCCCTCTTCGGGCTCCCAGCATCCGTGCGCGCATACCTCGTGGAGTTGGACGCCTTTCTGTCGGACAGTCTCTCATTTCCATTTCCATTTTCTTGGTCTAGGGTCTTCGATGACTGTAGCATTACCACCGCATCACATCACATCGTACATACTATCATACGCTCGTTTCGTCGTCATTCGTTCTTCACTCTCTTTCCTGGTTGGTTTTGGATGCATCTTTGTGGCCTATATCATGTAGAAGGATGGAAATGACAATTTTTTGGAGAATGTTTTTGGTCTAGCATGAGCGCTGTGTATGCTTGATGACTGGAAAATCTGATCAGCCAGATCTAGGATCTGAGATCCGAAGATGACTAGATGACTAGATGACTCCACACCCCACAGCACTTGTCAACCATTTGTTCCCTTTGGCGCATCATCTCATCGTAATTACTAGCAACCTGACTAATTAAACAATGGTAAGCGCACTTGACTCATACCCATCATCCGCTCATCGCCTTCCAGGACGCCGACATCGAGCACCTAGTCCTCTCAGGCAAGCTCTTCGGCACAAACTCCCGCTCCTCCTCTCCCGAACGCAGCCCCTCCCCAACCCTCTCCTTCGCATCCGCATCCTCCGACTCCTCCCACCGCCACATCCACAACCACGACCGCGATGCCACGGCGCAAGCACAACAAGAGTCCATCGGTATGGGGCCCGGGCGCACAGGCGTAAAAGGCGTCATCCGCGATCAACACGAAGCAGCTGCGCTCCAAGCTTCACGGCGCGCACGCGAAATGGAAGAAGTGCGGAGACGCATGGAGAGGGCTGATCTCGGTGGGAAAACGTTCTTAGAGGAGGAAGCGGAGAAAGACGCGCTGGATCCTGAGAAGCGGACGAATGTGCTTGGGATGCCCAAGACGGGGCGGTTTGGGCATCTCAGGGAGGTCGGCCGTGGGGGGTTCGTGAGCGCTGTGGAGAGGGAGGATAGAGGTGTTTGGGTTGTTGTGCATTTGTATGAGTCGGTGAGTTGGTTTTTGGGGGTGGTGGGTGGGTGGGTTTTTGATGGGGGTTTTTTTTTTCTTTTTTAGTCGTTGGATCGGTGTTATGCGCTTGATGAGGTGTTGGCGAGGCTTGCGAGGATGTATCCTGAGACGAAGTTTGTGCGTGCGCGGGCGGCTGCGCTTGGGTTTGCGTCGACTGCGTTGTCGTCGTCGTCGACTCGGGTGCGGTCCAAGGTGAATGGGATGCCTGGGCGGTTTGTTGATGATGATGACGAGGATCCGTATGCTGATGGGGCTGATGAGAAGCCTTATTATGACGAGGAGGAGGAGGATGAGGGGGGACAGGAAGAGGACGTCGACACCGACATGCTACCAACATTACTGGTCTACCGCGACGGTGAGCTCGTGCATAATTGGGTGCGCGTAGACTGGGAAGCAGGGCAGGCGGGTGTTGAGGATTTGCTTGCAAGGTAACTGATCTTATCTCTCATTCTCAGAACCTCATGCATTATCATGTTTGTAGACGGAACGTCATCTCATCATTCAGGTCGACTGGCAATTGCGGTCTGCCAGAAGATGACGTCGATGATCTGATATGGAGCGACGAAGACGAACGATGACCCCGCGAATCGGGGTTCTTCGTGTTCAAAAATCATGCCTGTCTTTGTGTCTTCCGACTTTGGTGGACCCATTCTCTGGTATTGATATTGGGTGCATGTGGACATTGTAACCTGATACTTAGGATGTGTTCTTGGATTCCATGTACTCAATACTGTAGTCTATTCTAGCGATGTGCGGGCGCGGCTCGGGGACCCGGGCTTGGGCTTTGTAAAACCTCAGCTGAGGAGTGGCTGGACTTGTTCTTTCAAGGACGATATTGATTACAAGTATATTTGTAGCTGTACAGTACTTAGTCGTCGTCAACTGAATGAATATCAGACTGTCCGAGTCATCCTCCGATTCCTTCGAAATCAGTGTATATCACCCCTTGTCATCTGCCGGTTCGACTTCTAACACCTCGGATTCTTCACCTTCAAGAGATGATGGACCGGGCGCCCGGAATAGAAGATAACATTTAGCGAATTGCGGCAGGGCCTCGACAACATCTCCTTTCAGCGAATTACGCTACTCGCTGATCGGGTTTCTTGAGACGAACGCCTGCCATAATGAGTTAGCCAGTGAAGCCGCCCACACTGGATATCGATCTTAACAGGAACAGCAATCAGCAAACGACCTCGAAGTGAGTGAAAGTCACTTACACCGTCATCGACACCCGCAACCTCGATAGTTTCGATAGAGTTCGTAAAACCAGCTCTTCACGGTTTTGATGAGATGTAGAACTTGATTCTGCGCAGTCAGGCCGCAAACCTTGTTTTGTGATTGTGGGCTGCGATAACACTAGATTTTGAGGCTAGTAGCCCATCGTAGCGTTATTTGAACAAGCAAGCACATGATTTCGATGGCCGGTACTTTTCGCCGAGAATTTGAAGTAGGCTCGTTCGGAGGACTGTTGGAGTGATAATCGAACTGATTGAGATATGGGTTTGATTCAGAACGTGGTAGTGCTGAGAATCCGTACTGTTAAAGTGATAGTTGTGCTCGTAGCGCCGAGAGTGGGCTGACTGTTGAAGTGATAATCGATCTGACATCGCGGCATCTATAATGAAAGCCGCGGCAAGAGCCGCCGGACCGGGCGCTATGTCGTGGTCAAGCTATGACTATCGCGGCTAGACCATGCACATCAGGTAACATATAATCTGAGACTGTAGAGGACATCGCGCAGGAGGACATCGTTATGGATGTGTAGCATCGCCTGCTGGTTGTTCTAAATATGTTCTGATCCGAGCCTGTGCCATGTGCCAAGATCCGTGCGACTACGTAACTCGATTGGGGTTTATTGGATCTTTGGCCGGTGAGCGCGTGGGCCCAACGTTGCATCGGCTTCCGTACATACAGATCGCAGTATCTTTGTCTACGACCAGTGTGAGAATCCCTTATCACCGAAGTGCTGCGTCCCAAGTAACTGCAAGCTACCCACTGTTCTTTCCCCAGACTCCTTTCTCAGATCTCAATATTAATATCAAAATTCGAGCAACAAGTCATGTCTACAGCAGGCTACACGCCTCTCCCTCAGAACCCCCAAGGTATGAATCAGTCTCACGATCAAGAAAAGTTGTGTCCGCTCACAATGCTTTAACAACTAGACGACGACCGCGATGACATCGAACATTCAGTTCTCCTTGCAGACCAGGAAACACATGCTGGCGTCATGAAAGTCGAGGCCGCACAACGCGTATATGGGCGTTACTCTCGTTGGTGTCTCTTCATTGGGTGCGTGAAACCACTTTCAAGTTGCGCCTCGTATACTAATTAATAAATCGATAGCCTTGGACTTGCGTCATATATATACTCCCTTGATGCATCCACAACTTATGCATACCTTACATTCGCTACTTCATATTTTGGCGAGCACGCCTTTCTCAGCTCGATCGCCGTCGCACAGTCACTTATTAGTAATTTCTCCTTCTCGTCACCCTTGACAGTGATTATTGACTGAATATTCACAGTCGCTGTTGGGAAACCTGTAATCGCTAAAGTCGCGGACGTCTCGTCACGAGGCACCGCTTACGTTAGTGTCTGTGAGTGCGCGCACTGCATCTTCAAGTCCTTGTCTGACCTTGCACTTTTAGTGATCTTTTACGTTCTCGGTATGTCGTTTGCATCTAACTCGCTGCACTATCATGATCTCCCACTACTAGGCTATACCGTAATAGCTTCTGCCCCTAATGTCGGTTTTATTGCTGGGGGGATTGTACTATATGCTGTGTGAGCGTCAATTCTTTTCTTCTTTTTCTATCTTACTCATTCTTCTAGTGGATATACGTGAGCATACGCCGATAACGCCACTATCCTGGGCATTGATTTACTCCGCTCAGTGGATTGCAACTACTCACACAGATTATCATTGCTGACATCACCACCCTTGCGTGGCGTGGGCTTGTCGTCTCCCTCGTCTCTACACCATTCCTGATCAATGCATTTATTGGCTCAAACATATCCACCGCAGTCCTCAACACTATCGGTTGGAGATGGGGCTGTAAGTCTTGCCCATCATTTCACCTTGTCATCTTCTCATATTGTGATCCACAGATGCCATGTTTGCTGTCCTTGTCCCTGTTTCCCTTGCACCCCTCATTTTCACTCTTCTGTGGGCGGAACGCAAGGCCAAAAGGATCGCTCTCCTCGACTCCAACAAATCACGTAGTCGCGAGAACTCAACACAGCGAAGCCTCTCAGATAAATCTGTATCCGCCATGGCTGTCTTCCTTCGGTCCGCTGAACAGCTTGACCTAGTCGGACTCGTCCTTCTCGGAGCCGCAGTTTCACTAACCTTACTTCCATTGACAATTAGTCAGGCAGTGTCGGGATCCTGGAAGAATGGTTCGTGTTCAATATCTTATCTTCCCGGAGAGAGATTTACCAATGTGCACAAAATGTAGGTTCGATCATCGCAATGCTTTTCATGGGACTTGTGTTTCTTGTCTTGTTCGCAGTCTGGGATCTACGTTACGCCAGTATGCCCGTGATCGCTCCCCGGTTTGTCAAGAATAGAAGTGTCGTATGTGCGGCATTCATAGGCTTTTTTGACTTCGTAAGTGTCAAGTGGCGTCGTCATTTATTGGTGAGATTGATCGTTCGATGTTATAGATGTCGTTCTTCCTTACGTACGCGTATCTGTTTTCGTTTGTCCTAGTGGTGAAACCTTGGTACCTTTCACCTTCTGCTTGTGAGAGTGTGTGTTAACCTAGTCTCTGAAGGTCACTCGTGAATGCGACGTACTTCATTCAGGTGCAATCCGTTGCACTGACATTATTTGGCATTCTCGCGGGTCTCAGCATGCGTTTCCTCCATCGTTACAAGGTACGTCACTGTCACTGATCCATTCAATACCGCAGTCCAGCTCAACCCTGCGCGGTAGTACGTACTCGTCGTCGGACTCGTAATCCGTCTAGCGTAAGCCTCTCAATCATTTCAACCAAAATTCCCGACCCACGTATTCTTGTCAGGGGTGTTGCAATGATGATCCACTCGCGTGGTGCCAACGCCTCAAATGCTGAACTCGTGTGGACCCAGATCCTTCAAGGTTTCGGCGGAGGTTTTGCCGCTGTCTCTTCCCAAGTAGGAGCACAAGCATCCGTACCTCACACAGACGTGGCGATCATCACGGCGATCGTGCTCCTAGTGACTGAAATCGGGGGCGCAGTTGGGAACGCATGCGGTATGTCCACTCTCATACATATCTAGAATCGTCGACTAGACGGAAACACAGCCGGCGCGATTTGGTCGAACACGATGCCAGGTAACCTAGAGAAGTATCTGCCATCGTTGACCAACGAGGAGCGTGCAGAGCTGTTTGGGAGCATAAGGTCAGCAGCTTCCTATCCGCTCGGCCACCCCATACGAGAGGGCGTCATCAACGGTGCGTTTGAAATAGCTGCCATGCACACATCAATGCAAATATTCACCGATCATGTTTCAGCGTACGACGACACGATGAAGATCATGGTAACCACAGCAACCATACTGAGCGTGATACCTATCTTGCTTGCCCTCGCGATGCCGAACTGGTACTTGGGGGACAAGCAGAACGCGATCGATGCTGCTGATCTCACCGGAAGGTCGGAGCTCGAAGACGACCTTGAGGATGAGGAAGAGCTGTAGTTTTATTCTTGATGGGCGAGACCTACTTTTTATCATGCGCAAGTGGTTGCCGCTGTGCGGCTCGCCTTGTGAGAGGAACACAACATTCTATTCGAGTTTGCTCCTGCTCACGTTTAACCATCCTTTCTGCTTCGATCATGACATCGTAAAGAGTTGTAGTGTTAGAGAGAGAATGGTGTTTATGCTAGGAATGTTGTCTTTAAATAGCTAGAAATGCGAGTTTTGTGGGTTTCTGTGGATCATCTAGTACCAAGAGCTGCTTAAGTCTGTTTGAAGCATCATTATCAACAGAAACCGCAACTGGTGAGCTCGCATAAGTATTTGTAGTTTATAGCGTGGTGGATTCAGATTAACACTACTTTTTCAAGATACCAATCTACGCCCCATTTTCTAGTGAGAGCATTATCGTCCGGTGTTCGTTACTTTTTATATCATATTAACTAACCTAGTGTTTTAAGTGTCAGACAATTTATGTATCAGTCTTGGTCTCGTCAACTAGATGTCTAGTTCCAAGCGGTGAAAACGCACCGAGGTGTGCGAGGAATATGAAATCTACCAAGGGGGGATCTTGAATGAATAATCAACCGCATCAGATCCTCTTCCCTGCATTATCTGGCGTAGGCGACGTTTCACCTTCTTCTCGAGGCCTCTTCTGCCTGCGGAGGTCGAAGAGCCGACAAAGTTTGATATCACCAGCCTCTTTTTGCGCATAATCGAGATATTCTGCGGCTTTTGCATGCATATCTTCCCGAAGGGAGTCATCGAGCACAATCAAGGGGTGCTCAGCCTCTGCCTTAAGATAACTGGCTTGGAGAGTCCATGCAAAAAGCGCAAGATTATCGCAAACCTTGAAGCATCTATCTGAAAGGATGGATTTGCAGGTGTGGCGAAGTTTTGTGATGCCAGTGAAGAAGTCCCGGCGTGTTGGCCGGCGAATCGCACCAGGGAACGCTAGCTGATGTTGTCTCGACTGTGCATCCACATCAAAGGAATCGTTCGAGTTCGCCGTGATGGTGTCCGTGTGATAAAAGAAGATCCACGCATATGCCCACCATACAGATTCGATGTCGTGCAGGAAGTTCATGCGGAATGGAGGGGGGGACGGGACGTCTGTATCACCATATGTTGGAGCGGGAGCTAGGGTTTGGAAAAGGTACTGCTGATGTTCTACTTCTATCGCCATGAAATGCATTGTTCCCTGCTGACGAGTTAGCAGCGAGAGGTATCATCTTCAGAAATTCTTACCGTTTGATCGTCATGAGAAGTGTTTGAATTTATCTCTTTCGCGTACTCGAAGTCACCCAGTTTGCCGATACCCCCGTTGTCACCGACGACCCATATCACGTTCCCGACGCTGAAATCGCGATGGATCCAACCTGCTTTATGCAAATAATACAGGCCTAAGGGTGGCATGAGCGATTGAGGTAAGGAGAATAAGAATAGTTGCTTTACCCTTCAGTCCGCCAGACAAGCAACTCAGGCTGTCGGCCAGAGAGATTAGATCCTTGACAGTGACTCCAACATCATGGAAAACGATGCGCGCGTGAACTCTCTGTGGGATTCGTGTTTCCTTTCGCCCAACAATGCCCAATTGTGCGGAAAGGAAGGCAGATAGTTTGCTACTGTCGGGTACGTCGCCCGTAGCAGATGAATGCAGCCTTTCGGGGAGGATGGGCATGAGATCGATAGGTTTCCACTTCCAGGTGCCATCATACTCGTCTCCGGCTACCGGGTTCACCGTCTCATCCGAGGCACCGTCGATTGTGACATCCTTCCAGAGCCGGACTCCAACGAAGTGTCTCTTGGCATCGGCGAAATCCTTCGCTTCCAGCTTCTTCTCGCAGGAGGCCAAGATTTTTTCTACGATCTCGCCCTCAGATTGGTGATCAATTTCTCTCCACGAATCTTTGATGGCAACCTTCTTCCCTTTAGTGTCCGTGGCTTCGTACACGCGAGTTCCACGCCCAACCATATAGTCCGCGCCGTAGGTGGCAAGTTCCCGTGTCGTGGTGAACACTTCGTCCCCTACTGTGAACTTGTATTGCATTTTCCCTCCTACATAGATCCGCTCGACAGTGGGATCCCATCCGAGCCCTTTCAAGGAGGTAGACGCAGACGCAAATCCAAGAGCATAAAAGAGAGAGATCACACCATCAATGTTCTAGATGTATTATACCAGTTAGTTCCCTGACATACAGCACGATAAGGAAGCGTACCTCGAAGCAGTTGATAGGCTCTGTGACTGCGAGGAATCCACGATTGCCGAGCCACAATCTCAACTGCGTGTCCTCGATTGTGATACCGAAGGCAAACCGACGACAGGGGTCCTCGCGCATGATGTTGTGAAGGCTCCAGATCATCTTGTGTTCGTTCTAGAGCAAAGTGTATAAATCGGCGCCGACGAGATCTGTGACAACAACTTACGTCTCGGACAGCTTTTGCATCCCGTTCCTTCTTGAATCCGAATGGTACAGCGATATCGAACCAATGCATCCTGGCTGCAGTTCGATTTTTCGCCCGCACAAGGTATCCATCCGGCAGGGAAGTATTATGGCGTTCTGAGAGGAGCATATTCGATAGGTAGGATACTCCACAATCCGGGACTTGTTCCAAGATTCCAGAGATGATTCCCTCAAGCTTGAACGTCATCTCTTCGGACATATTCGCAGGTCGAATGAAGTCCTTCCATTCCAGGCCGTCGTTGGTGAGAACCTCGCTCCGAATTAAGTGGTCGTGCTTCTCCTCCAGACGCTGCTGAGAAGGCACGGCACCAACACACTTCGCTAGGGAAACGAATGGGACCTGCAGATACCTTCTCAAATCAGTAAGAACAGCCTCGCGACCTAGCTCCAGATCCCCCGTGCGATAGTCATATTGTGAGGTGTGGGGAGGGACCAGTGCTGTATCTGGCGGCGGTACCTGTGACTTCTGTGATGGTGGTGTATGAAGGGTAGCCATCATAATTTGATCTGCGAAACAGTTTGGCTTTGGGGAGAAATGCTCGAGGTTGCACAAGAACAAGACTGAAACTGTTATTGCAGCACTTAAATACCTTCCCATTCGCAAATGTGGCTACGTACCTCATGGACCTAGAAAGTCAGGGATTTGGTCTGGGACCCATCGGTAAGCCCGGCAGAGTTCAACTGAGTTTAAACCATTGCTTCATGACAAAGCATGACTTTTGTTATATTTCAAGTAAGTTCGAGGTACGACTCGGAACGCGAGGTCTTGAAGTTTTGCAAAGTGGAAAGCTTCTGAATAAGGAAACTCCTCGAAGCCATTGCACAACAGACCAAAATAACGCATACCTTCGTCTTCTGATTCCTGAACTCTGCACTGGTCTGGTACAATTGAGGGCTACGGCGAATTCTAATATAAATACAACCCACGCGTGATGCGTGCAGCCCTGAAAAGTTACTGTAAGCGTGTATCGTCCATTATCTCAAAATGTATCGTGATTTCCCTCAGAAGTATACTGTACAACGTTGACGGACCTCTAGCACATAGAATGATTCCTTCATCTTGCGTCACATGGAACTATTACGGGCTGTGTTCTCTCTGTCCCATCACCAGTTAGCTCGTGGAATCTTTATGTAAGTGCTAGGTCAAAACCATGGTTTCCATCTCACAAGTATTGCGATATGATATATGATGCTTTGGATGGTTTCATTATATCATCGCTTCAAATTACCGCATCAAAAGTAAGGGCTACGCTGGTTTGGAACACAGTGGACACACAAGGTAAGCGTCTTTGCACATTTACAATAAAAATGCGACTGATATCGCAAGGTAGTATTATGTTGTTAATCTATGTTCGTTCGCCATCACGGTGTTGCCAACTTATAGGGTCGGAGCTGTCCGGGTGAACTCCTTTAGCGTTTCGGAGGTTTTGGAGATCGTGGGGTCTGCCTCCAAATTATACTCATACAGCCCAGCGAACGATAAGGCAATATCCTTCTCCACATCTCACTCAACTGGGTTCCTCAGACTCCACACTGATTGACCTACGTCAAATCCTTGATTTATTACGCTCTTGAAGGACAGGTGTATCCGAGTTCAACGCACTTGACCGTAGGTCTTCTTATGAATATTGTCCAGCAACAGTGATTCTACATCCCGTCCTTGAAGGATCAATCACGACTCTTGTGTTTTTCTCTTTTATGAGCCCCGCGTTATTTGACGACTCCACAATGTCCACACTTCCGTTATCATCTCTTACCCTCTTCAATTTCTCCTCCGAATAATCGGAAGTACATCAACTTTGCCTTTAGGCCAATTTTTATCTCGAAAAGCCCATACCGGACTTGGAAAAAAGAGGTTTGATCTCATTGGTGCATTCAACCACGCGTAAGTTATAATGGAGGGAAGGGTGCCATTCTGAAGATTACTCAAACACTGTCGCCGTCCTCGAGAAGCTCTCAAAGTTTCATTCGTCATTCAACCTTGATGTCGTATAGCTTTGGCAACGCGAGCATGATTCAGGGGGGAAATCGCGGCAAAACCCTGGATATGGTGCTACAAAGGCTTATCAGACGCGACAGTATGCAGTTGCGCATAGGCTCGTGACCAGCCTGGCGTATACTACCACGGTTGCACAAGTGGTGTAGCCAATAAATTCTCACCATCTCAAATTGACGCATAGTCAGACTGGTTACGAGTCTAAGTTGCGCAGACGTTCAGGAGATCAGTGTGTAATGAAACTTTCCAATAAGACTCACTCACAAAATGTAAATGTAAAGCATGCCAAGGGTGATCTGACGTTTAGCAGAGTCAATGGATTTTGGCTACCTGGCAAAATGTTGGCCAGCTCATTATTATTGACAAGCACAACAGCTACGAGATACTCGTCTAGCATCTCCTCGTCTTTATCATACAATAAATAAAAATCAACCCTGTCGGATCCTCTTCCCCGCATTAGCTAGCGTAGGCGACGTTTCGCCTTCTTCTAGGGGCCTCTTCTGCTTGAGAAGGTTGAAGAGCCGACAAAGTTTGATATCACCAGCGATTTTTTGCGCATTATCGAGATATTCTGCGGCTTTTGTATGCATATCTTCCCGAAGGGAGTCATCAAGCATGAGCGAGGGGTACTTTTTCTCTGCCTTTTCATAACTCTCTTTGAGAGTATATGCAAACTGCGCAATATCCTTGCAAACCCTAAAGCATCTATCTGAAAGGATAGATCTGCAGGTGTTGTGAAGTTGTATGGTGAGAGTGAAGAAGTTCTGGCGTGTTTGCTGGCGAATCGCACCAGGGAAAGCCAGCTGGTATTGTCTCAGCTGCGCATCCACATCAAAGGAATCGCTGGAGTTCGCCGTGATGGAGTCCGTGTGATAAAAGAAGATCCACGTATATGCCCATCATACAGATTCGATGTCGTGCAGGAAGTTCATGCGGAATGGAGGGAGGGACACGACATCTGTATCACCAGGTGGAGGGGGAGTTCGTGGGAAAATGTACTTCAGATGTTCTACTTCTATCGCCATGAAATGCATTGTTCCCTGGCGACGAGTTAGCAGCGAGAGGCATCATCTTCAGAAATTCTTACCGTTTGAACGTCGTGAGAAATGTTTGAATTGATCTCTTTCGCGTACTCGAAGTCACCCAGTTTGCCGATACCCCCTACCCAATTCACGTTCCCGACGCTGAAATCGCGATGAATCCAACCTGCTTTATGCAAATAATATAGGCCTAAGGGTGGCGTGAGCGATCGAGGTAAGGAGAATAAGAATGGTTGCTGTACCCTTCAGTCCGCCAGACAAACAACTCAGGGTGTCGGCCAGAGAGATTAGGACTAGATCCTTGACATTGACTCCAACATCATGGAAAACGATGCGCGCGTGGACTCTCTGTGGGATTCGTGTTTCCTTTCGCCTAACAATGCCCAGTTGTGCGGGAAGGAAGGCAGATAGTTTACCACTGTCAGGTACGTCGCCCGTAGCAGATAAATGTAGCCTTTCGGAGAGGATGGGACCGATATCAATATGTTTCCACTTCCAGGTGCCATCATACTCATCTCCGACCACCGGGTTTACCGTCTCATCCGAGGCATCGTCGATTGTGACATCCTTCCAAAGCCGGACTCCAACGAAGTGTCTCTTGGCATCGGCAAAATCCTCCGCTCCCAGCTTCTTCTCGCAGGAGGCCAAGATTTTTTCTAGAATCTCGCCCTCAGATTGGCGGTCAATTTCTCTCCATGAATCTTTGATGGCAACCTTCTTCCCTTTAGCGTCCGTGGCTTCGTACACACGGGTTCCACGCCCAACCATAGAGTCCGCGCCGTAGGTGGCAAGTTCCCGTGTCGTGGTGAATCCTTCGTCCCCTACTGTGAACTTGTATTGCATTTTCCCTCCTACATAGATCCGCTCGACAGTGGGATCCCATCCGAGCCCTTTCAAGGAGGTAGACGCAGACGCAAATCCAAGAGCATAAAAGAGAGAGATCACACCATCAATGTTCTAGATGTATTATACCAGTTAGTTCCCTGACATACAGCATGATAAGGAAGCGTAACTCGAAGCAGTTGATAGGCTCTGTGACTGCGAGGAACCCACGATTACTAAGCCACAGTCTCAACTGCGTGTCCTCGATTGTGATACCGAAGGCAAACCGACGACAGGGGTCCTCGCGCATGATATTGTGAAGGCTCCAGATTATCTTGTGTTCGTTCTAGAGCAGAGTTTATAAGCTGGCAGCGAAGATATCTGTAACAACAACTTACATCGTGGACAGCTTTGGCATCCTGTCCCTTCTTGAATTCAAAGGGTACACCAATATCGAACCAATGCATCCTGGGTGCAGCTCGATCGTTCGCCCGCACAAGGTATCCATCCGGCCGGGAAGTATTGCGGCGCTCTGAGAGGGGCGTTTCATTTGGAATCGATAGGTAGGATACTCCACAATTCGGGACTTGGTTCAAGATTCCAGAGATGATTTCCTTGAGGGGCTCGAATGTCTCCTCTTCGGACCTCTTCGAGTTCGCAGGTGGAATGAAGGCCTTCCATTTCAGGTCGTTGTCGGTGAGAATCTCCCTCTGAATTAAGTCGTCGCGCATATCCTGCAGACGTTGCGGGGAAGGCATGGAACCAATACAATTTGCTAGGGAAACGAACGGGACCTGCAGATACCTTCCTAAATCAGCGAGAACGGCCTCGCGGCCTAGCTTCAGATCTCCCGTGCGATAATCGGATTGTGAGGTATCGCGAGGGATTGGGGCTGTATCTGGCGGTGGTAGCTGTGACTTCTGTGATGGTGGTGTATGAGGGGTGGCCATCGTGATGCGATCTGCGAAACAGTTCGGCTTTGGCGATAAATGCACGAGGTTGTGCAAGAACAAGACTGAAACTGTTATTGCAGCACTTAAATACCTTCGGATTTGCAAATGTGACGTCAGAGATTTGGCCAGTGGACAGTCCGAGTCCGAGTAACGGAACATCGGCATCCTCCGAGTGGGATTTGAACTTCGCTCCATGTTTCAAACGACCATGTCAATCAATCCCGCCAATGTGCCCGCCGCCGCCGCCGCCGCCGCTCCACCTGTCACTCCCACATAACGACAGCTTAGTTACAGGTGATAATATATGGGGTTCGCAGTGATCTGAGCCTTCAGCCGACGATGACGCATAGGTAAATGGCAGCGGGCATACACCAGGAGGGGAGATTCATATTTTCGCGCCGACGACTGTATAGTATCTGAGTTGAGCATAAGGATCACGAAACGGCTACGAAGGTAATGTGCAGTGACTCACCTTCAAGTCACCAGACATGGTGGTGCGATGGAGGAAAATGAGGATGTGCTTAGTGGTAGGTGCAGTGATGAGTGAGGAGTATGGAAAGATAGGGAGAAGAGGTGGGTGGTCCAGGTCTTGTTGCACGTAGATTTCCATGGCATTTGTATGTTTGACACGATAGATATGTGATTATACAAAGCGCTGAGAACGATGGCCGACAATTGAATGTTAGCAGGAGAGCCTGTACATGCTAAAAAGTGGGCAACGTCAAGGTCAGTCGTCAGTGAAAGTAGCGCGCCAAGTTGAAAGGGAACATGCGCATCCTGCGAGGCTTTCTACTCCTGGAATTTTATCGTTGAGTCGTACCATTCACTTATACACATCGTAATGCAGAATGTAAAATTCAGTGTATTTCATGCTAGGACAATATAGACTGCTGAAAGGACGCGCAAAAAGTGAAAACACCAGTGAGGGTTTGCGAGAGCATGTCAGAAGGAATAGCAAAGTGCAACAGACGATATTATGAGTGACAAAGAACAAGATTGAGACCTGGAACAACAGTTAGAATGAGCAAAGACTTTTTCTGGCTCAAAGTCGCTACACACCTGCTATACACACGCTGCAAAGGTGGTCAGCAAAGTGGTTTTGTTACGCAAAAACAAACCCAAACGCCCTTGGACAAGATTCAGAACGCGAACAAAAAAGACACATCAAAAGTGCGCCTTGCTTTGAAATTCCACGAGGTGCAGCATTCAGGACAAGTCCAGGAGCCATGTAGTAAGTATTTCAAAACTTGATGTCGGTGGCAGTGGCATCACGTAAGCAACACTGATATGCTGGCCTCTCCACCCGGTGCCAATGATATATTAGTCCCACAGTGCTTGCTTTCATATTTGTGGGCAATCCGGCAGCGGTCACAGCTTCCTGAACATTCGTCAATCGTTCTTCACTAAATAAGCATATACAGTAGGTTGCATCCTCGCTTTTCAAGTGAACGTTCTTTTCTCATTCGGAGTCATTCCTCTAGATATCCAGTCAAGATCATCCTCCCTTCATTATCAGCTCAATTGGATGAGTCGTATACAATCATTCGGTTCTTAGCGTGACGTCTTCAGTGGTTTTAACATTATTCGCATTACCATACGAAAATATACTCGATTCTACATCTTGCCTCGGTGTGCTAACTGAGTAGCGTAACGATACAACTCCAATCACTCTGAGACTCGCATCCCCTCTTCGACCTCGGCTGGCCACTTTCACTGAAGACTGGTCGGCGATCTCCCTTCCCAGCGCTTAGTGCAATTATACCAGCGTCTATATCGTGCCGAACAGCCCTCGACAATGCAGAAATACACGTGTAGCATGACCTGAACCCTCAACCTCCCCCTCAGCTGAACTCTATCAACATTCCCCATATCTTTACCCCCATCCTTCCTTCTCACTGATTCCGTAGCCCATTCAGCCCATCCTCGATCCTAATCAATTTCCTACATCCACCATCATGCCTGGTACCTCAGAAAGCCGATATATCAGACTGGAAGGCAAGTCTTTCCGAACCACCTTCGTATCTGTTGTCATCCTCACACAATATCTACAGTCATCAGCGGAAATAATCTTCGGGTCCCTTCCTGCCGCATTCCTGCTGGCATCTACATATCCGTCAATGTCGACTCTCGGAGGCGCTGGAAATCATCCATCAGTGTCTTGTCATCTAATACCTCTGTAACGTGGGGGAATTCTGTTACTCTGTAAAGTCCATGGAGACCTTCTGACGCTATGCAAGAGCTGATCTTTGGTTTATAGAATATCACATGCCTCACTTGCATTGTCAGTGGAGATCAGGGCGTCTTATGAGCTTGGTCGAATGCTAGGCGGTGGAGAGGTTGTTGGAAGACTTCAAATGTCATGGGATGAGCTACTCCATCATGGAGATGAGCCATTCGGTGAGTGATTCGCTTCTCACTCATGCACATACACCCACGTCCTGTAGATTTATCCTTCCCACCCGTGCGTGGTGTCCACCCTTCCCTTAAGCTGAAGGCCGCCATTGTGCATGCTTGCGATGAGCAGGACGACGCACTGTTTGATGTGAGTGATGCTGGTTTTTGTCCTGTTAGCTTTTGCTGACAGAACGCTAACTGCAGTCCCTCGTAGACTGCGAGATTGGTCGAGACACAGATGCGGGTCACGCACAATCTGCCGCATACGTGACGAGAAAGACAGTCTCTCGCCTGAACGACGCTGTAGAGCATTTTCAGTTGGTTCTGGACCGGTGTCCGGTCAGCCATCCAGACCATGCAACGGCTCTCACCAACCTCGCGTGGGCCCGCCTCTCAGGCTACATCCGAAATGATGTTCAAGACATCGATGCCACCACGTCCCTCTTCCGCGACGCCCTTGCATTGCGTCCGCAGCCCCATCCCGATCATCCCTTATCTCTATACGACCTCATCCGAGCGCTGATTTGGCGCCACTCCAAGAAAGGTACTGTTGCCGACATCCAGGAAGCCGCCCAACTCTATCATGAACTACTGCCTATCTGTCCAGAGGGCACCTACCTTCATAGCATCGCGGCAGGGAAGAATGGTGTTGATTATGTGATCGGCAGATGCAACAAACTTCCAATAGACGCATCTGATGAAGGCATCCACTTTCGAAGAGTCGTCCTCGGGCTCTGTCCTCTGGGCCATCAACTCCGTCGGAGAGCCCTCGACAAGCTTGCGCTAGCAGTTAAAGCACGCTTTGATCAGCACGGCAGCATCGATGATCTTGACATGAGCATACAACTTCGTCGTGAAGCCGTGTCTCTGTGCCCCGAGGGACATACTGGCCGTGATACCCTCCTGAACAACTTGGCGTTGTTACTCGCGTCGCGCTTCAATCATCAAGGCAAACCTAATGACCTCGATGAGGCCATCTCTTTGCACGAAGAAGCGTTGCGCCTGCGCCCTGTTGGGCACGAATCTCGTGATTTCTCATTAAACAACCTAGGGGGCGTTCTCGTCAAACGTTTCAACAAACGCGGCGACATTGATGACATCACCCGAGCTATCAGCTTCCGTCGCGAGGCACTGACGTTGTGCCCACCTGGACATCCACGTTGTGACACCACGCTTAACAACCTTGCCCTCACGCTCCAAACCAGATACGACGAAACGCATGTTAGCAAGGATCTTAACGAGGCCATTGATTTGTATCGCGAATCCCTTCGATTAGTGCGGCTTGACAATCCAGAGCGCCATAAAACTCTTCTCAATTTGAGCTCGGTGCTCTGCTCTCGTTTCACGCAAACTCAGAATAATGAAGATGTCGAGGAGGCCATTGTTCTTTGCCAACAATCATTGGAGGCTTTGCATTCACTCCACCCAGACAGACACCACTCATATTTAAGGCTACGCGAAGCCTATATGTCTCGTTACCGCGTGCAGTACAAGCCTGCCGATCTAGCACTTGCAGTGGACAACTTCAGACTCGCATCACGACACCCCACTCGTGGCTTTCCACACCGCATCATTCTGGCATATAAGTGGGCCGTTGCAGCAGAGCAGCATGGTGATGGATCCGCACTGGAGGCCTACTCGACATTTTTCGAGCTTCTGGATGCTCATTTGGCAACACGATCGTCGGCAACTTCACGGCGCGAAGCTGCCGCTGCCTTCCATTATGCCAGATCACTACCTGTCGATGCAGCCTCATGTGCTATACGTCGTGATAATCTACCACGGGCAGTTGAACTTCTGGAGCAGGGCCGTGGCCAGCAGTGGTCGCTGGCATCTCGACTCAGGACTCCAGTCGAAGACCTCGAGTCAGCAAAACCGACACTAGCGTGCAATTATTTGGAGCTGAGCAAGCGCGTTTCCAATGCAGCTCAGAGTTCTGCGACCATCACCGACAGAGCTGCTGCTGATCGGGAAGCAACAGAGTATAGGATACTCACAAGGCAATGGGAAGCCGCGGTAGCTGAGATACGTGATGTTCCGGCGTTCTCGCGCTTCCTGCTTCCACCTTCGTATGAAGACCTCCAACCGGCAGCGCTCCAGGGCCCGGTCATCATCCTCATTGCCAGCCAATACTCATGCAGCGCCATCATCGTCCCCACGTCAGGAGACCCCCATCATGTTCCTCTGCCGTCTGTCTCCCTCGCAGATCTGACCAATCTCAAGGATCGCTTCGCCAGGGCAATACGAGATTCATCTCGGATGAACCCAAGGCAGTCGAGGACGGATCTGATAGTGCTCTCGCGCATAATATGGGACCAGATCATGCTACCCATCGTCAACCTGCTCGAGCACGTCCTCAAACTAAAGCGCCGCTCTCGCATCTGGCTGTGTCCGACTGCAGCTTTCACGTCCATTCCTCTCCATGCAGCTCATCCGTTTCAAACAAAGGCGGATCGTTCTGGGAAGGAGCCATGCCTGGGGGATCTCTACATTTGCTCATACACGCCGACGCTTTCTGCTCTGATTAGATCTAGACAGTTGATGAAGAAGCGCGTGCCTCCGTCCTTTGTAGCGATTGGACAGGGTCAGCCAGGTGCAGGGAAGGGCAAGGCGCTCTTGGCTGTCGACAGCGAGCTCGAGCTTGTCCATAAGCTCGTCCCTGCGACTGCCAACCGCACCAGTATTTCTGGTGACGCAGCCACACGAGCAGGTGCACTCTCAGCTTTGCAGCAGAACACTTGGGTGCACCTTGCTTGTCATGGGAAGCAGGACCTTGAGCAGCCTTACGATTCCCATTTTGTCATGAGAGACGAACATCTGACGCTACTCGATATCATGGAGAGACATCTTCCGCAGGCCGAGTTCGCGTTCTTATCGGCTTGTCATACTGCCGTGGGCGACGAGGAGACGCCCGACGAAGTGATCCACCTCGCAGCTGGTCTCCAGTTTTCGGGTTTCAAGAGCGTCATTGGCACGTTGTGGGAGGTCGACGACTCTGTCGCAAAACACGTCGTCGAAGCATTCTACAAGTATATGTTCGGAGATTTGAAGGATGGTGGTGTCATGGACTGCACGAAGGCGGCCTGGGCGCTCAACTGTGCTACGCACGCGGTGAAAACGAAAGTGCCGCTCGAGCAGAGGATGGTTTTTGTTCATATTGGTGTGTAATTCTATGTCGTATTGCTGTCGTCTAGTACATATTCACGTGTTGTTGATCTGCGATTCTCTTTCATCCTGTTGTAAAAATGACCTTGATACATATTCTTGCGCCGTAGCTATCTTGTTTTCATATACTCTGTCGTTTTTTGTGGACTAGATGAAAGGGTTGGAGGATATTTTGCAAGCACATCAGATAATGACGCGATCGCAAGTGTGAGTCAAGAAATTTGAGATGAAGTGGAGAGCTGAGTCAATATAATATACCTTACATTTCCTTCAGCTTCAGCGAATCGTCGTGTTCCAGTTGCAAGAAATGTCGCTGGACCTATACGACCTCGTTGTACCAGCACATGATGATCGGTGTGTAATAAAACTTTCTAATAAGACTCACTCAAAAATGTAAAGCGCGCCAAGGGTGCCGGTTTAGCAGAGTCAATGGATCTTGGCTACCTGGCAAAATGTTGGCCAGCTCATTGTTATTGGCAAGCACAACAGCAACGGCATACTCCGTCTAGCATCTTCTGGTCTTTATCATACAATCAATAAAAAAAATCAACCGTATCGGGTCCTCTTCCCTGCATTATCTGGCATAGGCAACATTTCACCTTCTTCTCGAGGCCTCTTCTGCTTGCGGAGGTCGAGGAGCCGACAAAGTTTGATATCACCAGCCTCTTTTTGCGCATCATCGAGATATTCTGCGGCTTTTGTATGCATATCTTCCAGAAGGGAGTCATCAAGCATAAATGAGGGGTACTTTTTCTCTGCCTTTTCATAACTGTCTTGGAGAGTACTTGCAAAATGCGCAATATTATGGCAAACATCAAGGCATCTATCTGAAAGGACAGATTCGCAGGTGCGCTGAAGTTCTGGGATGCGAGTGAAGAAGTCCCGGCGTGTTTCCCGGCTAATCGCACCAGGGAACGCCAGCTGGTATTGTCTCAACTGCGCATCCACATCAAAGGAATCGCTGGAGTTCGCCGTGATGGTGTCCGTGTGATAAAAGAAGATCCACGTATATGCCCACCATACAGATTCAATGTCGTGCAGGAAGTTAATGCGGAATGGAGGTAGGGACACGACATCTGCATCACGAGGTGGAGGGGGAATTCGTGGTTGGAACATGTACATCTGACGTTCTACTTCTATCGCCATGAAATGCATGGTTCCCTGCCGACGAGTTATCAGCGAGAGGTATCATCTTCAGAAATTCTTACCATTCGAACGTCGTGAGAAGTGTTTGGATCTATCTCTTGCGCGTACTCGAAGTCAACCAGTTTGCCTATACCCCCGTTGTCTCCGACGACCCAAATCACGTTCCCGACGCTGAAATCGCCATGGATCCAACCTGCTTTATGCAAATAATGGAGGCCTAAGGGTGGCATGAGTGATCGAGGTAAGGAGAATAAGATTGCTTTACCCTTCAGTCCGCCAGACAAGCATCTCAGGGTGTCGGCCAGAGAATCACATCTTGATAGCGACACCACCATCATCAAAAACAATGCGCGCGTGGACTCTCTGTGCGATCTGTGCATCCTTTCGCCCAACAATGCCCAATTGTGAGGGAAGGAAGACAGACAGTCTACCACTATCGGGTACATCACCCATAGCAGTCTTGGAGGGGATGAGCTCGAGATTAATGAGTTCCCCCTCTTCGGACCTCTTCGAGTTCGCAGGTCGAATGAAGTTCTTCCATTTCAGGCCGTCGTCGGTGAGAATCTTGCTCCGAATTAAGTGGTCGCGCATCTCCTCCAGACGCTGCTGGGAAGGCACGGCACCAACACACTTCGCTAGGGAAACGAACGGGACCTGCAGATAGCTTCTCAAACCAGCGAGAAAAGCGTTGCGGCCTAGCTCCAGATCCGCCATGCGATAATCAGATTGCGAGGTGTGGCGAGGGACTAGGGCTGTATCTGGGGGTGGTACCAGTGAGTTCTGTGATGGTGGTGTATGATGGGTAGCCATCGTGATTCGATCTGGAAACTTTGGGGAGAAATACTTGAGGTTGCACAAGAACAAGACTGGAACTGTTATTGCAGTACTTGGTAAATACCTTCACATTCGCAAATGTAGCTATGTACCTCAGGAGACCGTCATCGGCAAGCCCGGCAGAGTTCAACGTTCAGACCATGGCTTCATGACAAACCACGACCTAGGTAAGTTTTGCAAAGTGGCAAGCTTCTGAATAAGGAAAGTCTTCAAAACTATTATTGCACAACAGACTAAAACAACGCTTACCCTTCGTGTTCTGAACTCTGCACTAGTACTGGTCTGGCACAACTGAAGGCTACGGCGAATTCTAATCCAAGCGTGATGCGTGCAGCCCTGAAAAGTCACCGTAAGCGTGTATCTCAAACCGATATGTAATGTGACTCACGTATCATAGAGCATACTGTATAACTGTTGACGGACCCTCTAGCACATAGAAATTTAGAATGATTCCTTCATCTTGCGTCATATGGAGCTATTACGGGCTGTGTTCTCTCTGTCCCTGCTTGATCGTGGAATCTTCATTTAAGCGCTAGGTCAAAACCATGGTTTCCATCTCAAAAGTATTGCGGTATGATGCTTTGGATGGTTCCACTATATCACCCCTTCAGATTACCGCATCAAAAGAAAGTGCTAAGCTGGTTTGCGACGCAGTGGACACACAAGGTAAGCGTCTTTGCATGTTTACAATAAAAACGCGACTGACCCTACGCATCAAAACTTTCAGATCTCTGTGAGTCTACCGTGACGCACCTCAGTGTCTGCCGTGTCTTTACGGCGCAACAATATATAAATTTACCCCTTATGCTCCAGCTCGCTCGCCACTGTCCTGAGCAGGTACCGCTGCCAAAGTTTATGGCTGTGGTCGAGTGTGCCGCGACAATGCTTCGAGTCTACGAGAATCCCGTTTTCTCTACAATTGGAACCTTATCTGAGTTGTACTTCTCCACATGTGATGTCACCCTCTAGTGGAGAAGGACCAGTACTCGCCTGATCATCACATTCGGGTCAGTGATCTCAGTGTTCTTGTGGACTGATGCACGCGTGGCGCTACAAAGCAGTGAATTCCACAGGTGCATATCCTATAGGAATGTGTCCACAGACGCTTGCATTTTCCCGACGTGTTGTCGGGGTATAATGTCAAATCGGTGGCCTCAATGCACGACCACAGTCGTCCTTTGTCCATCGTTTCCCCGCCCGTCGAGAGGTATAAGACCTGGTGTCGTTCTCTGCTCTATTTCTCTCATCTTCGTCTTTACTTTCCAACTGTGTCTCATCATCTTAGCCACTTCACTTGTCCAATTCATCTATATGTCTATGTAAGTCTACTCGCACGTCAGGTGGGTAGCTTGATATGCTAACACTACCTTACGCATCTAGTTCCTCGCGCCACCACACGCCATTCGATAGGTTAGTGTTCTATCTCGAGTTCGAGGACGCGCTTCATCTCATCATGTTCTTAGCGAGTCTATGCCTATGTTAAACGACCATGTACCGTTCCCCGGCGATCCTGACATCGATTCGTTGTCCTTCGAAGAATTGGGCAAGTTGGTCGCAGCTCACCACAGCGGTGAGATGTCCCTCGAAGTGTGCGCTCAGTTGGATGAGTATGTGGTTCTGCCTAAATCATTTATTCAAACTCACGGTCGTACAGATTGTTGAAAGAGAGCGATGAATTAATGCGTAGTGTAATTAACGAAGACGTGCTGGCAGGCCCAGCTGATGCTCACGTTGACGGGTAAGCCAACCTAATTAGCCAATCAGGACCAAGGAACTCACGTCCAACGACAGGACATACTATGATGAATTACCAGCGACGCAACAAGGGTATGTGTACTCGCAACTGAGTCCTCGTCATAGCTCATATGTTTCTCCAGGACTGGGGCCGATTCACATGATGTTCGAAATCCTCAGATGTCCGAGTTGGTTCCGACATTGAAGCATTTCACCGCCCCGGTGGCTGGTCTCCCCCAGTTTCCCCACATCGATCAGGGGTTCCACTATCCTCCGCAGATCTCTGCCGTCCCTCAAGCACCCCCGCAAGGTCATCCATGGTCCCAGCATGAATACAACCCTGGATACTTCATGAACAGGCCTCCAAACACACATACGCAGCCCTCTGCCGCACCGCAAGGCACCGTATGGTCCCAGCATGGATACAATCCTGGATATAATGCCTATGGACCCCCTGGTGCGTATTACCCGCAACCCTCTGCGATTGTTCCAGCACCGCCGCAAGGCCATGCATTGGCCCATTATAGATATCATCCTGCTCCCTCCTACCCTTACCAGCAACCATCCATCATTGCGGGCCCGTCCAACGCGAATTACCCCATTGCGACATTCCCCCAAGGTCAATATGCTCCATTGCAGACGGAATCCAGTGGTGGCTCAAACGTGGCGCCAACTTCCTTTGCTCTCGGCGAGACAGCATCTACCAGTCCTCGTAAGCGTAAAACCTTCCTCACCTCGGATGGTTTGAGTTTGTCCATTACACAATCGATGCACAAGCGCAGACGCCCGAACACCACCGACGACTACGGACCGGGCAAGTTTGGTCTGTATACGTTAGCGGATGCTAGTGCCACGATCACGACTATGCCTGTTCACGACCCAAAGCCTGTCGACATCCGTAGCCGCAGGACCCACGATCCCAACGGAAATCCCCTGCGAACGAGGAGATTTGGGGTTATGGAACTGGACGATACCTATCCCGAAGAATCCGGAAACGCCTCTGACTACCACTCGCCACAGTTGACCTGCGTACGCTCATGCGCTTGGATCGACCAACCGTGTGGTCTGTTCATAGAGGTGGACAAGATCCGCATCGACGACCACCTGTGGTTCTGGCATGGGGTTGAACCGACGAGAACCACTCCGAGCTCCTGCCGATTCAAGGGTTGCCCGGACACAGAGACGATGAAGTTTCTGAGCCGTCACATCGAAGGGATCCACTTCTCTGCGTCCTATCGATGCCCCTATTGCAAGAAGCTGTCGTCGAGGACCGATTCTTTGACTCGGCATCAGAAGGGGTGCAAACCATTGCTTGCTAGCAGGGCCCATGCTGAGCATGGAAAGTACGAGTTCCGTCTCCAAGAGATGATCAGGTCAGTTTCTGGATATATCGTACCTGCCAAGAACGCGACCTAGGTCAGCGTCTGAATATGTATGTCCCCCTTACCCCGCATCTGTCGCTGCTACTAATGTTACTCCTCATTTCCGTGCTCTAGTGTTGAATCTAATTCTTGACAACTTCTCTCTACGGCTGATGACACTCATTCCATATCTATCACCCACATTCCTTTAGACTACTTTCTCTACGGCTAACGACACTCTTTTCATTCTATTACCAACATTCCTTCGGAAACTTATTCTCTCTACGATTAACCACACTCGCTTGACTCTATCACCGACATTCCTTTCGAATATTCGCTCTTTTCGTCCTTGCTCAGTGTAACTTTCTATATGGTTATTGGTTTATCTTTATTGCACGCTGGACGTGGCTATCGTACCTTACCATGATGCTCGGTCCATCTTACATACGGCTGGATTTTATGGGAAGAAAGTTGGAAGTGGCTAGTCACTATCATATCTCGTTATGGAGCTTGGAGCTTTGCATCGTCATTGTTATGAATGAATTATAACGCTTGAGCGATTCGGAGAACATGATCAAGGAGCTAGTGTTTCCACTGACTCCACGGTGGAGCTCAGGTGCAACATGTATATGAGGTGGACGCACTTGCCGTGGGATAAAACGTTTCATCGTGAGTATGAACGGGGCGGTCCAGCTGGAGCTCAGGTGGAGCACAGACGGGAGAGTCACACAAATTGCTTCCGCAGGATCAAACGTTCCGTCCTTACGTATGGTAGATATCACTTCGAAACGAACACACTCGGCTCGTGGAACATCTAAGCCATCGCCGAGGTTGGCACAACACCTCAACCTACTAAGTGGGGAACGAGACTGTTCAACAGGTCCAGACGACACAAGAAATGCATTAACCACACCATTACATAGATGATACAGGTATAGGCCGCATAATTACAGAAACCGGTTACCATAGAGCGATCATGTTTGGACTCCGGCAGGTAACACATAAATATATCGACACCTCACACTCCAAAATCCGAGAAGCGGTACATATTCAAGAGGCGGTAGGATCAGGCACAATCGAGAAGCTGTGCAAGCGAGAATCAGTGCATGCCGCGATGGCTTGGTGATCGAAAGGTGAACCCACGCTTTGCTCCTCCATTCCTTGCCCTCCTTCGCCTTCTCCTCGCGTTCGGTAGTTCGATTGACCCACCCGGATGGATGTCCTTCTTGAATCATCGAAGCGCGCTTATTATGGACAACCTTGAAATGAGACTTGCTCTCCGATGTCTTGATCAATCCAGATTCGTCCTTCTTGTGCTTGAATAGCTAACGCCATGGTTAGCGGGATAACTCGCGAAATCGGTCAAGACCTACATCTTCTAGAACCTGACGGCGACTCAATTCCTCATTCGTCTTCGTCTCCTCCATGCGAGCCCTCACAGTGACAATCTGTCCGTCAAGATATTCCAGACCAGTCCTGATTGCCTGTGCAACCGCCTTCTGGACGTGACTCTTCACTACAGTCGTCATGATAGGTTTGAAAGTCGTATACAAGAAATTATACTTGGAATCGCGGATGCTAAACTTCAGCGAATCCACTTTGACGTGCACGTTCTTGACTTTGAAGACGGAGCTGCGATCTCTGTCGGCAGAAACGAGATGGATAGTCACTGTCATGCCTTGTCCACCGAGGATAATGTCTGCTAAGCCAGAGTCCTTCACTTTGGGGAATCCGGTTTTCTTGTTGTAATAGACGGCAACGTCTCGCATGTCCGCCTGGATCTGTGCAAGTGTGATTGTGAACTCGTGATGCCGCTCATCTTGAATGGCGTCATGCGGGCTGAACTTCAAAAAGTTAAATGCCTCCATAGATATAACGTTGGGGAACATGTTGCGTCCTTGAAGGGTGAGGTTTTCAACGACAAGATCAAGCGCATCGTCGGTGTATTCGACACGCGGAATGGGTACATATCCAACCTCGAGTACCAGTCTTATTAGCCTCTTACCCCAACAGCTGAACAGTGACATACCTCTTTCATCATCGTAGGCAAAATGAGGTTTCTGATATCGCTCCAGAGATCGGCCTTAAACTTCAAGCTACCTTCACTATCGAATAGTAAGTCATGCGTCAATCGAGCCCAGTCTTCGCCGAAGCGTTTGTTCAAAGGATCTTCTCCCATCGCCGAGAACCATTTTCCAATGGTATCAAAGAGGTTGTCGAAGTGCTCTTTGTACTTGTGGTCCCAAAAGTGACGACCTGACTCGAGAATCTCGTGACCCTCGCGGTTGCAATTATCTTCCAGCACGAAGCCCGCCTCAAGTAAAACCTACACTGCCGTGAGTATGTTATACCATGTCTATAATGATACTTACCTTGCGAATGTACGTGTTCAAACGATGGAACCAGTTCCTAAACTCGTCGTCGCGACGAGCGTCGTCGATGAGAGCATTGGAAGCGTCAAAAATACCATCCATGCTGCGACTGTTCGCGAAGCGCTCGAGCAGGGTACGAAGCTCAGACACGGCAGCATTGAGATCTCTATCCTTCGCGAGGATTAGGTGGAGTCAAAACATTTACACCGGTACAAAACACACCTGCGTGATGACACTGCCGCGTTCTTTGCCATGACCAGCAGTAGTTTGCGCATGGGAAACATAGCGCTCGACTTCGTCGAGGAGCCATCGGATGGCGTCCTGGTAATCGTCATGCTTTTGGCACTCAATTATAACCTTCTTGCCACGATAAATGAATTGATCACGGCGCTCCACGGGGAAGTACTCCTCAGCTAGGAACTTGCGTCCTCGCTCGTAGTGCTCGGAGGCTCGGTCTCGGTGCTGCTGGGGGAAGCGATCAGACATGCCACCCTACGGCAGAATGATTAGAAATGGCGACTCAGATGAAGAAAATATCAACATACTGCATAACCGCGAATGCGTTCCTTAAACCCCCGTTTTTTCCCCTCAGTTTCTGAAGATGAAGTGTCAGGTCCAGCGCCTTCCACGCTGCTTGAGAGGTGAATGAGCACATGACCTGGATCAGGAAGAACTACACACCCTTGCTGACGAGCCTGGTTTACTTTCTTTTGAGCTGTATCCTGAGCCTGAGATGCTTTGTCTTTCGCGTTGTCCTTCGCATGATCAACAGTAGCACGGCCCTCGCCAACGATCTGCTTCCCAGATTTCTGCGAGCTGTCCCCTGTGGTTACTGTGACATCATCGGCGCGGGGGTCATGCGCAACGACCGTATCCGTTACGGGAACTTTCGCCTCCAGAACTGGTGTTTCACCAGGGCCAACTTTGCGTTCACCTTTGGTAACGAACTCATCTTGAGGAGCAGCCTCGTCGACACGGGCAAGCTCTTCCTCGCCGGGACGCAAGCTCTCCGCAACTTTCGAAGCTCCTTTGGCAAGTATGTCTCTTCCGATGACCGAGAAATCAGAAAGTAACTTGCGAACTTCGGAATTGGTGAGGATAAGGGAAAGAATAGTGCGCAGATGGCGAACGGCTAGCAGTGCATCGCATTGAGTACTTTTCAAACAGATCATGGACGCACACGCACCAGTCTGGCGGTCTTCATCAATTTTAGGTTGATCAGGTGCGACTGCGCCGGGGTCCGTCTTTACACTGTCAAGAGAAACATCGCGAGTATTCCAGATAAAATTCTGGAAAAGTTCGTCGGTATTTTTCTCGTTGACTATGATACGCGCAGTTTCAATAATTTCACGGGAATCTTGGACAAGTTTTCGCCCGTCTTGAGACAGCTTGGTCTCATCCACTGGTGATGATCTGAGCAAATACTGCAGTGTCTCGTCTATTTGATGATTGTCTGGCATACGACCTTGACGAAATGCTTCAATCACGCCATAAAGGTTGATCTGGTCCACGAGAATATTGAGCGAAGATTGTTACGATTATGTAAATAAAAAGCACACCTTTCTGGAGACATCAGCCTCCTTGGCAGCTTTGTCCGTTGGTGCGGCAACAGAGCCTGCCTTGGGGTGTTCTGAAATATCTTGGGTTGCTGGCGGGAGAGACATGGTAAGGTAAAGAGGATTTTTTGGATTTCTCGTTTGTATTCCCAACTGGTTTTATGTGACCACAACACGACGTCATTCAAGTTCCACAGCTGATGATGTCACTTCCGCCCAACAGAATTGCCCATTTTGGACTCTCTGACATACCTTTGTAAGAACTCCGCAATGCGCTGATCTTCGATCACCAAAGCGGTCGACGAAATTGATATCTCATTGAATGTATATACAACCTTCCCCGCTGGTCTGCAGTAAATCCTAGTGAAAATCGACAAGAGGTCATGACTAGTGGTCCGTGGATGATGTTGTATGCCGAGGACAACCGAGGATAGGTTGTCAATTTTATCGCCGCGTTTCAAAGTTTTTCGAAAGAAATAGCGCTAGTTCGAGATTGGGAGAAAAAAAGATAAATAGTCGAAGGGAGCATTTGCTAGGATTGTTTGGTGCGTTTACATAATTAGGTGTGTTTGTTTGCGCTTGGAAAACATGACATCATATTTTGATTAAAATTGTACACATCGACTCATGGAGCTTCGATCGATTTGTGCTCAAGTGAATTCTAGAATTGCTCAGCTCGGGAAATCTTCTAGCTACGAAGGAATTCTCAGATGCTCATCCGCTGGCGCCCGATCTCATCATGTTGGGTCTTTACTGACAGTCACCACTGGACAACAATAAATCACGACTTGAGTTGACCTAAATTTGATACAACAGCCTATTTATGGTGAAAAAGAACACCAAGTGGCCGCGAATCAGTGTTTTGCTTTATGATTGACTTTATGACCACTTATACAAGCTATGTCGCTTCAGAGCCAGTTCGTCTACCAGATGTTGACGAACATTTGGCAAAACAACCTGCGCAGATTGTCGGCTTGGGCCGTCCCGAGAGTCGGAGTCCGAAATTTGAACCTTGCTTCACCTTGCACCTGTACATCATCATGAATTCGTATTCCTTTGACAATCAACGTCGTACACAGATCTGTGCTTGGGTGGTCACTATTACTGCCATCTGTGCCCATTATACCAGTGTTCTCATGGCCCAACCAGTTCAGTTTGCCGACAAGGCCCATTGGAATGACCTCGAGATTCACGCACTACTTGACTACCTCGTCCTTAATCGTGCACAGGGTGGCGACGGAGGAAACTTTCCACAGGAAACTTACAACAAAGTGGCAGTTCTCCTGAATGCCGATGAAACACTCGAATCAGTGGGGGCACTGAAGACTGGGAAGAAGGTCAAGACTAAGTGGACCTCGGTAATATGTTATCTTGATCTTAATCTATCATGAACTGATGTTTGTTTTTAGCTCAAAAAATCATTCAGTGGCATTGAGACATACCGCAACCAATCAGGTTGTCACTGGGACAAGGACACAGGAGCATCGATCGAAGGTACAGACGCGGGAGTTGTGTGGAAGGCCTATGTTGAGCCACAGGTACGCTATCATGCTCGTATGTGTCTTGTATACAGACTGATGATATTAGTCTCATTCGTCAATGCGTCCCTTCCGGAACAAGGGCTGGGTATTCTACGACAAGATGCTGGAGATCTTGGGGACGAACAGCAGTGCTCGTGGAAGTTATGCCTTCCACCCTACCTCCGCGGGTCCACCCCCCACCTCATCAGCCAATGCACCCGAGGCCGAAGAACTTGAGGACGAAGATCTTGAGGCCGAAGGGCCTATTATTCCGACAGCTGCCAGCATGGATCCTATGGGGAACATCAGCACCACCCCGCAAATCACCCTGCAAGTAGTCCGTGTACCTCCTCTTACCGGTGTTACTACAACCTCTCAGTCCTCTGGCAACAAGCGCCTGCGCACCGACACTCTTCTACTCGATTCCGCTGAAGTGACATCTTACACCTCCACGGGTGCTCCACCAACTACTTTCTATGATGACAGCCCCCTGCTGTCATCCCTCCCGCTGTCATCCCTCCCGCCACCGCCGTCATCCCTCCCGCCACCGCCGGCATCCCTCCCGCTTTCTGCGACTCTGGTGTCGTCTGCACAGCCAGCCATAAAGAAGGCCCGTGTGACCAAGCAGACTGCTCAGGAACTCATGAGCAGTGCCGCCAGGGCAGCAAAGATCACCCCTGCAGTCGCTGTCGTGGGTATGCAGGGTGCAATCAACCGCTTGACTGACGTTCTGGAGAAGTCATTGACGGCTTCCCCATCTACACCTTCTGCGCCGTCGCTTACCTTGAACTCCAGCACGAACAGCATGACCCGCGCCTTGGAGATTATGCGTATCCAAGATGGACATCTGTCGGTCATGGAGAGAGCAAAGTTGATGCAGATCTTCAGCCGTCAGGGAAATGAGAATTCTCTTGCCGCTTACATTTCGCTCGACGGGGACTTTGAGACACGTTCATTATATATCACTTTGCTCATGGCGGAGGTATAGGTATCATGTACCACTCGTGTTGTGTTGTAACTTGCCTCATACTCATACTAACATGTAGTTACTATATCATGTACTGTTCTCATACCACTCCTGCTCTCATATCAATGTAATCGTTTTCGTGCAAGTGCCAGTTACATGTGCTCAATGTCACCTATTCTAAGACTAGAACCGCCCCAGCCCATCCTCGTCCTCTGATAAAGCCTGGTCTGATAGATCACTGTCTGAATCACCTTCGAGAACACTTCTTTCTCGCAAAACCCGCTGATAATCTAACCACATCTGTTCTGCGATGCGATCGCGAGATGTGTGAACATCTGCATCAGCGAGTTGATGGTCATCTGCTACTGCCGGTTGCTCCCAGTTTCCGGTGTGCAAATCACCAGCGTCGTTGTCTGCATCAACAGGGATGGCGCCCTCGGTAGGGTCATGGAAACGGATAAAGTTGTGTATGCTGCACAAAGCAGCGGGGATCTGTGCCTGAACCACCATTGAATACGACGGCGATAGAAGGAGAATGCGGAAGCGCCTTTTCAAGACGCCAAAGATTCGTTCGATGACATTGCGCACTGACGCATGACGCAAGTTGAATAGTTCCTTTTTGTTAGCTGGTCTGTAGGCAAAAATTAGTACACTCTGGTGGCTGAAAAAATAAATGTTTGTAAACTCACCTTACGCTCGCGCGGCCCCATTCCGCAAGGTGGTAGCGGACACCACGATATGGTACGAGTAACTCTGGCCGTAGAGGAAAGCCAGCATCTGCAAGAAAATATTTTCCTGCAGGTAAGTGAAGGTCATGAGCACGGGCATCCTCATAGATGCGGGCATCCGTGGCCGACCCTTCCCAGCCAGTAAGTGCGTATGTAAAGTTCATCTCGAAGTCACAAGCAAAAAGACAGTTTTGAGATACAAACCCCTTGCAATTACGATAAGGCCCGCGTTCAAACGCACGAGGCGATGCGTGAATATGGCTTCCGTCAATAGCCCCAACAGTATCCTTGAAAAACGGCCAGAACTTGGGGTTCTGGCAAATTTTGTGTGGGATAGATGCATCCGGCAAGTGAACGTATTTTGAATAGAAGGGGGGGGACGAAAATATATTGAGCATCCTACGAAAATAACTATGTACAATGAGATATAGCACACAATTAAAAATATCACCCTCACCGAGATATAGTCTCGTTGGAGCGTTGAAATCTTTCACCAGTGTGTCTGATGGGCAAGCCCGTGACTACCGTGTAGAGGAAAATTGCTAGCTGTTCCTCTAGCGAGACGAACTTGGAGTCCGTGTGCCCAAGGGTACGCATCTCCGATATGAGCTCCCCGAAGACATGCGCATGCATGCCAAGCTCGCATCGTATTCGCGCAGGGTGACCAGTTAATAGTTCTATGACCCACTCTTCTCCCGATAGAGCAGACGTGTGGTATGGCTCAGGATCTTTTGGATAGATTGAATGTAATATACTAGTGGTAGCGCTAATCAAGATGCTGATCAAAAGGATCGTGGATCGTATGAGACGTTGCTGGACTTCAGGACGATGGGGCATGAATAGCGGGACATCCAATCGAAGATCCATGGGAGCAGGGACGGCTGGTAGAGCATCCATTGTCAAGGGCATACATTGTACCTACGATGCGGCTAGATAGCATATTCAAGTTCCGAATCTCCGTCGGCCCAAGCCGACAATCTGCGCAGGTTGTTTTGCCAAATGTTCGTCAACATCTGGTAGACGAACTGGCTCTCAGTCATCTTGCGTGTCATGCATGTCATGTATGGCAAGTCCAGGCCCACCATATTTGCTCCCGAAATCGTCATCATCCACAAAATGTTCAAGCGCTTCCAGAATCTCATGCGACCTGGTGCGTTATTGGTAAAATGCTTCCCGAAAATCAGATACCTCCCAAGATATATAATCGAGTTAGAGAAATAGAAAAGGGAAGAGAGTCAGCTTCCATGATCAGCTCAATCGTCTTTCGAAAGAATGGGTCGGTTTTCGAATATCTCTTTTAAGTACCCACCTGACCAGTTCTTCATAGGCGACTGGTGAAGCTGGACCCTCATTTTCTCGGTACCTTCTCGAGAATCAGTCTTCGCACAAGCTTTCGGACGAAGAAATGGCCTATCTCGCCGGTTCGCTCTTTAGCGCCAGTAATTATGGTTGTCGTCATCTGCTGCATGCTATCCCAAGGTGCAGGAGAAAGTGCAAGAGGAACTGGACACCATCATTGGTCGTGACAGGTGTAGGTTAGCATGTGAGCTCATGAAACTCAGCCCGGTTATCATAGCTCCCACGTTGGACGACTACGGTTCCCTTCCGCAGATTGAGGCGTTCAAGTTCGTACTGGTGTCTTCGCTGGAGGCCTGTGACGATTCCTTGTATTCCCTCACCGTGCCTTGACCGACATCCTGTACGTACGTTTCCAATGGGTCGGCATGATTCCTGAATTGATTTGACGGTTAAGTAGAAAGTCATTTGCATATCAGGAGGCGCTATCGTCTTTGGCAACAATGGGTACCGACTGATGTGCAGTCCATGTAGGCGAAATCTGTGCGCTGATCATGCTTTGACAGGGCTATCTCGCACGCTATCCCAACCCTGACAAGTTTGATCCTGAGAGATGGCTCGACAGCGATGGTAAAATCCGGGAAGACCTCAAGTTCCCTTCATGACCTGGCGCTCCTCTTGTGGTTATCCAAGACCACGCAGGGCCCAGAAACCTTATTGACCGACCGTGCTTTGTGGATAGCGTGATTGCCCACCCCAAACGACTCGCTGCGCGGCGCGCGCCTCCAGCCACGGAAGGCATCATTATGGCCACGTATGGAGAGGGGTTGTAGATGGGCATGTAGTGATGTATGTATATATGAGTTTGGGATATGGTAATATTTTCGTGCTGAGGGCTGGTATTTTGGCACAAGTGCCCTATGGCGTAAATGATACTTGATTCTTCTTCTTCTGAAATAGGCGTGTCGTGTTCCTATAGACGACGTTATGTAATCAACAAAGTCTTCACATTCGCCTCACATATTTTCAATGAATGGCCGTGGCGGCCTTTTCCTGAGCTCTCAGCTCACTGGCAAGGGCTTGCAGAAGACCAATGGTAAACACGCCTGCAATATTCCAGAAGTCACAGAAGTATGTAATTGAAGGTCAATTGCAATGAACTCATCATTTTCTCATGTTATTCCAGTGGGAGGCATATCTCGGACATGAATCCAATACCAGTGCACAGGCTGTGCAGGTGCGCACATGTACTCTATAGGGTGTGATATCCTAGCAAGTCTGAACCTCACCATGGCCTTCTAGTCCACTGTCCATTAAATTCCTGGGCTGGCTGAGCACTCACTGTATCATTCCCCTCGACTGGCAGGTCTTCTGTGTACCAGTACTACTGCAGTTTCAACTCTCAAAGTACAGCCCATAGCACTATATTAATACATCTTGAATGGACAACAGTCCATAAATACCAATACATACTTACCTATAACTATCCAATTGTCCAACAGGATGTATCCTTGAGGAGAATCATTTATAGAAGCTTTGGGCACTTGCCAGCTTACAAATCACTGCTCAAACGGATTATCCAATATGTGACCGCATTTTTAGCCCCACAGCGTGGGAATTACCCCACAACGCCCAAAACATCGACCATTTTTGGAATCTCCACAATATCAATTATTCCCTCACTGCAGCTTCACCACTACACCACAACAGGTCCCCCTTCATATATAAGTAGTAGTTTGGAATATATATGTATAATATAATATAATATAATAGACCGCTTTTTTTGCTCATTTATATACCTGCTCCTCCTCCAGAGACCATTTAACATATAATAGGATACAGAATACTTTCGCATTTTTGCCCCTATGATAGGGAAGTGTCCCAGGTTATTCAGAACATGTTTAGAAGTATACATGAAGAGATTCTCATCTTTATTTTACCTCCTGGAGCCTTCTGCATCAATAGATATAGCATATATATGAGAAAATACAAAATATGTTCTCATTTTAGTATTTCCAGGTGGATAGACTTCAAAAAATGATCCCCAGCATCTATTTAACAGTAGGAACAATGCATCAGGAGCCCAGGACCACAGGACAAGACCTTGTTGTGTTGTATATCTCCCCTCTCCTGGTGGTTCACCCCCTGTGAAAGGTTTTCCTGCAGTACTGGACCTCAAGCATGGTAGGGGGTCTATTTCTATTCATATTTGGAGTATATATATCATATAGCTAGCTCATTACATCAACAGGATACTTCTACAGGAACAAAAACATAGAAAATCACATTTTTGATGTTTTTGATGTTTTTCAGCATCTTACCCTTGCATCTTACCCTTGCACATATGATCCAACCTGCTCATATACAATTAGTGTAGCATATATACTTGCTTTTTATGACCAAGATCAGCTACATAAGATCAGCTACATATAGGGCGGAAGTTTGGGATCTGATGTAAAGGGGACATTTTTACTGATAAGAGACCTCCATGATAATTAAGGGTATATTTAGTGATCAGAGGCCTGTAGTACCTCTCATATATATATTTGAAGATAACCTTGAAGTTTCAGAAAGATCCATGAAGTATTGAGTGAATGAGAAGCAAAATGATATATGTGTGAAAAGTGACAATACACATCTTTTCACACAAAAACATATTTATATATAATACAGGTCGAAGATTTTGTTAAAAATATGTAGGATACATAGTAGACTACCTAAGGAACCTATGCTACATACTGCCCTGAGAGTAGAGGATAGGTGGAAAGAATGTAGTGTAGATATGAGTTGACCCAGTATTAAAGTCCTACCACTGCTTAACTGACCATTTTCGATGTTTTGAGCATTTGAACTTTCCCACACTCAGTTTCTTATCTACTTCACTTCCACAACTCTCAGTTCTGGGTGGATCTTTCTGTAAATTAGGGTCTATGATATTGAATATATTTAAAATGTGCTCCAGGTGTCTGATCATTAAAAATTGATAAGTTGAACATATGGGCCTCTAATCAGTAAAAATGTCCCCTTTACATCAGATCCCAAACTTCCGCCCTATATGTAGCTGATCTTATGTAGCTGATCTTGGTCATAAAAAGCAAGTATATATGCTACACTAATTGTATATGAGCAGGTTGGATCATATGTGCAAGGGTAAGATGCAAGGGTAAGATGCTGAAAAACATCAAAAACATCAAAAATGTGATTTTCTATGTTTTTGTTCCTGTAGAAGTATCCTGTTGATGTAATGAGCTAGCTATATGATATATATACTCCAAATATGAATAGAAATAGACCCCCTACCATGCTTGAGGTCCAGTACTGCAGGAAAACCTTTCACAGGGGGTGAACCACCAGGAGAGGGGAGATATACAACACAACAAGGTCTTGTCCTGTGGTCCTGGGCTCCTGATGCATTGTTCCTACTGTTAAATAGATGCTGGGGATCATTTTTTGAAGTCTATCCACCTGGAAATACTAAAATGAGAACATATTTTGTATTTTCTCATATATATGCTATATCTATTGATGCAGAAGGCTCCAGGAGGTAAAATAAAGATGAGAATCTCTTCATGTATACTTCTAAACATGTTCTGAATAACCTGGGACACTTCCCTATCATAGGGGCAAAAATGCGAAAGTATTCTGTATCCTATTATATGTTAAATGGTCTCTGGAGGAGGAGCAGGTATATAAATGAGCAAAAAAAGCGGTCTATTATATTATATTATATTATACATATATATTCCAAACTACTACTTATATATGAAGGGGGACCTGTTGTGGTGTAGTGGTGAAGCTGCAGTGAGGGAATAATTGATATTGTGGAGATTCCAAAAATGGTCGATGTTTTGGGCGTTGTGGGGTAATTCCCACGCTGTGGGGCTAAAAATGCGGTGTGGCAATATTGTGGGAAGTCCTGACGAGCCAAATAGGAGTGAATTTCTGCTTTTAGAAGCCAGGATAACTATAGTAAAGTATGTATCACAATTTATGGATCATTAACCATATTGATGTATCTTTCTGCCATCATGTGGTGCAAAGTATGTATTGACTCTGATCTCACTCCATTTTGCACTCAACGCGAGACATTTGACAGTGAGATGGGGCGGTGGTCATCTTGCATCACTAACTTAGTGTATCGAGCTAGGTTGCGGCTTTGTCCTGCAAGCCATCTGCTTCGGTCCCTTTTTCTCAACAAACTTGCAAACAGCCTTCTAGACAGATTTGGGCAGCATGACATTATGTCTGACCTTGATGAGGCCATCGAGCTGTATCGGGCCGCATTACTCCTCCATCCCCCTGGTCATTCAGATCAATCATCATCTCTGAACAATCTTGCAAACAGCCTTCGAGACAGATTCATACAGTGTGGGATCATGTCTGACCTTGATGAGGCTATCGAGCTGTATCGGGATGCATTACTCCTCTGTCCCCCTGGTCATTCAGATCAATTCATGTCTCTGAGCAATCTTGCTGTCAGCCTTGGAGACAGATTCCAGCAGTGTGGGATCACGGCTGACTTTGATGAGGCCATCAAGCTGTATCGGGATGCATTACTCCTCTGTCCCCCTGTTACGAACTAGGATAGTTCTAACAGCAAGGGCTCGATAGAGCGTTCGTGTTGCTGAGATTCGTAAAGCCCTTCAAATAAGAAGAGGTTCTTAGACTTAGTTAAAGGAGTGCTTTAACTAAGAGATCGGTTCAGACGACTTAAGATTGGTGGTCTTAAGCGAAGGAAGTTCTGGACAAAACCTAGTAAGATTGAAGTGACGTTCCTAAGTAAAGTACACGTGCTTAAATAGGAAACTATATGCGCACGGACCAGGGCTACGGTGAGATAATAGTACAAGAGCCAAATACGGGAGTAAGACCAAGAAAGGAAAGTTAAGTCGCTAAGGAAAATGTAGGGCATAATGGCAGATACGCAAGAAGTAAAGGAAGTAGAGTGATTGTAACACCCCCCGGTCATTCAGATCGATCCATGTCTCTGAACAATCTTGCTGTCAGCCTTGGAGACAGATTAGTGCAATGTTGGGATCATGTTTGACCTTGATGAGGCCATCAAGCTGCAGCGGGATGCAATACTCCTCTGTCTTTGATTCAAATCGATCCACATACTATCATTCCCTGTAATATGTAACATTTTCATAAATTCTTTTCTAGCTCCTCGACCACATCACTTTTTCTTTTGAAAATTTTACCTGTCATAGATCTATATCTCTTCTAAATGGACCTTATTTTTACTGATTTTTAGAATAATGTAGTGCAGTGTCGGAGCAAGCCCGAGAAAATTCAGGGTTACCCTCCAATCTGCACAATTCTGGTCACGGCTTGTCACAGCCTTGCCATAGTAGCGGCACGCTCAACTTTCACTCTCTGAAGTCTTCAAACTCTGCATGCGTTGTGACTCGGAAAGGCTCAAAAACGGTAAATACTATTGACTCAGAGTATCTAATACTGACGGTAATAATTACTATGAATGTATTGGTGCCCTCCTGCATACACATCCTCAGTCCGCACTGTGCTGCCAACTCAAAAATCTGTACTGCCGTGACTCGGCGCTGGTGCAAAATAAGGGTGCCAATTATGTGGAGGCTGAGGCTGAGGTTACCTTTGCACGAAGGTTGCGCTTTGATAGAGGGTGACCTGTCATGGCTAAGTAGTTGTTGATGTTTGTGGGCCTTCAAATGAGGTTTTGTGAGGTTCTGTGCACGCCGCCGAAGGGTCACTGGTATGGTACATTAAACTGGCCAGCTGCTGCCAAGAGGTTTTTAGCCCGATTCTCTCTGACAGCCTCGATAGCAGCTGTAATATTGGCTTCGCGAGTGGCATCTTCTTCAGCTTTTGAATGTGTTGCCTTCCTGCGGTGTGGTGCCATTGGAGAGAATGATACAATACAATGTGGAGACTCGAGCAGAAGGTAGATGCTGCATGTGCCGAGGAGGAGATTGAATTATTTGTGCACCTCCCCTGTCTGGTGTCACATTTTCAGACTTGTTGTTGATTATACCACTGTAGCACCTCAGTGCAGGAGAGTAACTATTATCGAATTGGTTTTATGACATCTCAAGAAGGTGTCCTTCATGTCCCGGGCAAAATTTTATGAGTACCTGTGCAGGATCTTCGGAATCTGGGTGATTTGTGTTGGACAAAGGTTGTAAATTGGCACAATTTCGTCTCTTGGAACTGCAACATCTAAGAATATTTTATTCTACTTGCGCAGAACATCATTTCTATGTATTCTGCATATGCCTGAATTTTTTCGAAGCCAGTTGAGCATGATGTTGAATTGTTATAACATTTTGCATATTAGGAACTGTGGACATATTACAGGGAATGATAGTATCTGAACGATCTTGCTGTCAGCCTTCACGACAGATTTGAGCAGCGTGGGATCATGTCTGACCTTGATGAGGCTATCGGGCTGCATCAGGATGCATTACTCCTCCATCCCCTCAGTCATTCAGATTGATCCTCATCTCTGAGCAATCTTGCTGTCAGCCTTGGAGACAGATTTGAGCAGCGTGGGATCATGGCTGACCTTGATGAGGCTATCGAGCTCCATCGGGATGCATTACTCCTCCGTCCCCCCGGTCATTCAAATTGATCTACATCTGAATGATCTTGCATTCAGCCTTTGAGATAGATTCCATCAGCAAGGCGTCCAGTCTGACCTTCATGAAGTCTTTCACTTATATTCTCAAGTTCTCAGCTCCAAGCTGCATTTTTCAGAAAATGAGCATAACATGCTGAATAAAATTCCTAAATTCATGAAAATATTTATAGACATAGATTGAGCCAAACGCCGGGAGGCATCTAAGGGGAATTCATACTATAATGCATCATTGTCTTGCTATGAAGCAACTCAGCAAATGGCTTGGATTTTGAGTCATTTTCTGAGCTGCTTCATAGCAAGACAATGATGCATTATAGTACGAATTCCCCTTAGATGCCTCCCGGCTTTTGGCTCAATCTATTTCCATGAATATTTTCATGAATTTAGGAATTTTATTCAGCATGTTATGCTCATTTTCTGAAAAATGCAGCTTGGAGCTGAGACATCACTATTCTCAAGTCTCCCACCTATTAGGGTGCATCAGTAAACTGGTGAGTTCTTGCAGGTTCTTGCTGGGGATTATGCTGATTATGGTGCTTTTACATGGTCATATATTGCTTTATATCACTTTATATTACAATGTGACGAAAACCTTTCCTATATATTACGATATATAACGATATATGACGATATCTTCTTCTCACAGGTTCTCTGATGCGCCGCCGCCGCCGCCGGCCCGCCCCGCCCCCGCCGCCTACATGCAGCATCTCGCACAGATCTTCTTGTTGCTAAATCATGGGCGGCCTTCGCTGACACCCTCAATCACGCATCTGCATTGCTTGCCTATAAGACTGCATTGAGATTCCTGGATCAGCAAGTAGCTCTCTTGTCGCCTTCTTTCCATCATTTCGACGTCATCAAGGAGGCTGTTTCTTCCCTTGCCACAGATGCTTTTTCATGCAGCGTTCGTCAACATGCACTGACGACTGTGGTGGAGCTGGTGGAGCAAGGTCGTGCAGTTTTCTGGACCCAGTTGGCACGCTTCAGCACACCGCTGGATGAACTTTCTGTTTCAGGTGACACGGGCGCGGCCTTGGCAGAAGAGTTCAAACGGTCGAGTTTTCGCATTCGTAATGCGTTTGATCAGTCTACTGAAGACCGGTCTTCACAAATTCGGCAACTGACCATGCAATGGGATGACGTGGTTTCACGGATCCGCATGCTTCCCGACTTTTCTCGATTTCTCCTGCCTCCCCTTTTCTCGGACCTGCAGAAGGCGGTCCTGTCATCATTGTCAATGCTAGTCAGTACCGCTGCGACGCCTTGATTGTCCTGAGCGATCAAGATCCTGTCCACGTTCCAACTGATATCACGCAGACCGAAGTTGTTGATTTGTCCTCCGAGTTTCAGTCCCTTACAAAAGAATTTGGTTCTTTTGATACTAAACTCCAGCTTGTCAGCATCCTTCGTAAAATTTGGCATAAGGTCGTTGGCCCCGTAGTACAAGCCCTTAGGGTGTCAAATGTTCGCCCTAATTCGCGCATCTGGTGGTGTCCCACTGCTGAGTTCGCGCTGCTCCCTCTACATGCAGCAGGAGCTTATGAGAAGAAGAGAGATAGTTTGTCTCACATATACATCTCCTCGTACACCCCCACTTTGGCGACACTTGTTCGTGCAAGACGGCAGGTTTCTCGAGATGCCTCTCCGCAACATTTTGTTGCCATTGGTCAAGGAAACCCGGATGGAGGCCACTTGAATGCGTAGCTCCCGAGATAGCCGTTCTCACCAAGCGTCTCGCGCCCGTCGTGTCGTCCTTCACGCGGCTCGAGGACAGCGATGCAACGGTCGAGGGTGCATTTGATGCGTTGAACCGTAACCAGTGGCTTCACATGGCCTGCCACGGAATGCCTAATCGACGACAACCATTTGAATCTTCCTTCGCAATGCGTGATGGGCTGTTGATGATCAAGGACATCATCCGATCCAACTGGCAGGACCCGCAGTTCGCATTCTTATCGGCTTGCCACACTACCGTGGGCGATGAGAAGAGTCCTGATGAGTCGATCCATCTCGCTGCTGCAATGCAATTCTCCGGATTCCGCAGTGTGATTGGTTCCATGTGGTCCGTCGACGATGAGGTTGCACAGGAGGCTGCGTCTGGGTTTTACGAGAATCTGATCGACATATCAGGGAGATTGGACTGCACGCGCGCTGCAATGCCATTGCACAAGGCTTTGAAGAAATTGCGGCGCAGTGGTATTCCATTGGAACAGCAGATTGTATTTGTTCACATCGGTGTGTAGTTAGAGATCCGGTTCGCTATGTTATTCCATTTGCTGTATTTCCATTCCGTTGCTTTCCTGTTGCTTATATATGTATGATATTTCCGCATGATACTTTATTGTTCTGTACTGTACTAGTTCCACAGTGTACCGCTACATGAATCTGATTTACGTCTGCATCGTCACAGTCCTAAGTTATTAAGTGCGGTCGTAGCATATGATTGAGTGAGTAGTGTTGCCTGCGAACTACCCTTGCTGCTCCCATGTTATAGACACCATTACGTAGTACCATGTCGGATCATCTGTGGTATCAGAATCGTCAAGAACGCTCTGCAAAAATACAAGCCAGATATACTATAATCATATACAAAAGAATATGTTATGGTTGGATGACAAATGGAGCCTCGAGAAGTTCTTGAGGACGGCGACAATGTTTGAGTAACCTTCAAAATGGCAGCCTTCCTTCCATTGTTATTAGAACTTACGGGTGGTTGAATGCATCGGCGGTGAGATCAAACATCTTTTCCCAAGTCCGGTGTGCGTTTTTCAAGTAAGAATTCGGCCACAAGACCAAGTTGATCGACTTCTGATTAATCGGAGGACAAAACGAAGAGGATAACAAAAGCGTGGACATTGTGGAATCGTCAAATAACGTGGGTGCCATAAACGAGCAAGGAACAAAGTCGTGATTGATCCTTGACGGAATGTAAGAATTACTGGTGCCGGACAATATTAATAAGACCTATCGTCGAGTGCGTCGATCTTCGACGATACGCCTATCCTTCAAGAGCGTAAAGCAAGGACTCGATTGGTGTGGAGCCTGAGGAACTCACTTGAGTGAGAAGTTGAGAAGGGTATTCGTTCGCTCGTTTGTATGAGTGACTTGTCTGCGTCAATATAGTTCGGAGGCAGACGCCACGAGCTCCAAAACCTCCGAAATGCTGAGGGAAGTTCACCTAGAGTGTTCTGACTTTATTGGTAATCCAGATGGCGAACGAAGATAGATTATTGATATGAACGACATGATGCTCCCTGCGATGCCACTTGAAGGAAAGGTCGAAAGGATGAGGTGCATTGTACAAAGAGACAGTCCCAAACAACAGACTCATTTTCGTCAAGCTCACTCTAGATAAAGAGCAATGACTGAACTAGTGGGCTTGCGCAATCCAGCATGACGCGGGTAAGGGTGCCCATACAGTAGTACTGAGCTGAAGGGGCTAGATGCTTCCATTCGGATCGATGACCGGTCGAGAACGAAAAATGCGATAGAGTCGAGCTATGGCTGGTCATAATCATCTATTGATTGGAGAGTAAGGTGTGTGACTGCTGCAGTACTTATTGATATTATCGAGGACCGCATTTACTGCAGGAGCTAAGTAACCTGATATCGACGGTCTTGGACTTGCTTGTTTGTACTTTGACGTGATTCCTAAAATCGATTCACTGGTTGAGCAGAAAGACATTTGTATACCAGAGGGCGCTATCGTCTTTGGCAACCACTGGTACCTGACGGTGTGCATTCTAGGAAAAATGTATGTTCTGATCACCCTTTGGCAGGGCTATACCTTGCGACCCGTATATCCCGACCCTGACGAGAAGCATCTAGAAATTGAACACTTTAGGGCCAAAGTCTGGAGCAGACTCTGGGGCACTTAGTTTTTCCAATCAGAGTTTCAACATCATATGGCTAACATACCACGTAGGCAGCGGGATCCTAGTCGCCCCGGGATCAGCCACACTACTGACGACGACGAGCAGGCGGGTGTGTTGGCAGGCAGCGGCGGGAGGCCAATAATATGCGTATTGCGGTGCAAAGTTGTGCTTTGTCAATTTAAACTCAGCTGAACTTTGCCGGACTTACTGATGAGCCCGACCCTGACTCGGGCTCTGACGGCCGTGCATATCGCCAGGGGTACAGTGTAGTAATAGGATCTTGGGCATTGACTCGAAGGATTCCGAGGACTGCAAGATATATACGTTTATTGTCAAAAGAATATCACCGTAACAATAAAATAAAATGGTCATGTTCACAATGAATCTCCTATAAAAACTCAGAGGTCAATCACTCAAACAAACATCTTTTATCGTTTAATTTTCAGGGTGCACTCGTCGAGTCTAAAATTTTCCCGAACCTCTGTTCAGCATTATATGAATCAAGTTGAGCAGCCAGGAAGTGACCTGAATACACCGCTTGTGTGTATGATATATACAGAGAAGAGTCGGATCTATGCAAATTAGTAAAGGCCCGAATGTCGCATGAGCGAATCAGAGCCAAATGAAGGCTGGAATGTACTCACGGGATGCAGTAAGATGCTTATTCAAATAACGATGGGGTGGTACCATAGGAAAATTTGGTCCCGGATACTACAGGAAGGACAAATAGGGAAGTAGTGATACGTGGGCTACCAGATTACGACGCACAGCTGAGCAGAACAAAGGAAGCACTGAGACACCAGATGAACGGATAATATGAAAAAGCCAGGTAAGCACGAGACTGTAACAATTTAGCAGCGAGACAAAGCCAATCCAGAATCAACTGAACAAATATAAGAACCTATTGGAAAAGGAGGGAAGTGAGCTGTCGGGCAGCATGAGTGAGACTACTGGCCTTGAATCTGGCAGTCAATTTAATCTAGTCTGCAGCGGAGAGTGAGCGCGGACAAAGTTGAATGACTTACGGCGCTACATCAGTGGTGAATTGGGAGAAGGTACAAAAACACGGCGAATAGTGTGAATGGCGGGGAATATAACCGGATGGTATTATCATATTGGAATACAAACGAACGACTGGGTGTTGGATCCGGAATTTGGCGGGCAGGTGGCGCGGGGCAAGCGCAGCAGGGTGAAAAGGAAGCGCTAGGTACGGCGCCAGCCTGCCACAAGGTTACATAGCAAAGCAACTTTTGGAAGCCGAGCATATAGGAGCACTGGTGATGTATTTTACATAAAACTGGAAGGGAAGGTTTAGGTACGAGTCCCAGGCCCAAGTGCTAGTGAGGCCCTGCAAGGGTTAGTTAGCGGGAACCGAACCGGTTGTAAAAACAGAATAAGGCGAGAATAGATGGACATACCGTAGATGAGGAAAGGTTTGGCGGCCACCGGAAGTCTCACAGTAATTTCCCATCGCCCCTGAGACATTTAGTTCACACAGTGTCAGCAACTGCCACTAAGCCACTGGGTTTCATTTCGTCTCCATAAACTCTGTTCTCACCAGAGCCTGGCGTATAATTCTCATGTGTACTAATCATAAGCACCCGTCGTCCGACTCTTCATGAAAACCGTTTAAACACGATTCAATTCAGAACCGCCAATTACATCTTCTGCTCACACCAGCTCATCTTGTCTGGCAGTTTTCTCTTCTAGATCGTCTACGCGCAACACCGGGATTCGCTTCTGACTGGGGATATTTACCGGAAGTCACCGTTCTCCACACTGCCAGTTGCCCCATAGAAATTAGACAGGGTTATGTCAGTAGTGACCCTTTCCTTTTTACTTATCCTCCCTTCATCTCTTCTGGAACCAGCTCCCCTTCTCGCCTCTCGAAGACAGTGACCGACAAGTGGCTAGCGGCAATTTACAGCTACAGACACAGCAGGCGAATGGTCAACTGGTCGGATCCCAGTGTCATCTCAAAATGCAGCAGTATTGTAGAGCACACTAATTTTTTATGTCTTGGTATGTACATGTGCGTATCGCTACTTCTCATATTCAAGAGCTCCTGCTCATGGCCAACTTGTAGGTGGGAGTACGCAGGATCATGGCAAGTTGAACTTGCTTTGATTTGCAAACGCATACCACCTAGATGGCCTCTAGTAAGCAGCAGTTTGTATACATGTCCATTGTCACAGAAATGCCAATCTCATCAGCTACCATACATCACCGGTCGTATTCTTCTTCTGTCATCCATGACTTTGATGTGCGTATCTATCCATCGACTGTCGCAGCAGACTCTCATGAACATCAGTTGCTGGCTCAGCAGCCCGACCCCTTCTAGTGTGGATTGCCACAGTGAATCTTTCATTAAATTTTAATCTACTAGACGCGTGCTCAGGTTCTTCATGACAGGCGCTTTTTTGGCCTTTTCTGTGAGTGTGCTATGATGTACCGCTGATTCATCGTCTCAATTGGTGTGACAGTTTGCAGGAAATGCATCCATTGGTTGTTCTTCCTTGAACTTAATGTTACGACCGTGAGCTTCAGTAGCAATTCCGATTCTCGAAGCCCTACCTCAACATGCACAGATTCGTAATTTGGAGAGCATTCAGATGTATCCGTATATTTCTGGTCTTAGCCACGGTTGGCCACTGGATCATCCTGTTACGGGGTGAGTTGTCTGAAGCGATACTATAATTTGATCCTTAACACCGCCATCACAGTAATGGTTGCCTTCTCCGTCATGAAAGTGAATGGCAGTTGTGGCTTCATGGTCATTGACCATACTGATATGACCACTATATTTGTCTACAGTATGTCCCAGAGACAGTGTTCTATTCCATCACTGACGCCTTGCACAGCGATGGCTTATGATATACTGGCGCTTGTCTTGACTATCATCGGCCTTCGAAATATGCCATCGTCTAATGCATTGTGGAAACTATTATGCAAACAGGGGATAACATATGTCCTGATCACCTGCGTAGCAAATATCATACCAGCCGTACGTGGAAATGAACAGAATCCAAGATCCATCTGATTCCATGTCTCCTGCAAAGGCTGTAGCTTCGTTGAATCTGAATAGTAAGTGACCTCCTGCTATTTGATATCATTTTGAAATTTATAGCACGCTAGCTGCCATGAACGTTATATTTGCGATGCCGGGTAAGTTGTTGCAGAAAATTTCCAATCACTATCTAATCATTGTCATACCAGCATCTGCTATCAGGTCTGGATCTGCATATGTTATCACGCTCGCCGTTTATTCAATTACTTTGTAGCACTGTCGCATCGGGTCGAATAGTTGTTGCCTTCCTAGACCTAAAGTCAAGGTACGAGTGACAAGATGGATTTTTCAACCATACTCTCAACATTTCCAGCTCCTGCGCAGAAGACATAAGTAGTCGAGATGCACCACTTACCACCGTGGTGACACTGCCCACGTGAGTTCTTGTTATGATTTTACCTTTATTGGATGATGGACATGGCACACAGTGGATCCTCTATGAATGCCCCAAACCTCGTATGATGTTTGGGACGGGATCGATCCATCAGTTCCTGATGGCAAACTTTGGGAAGCGGTTCATTGACAACAGCATAGTACGGCCGCCTTCACCTAGCCGGCCACGGGTTTGGGGATAGAAAAGCAGGCATCAGTAGTAGTATGGACTTTGCCTCTTTCTCATGCGCTAGACTCCCATTCCCTTTCTTCCTTAGCGACATTGTCAAGATAGCGAACTCGCGAATGAATTTTTTACTTGTTTGGAGATGCGGCGGCCTTCTCACGAATTACTGACATCTGTGAGCATATCCTCCGTCAACAAGATACGAGGTGTGGGTATAGCAATCAGCTGGCATCTGGGGTACCGCATGGCTCTCGTTTATATGGTATGTCATCTCTCCGCTGCATAATTCGTGATGCCGGGCACGGGGCTAATAGGGGTCTAAGGGCGCCTATTCGGTCTCCACGGCCTTTCCACGACTCAGTCAGCACGTAGACCTGAATGCGCATAGCTTCGGATCATCGATATGCGCTTTTATCTCAATCAGAACGTAGACTGGAATGTGCGTAGCTTCGCATCATCAATGATCGTCTTGCTTTCAGTCAGCACATAGACTAGAATGTGCGTAGCTTCGGATCATCAACGATGCTTTGCTGGACTTAGGCCGCTGGCCTCTGCTCCAGGGACCAATCACTACTGCCTTATACACAGAATCCCTCTGATCGGCGATACGTTCCGAATCGTCAAGCCCCTGACGTGGCACCTGATGGATCGGCAAGTAGTCTCCCAGCATCCAACTGCCCACGTCCAGATCACATTGTGAACACCGAGTCGATTAAGGCTTGGGAAATGATATGTCTTGGACTATAATACATATGTAGAAAGCATCTATCTCGAGATGTTGGAAGCGGCGAAACTCCAAGCGAGAATAATCCGTGCTCACGTTCAAGTTCGTCGGGTCCTTGTGCCGCCGCATCCACTCAGTGCCTCTGATTACATATGAAGTCCCAAACGATCTCAGTGACTAGTTCTTGGAATGATGAGTTTCACTACGTAGTCGAGATATTGCCAACCTGCTATGCCTAATATCGGGTAATGTTATTCTACAATATATAACCAGCGCTTCTAAACATACAATCAAACTGCAACTCACCCAAACATTAATATCGCTAGTACCGAACTCCCAAAAGTAGTACACACTCCAAAATCAGATAACAGCTCAGCGGAACGCTGGCAACCCATAAATATACGACAAATAAGAATAAATATAAAGGTATGAATCACGCCCTGGATACCGTGAACTCCACTTCCCGAGCCATCTCGTTCAGAAGGAATGGAATGTCATCTTCAGCTATACCGCATTCCTGCAAGACGGTCGGCCAGTTATATTGCTCGTAGCCTTGGTCTTGCTGGAGGCACCGGGTCACCTCACGCCGAACAACAAGAGAAGCATTGCACAGCTGCAGAGCGTTGTCTAGCGGAAAACTGAAATTGTGGTTATGACTGGCAGGCCGTTCGCGGAGTATAGGTGAATCGCGATACGGTACGGGACAGTCACCCCCTGAGTTTTCGGATGCTTCATAAGAGCCTTCCCGACTGGGTAAAAACATGCTAGGAATGTCCGTCTCCGAAGGGTATTGTTCCATAACGACGAGCGGTTGCTGGGGTAAATCTTTTCCTGTCCGTGGTGGATAACTGATATCGCCTCGGGTGGTCATAGCTGATTGTGAAGAGAATCCAGGATGAAGTTGTTGGACAATCTCGGGTGTACGAGGATTTAGATAACTAGAATGCGAACTAGAAGAGCTCTTGGAGCTAGACGAAAAGGGACGAGATTTGGCTGGCGGCGGTGAGTGAAATCGCGGGCTATGCAAATCATAGTCGTCAGTTGCATCTAGTGGAATATCGGGGAGGGGAGACGTCGGAGGTGGAGAATTGTATGAAGTTCGGAGTTTTTTTGGAGAATGGGTAAACGTTGATGACATCGGCGATGATGGGAGAGTAGAGGAGCGAGAACGACCGGAGCTGATCTGAAAAGCATACGGCGATAGTACGGGCAATCTTCCTGGGGCATTGATGGGTGGCAGCGAAGGCCTCCTCAACGAGGTCTCGGAAGTATTGTGCAAAGCCTCCTCGGGTTGAATCCGATCTTCCTCTATTATGGATGTGCCTACATGTTGAACGGGCGAGTAAGATGGTTGTAACCAGCTTTTGGGGGTGGAGGGACTAGGACTTGGAGTTGCAAAATCTCGCTGCGCCGACAGGCTCTGACGACTATCCCGGCGAGTCCTCGCAGCCGTTTCACGGAGGACAAAGTCAGGCAGGGGTACATCTGGTGATCGTGGAAGACACGTAGATGCTCTAGCATCTCGGAAAGCGGTGTGCAAAGTGGTGTCATTGATGAACTGCGTGCAGGAAGTTGTGTTAACAGAGGGCGGTGATGGTAAAATATCAAGGCTACCGACTTTCAATTCCAGCTGTCGCAATTTTTTCAGAATGTGTTCTGTCGGCCTTCCTTTCTCCTGCTTTCGTGTTATGTACCTCGTGAGAGCTTGCCTAGCCTTGTCGGTGTCAGTCCCGCAGTTGGCAAGCACGGTGATAACCTAACATAGTAAGTATGTATGAGCATGGACGCCGCAGGAATAAGATAAATCACCTCCATTTGGGAATCACCGTTGAAGATAGTGCTCATATTACTAGTAAGTGGGGTTTCCTGCTTGTATTAGCCGTTTTGACGAAAGTGGATGGTATAATGATAGTAGGGAGGGAGCAATATTGAAGGAGCGCTGGGGTTGCCCAAACTATGCATCCACGTTTATGAGCAATTGGGAACGTTATCGCAGTCTGCCAAGTGATCTCTGTGTCATCGGTGCACTAGGGCCCAGCACCTACTAAACGCCGTACCAATACTAAATTATATTAACGCACGTTTGCCGATGCAGAAGTAAAATTCCTTATTTTGAAGAATAGTCGTCGCGGAGCTCGATTTTACCTGGGAATGAGCACTTGAGCCCCGCTACTGAAGCTTTGAAGCTAGAAGGTTCACTTACATGCCACTCTTCCCAAGTATGTACTAGCGTTCATAGCACGTTCGTCTAGTAATAGTGCCGGGATTCGGGTCAAGGACTACTGGAATAGACCCATCAGCTGCGGAAGAATCCCGACTTGACGCTCCTCCCGACCGCCACTATGAGCGCGTAGGATAAAGACCACGTTCTTGTAAGGGAGCTCGGAAAGAAAAGCACTACAGATCAAGGCACTTATACGGGTCATACACCCACGACAGGGATCCTCAGTGACTGCAGTCCCTAGTAGCGGGTAAAATATGTTTCACTTGTACGGTAGATAGCTCATTCGAGCCGCAACCTCGCCTTGTTCGGATCTCCAGTCTAACGGAGCTTGGATGCGACAAATATAAATCTGATAGATGATCATAATGGACGTGCCACTTACTGCGCATGTGGAGCCATAGTACATTATAATAGTTCAAAGTTCAAACCAGGACGCTCCGTGTCGATGTTCCACTAAAAATGGATGATTTGAATAGAGGCCCGATGACTCGGAGAATGGAGCCTCGGAGAGTCAATGCTCCCTCGAAGTTCCTGGATCATCGGAACTGGGTTGATGTAGGGTCACCGAGAATGAGGCGGTAATGTAGGCGTCAGCGGGATTAGCGCCAGCAATCATAGCCTACGGGTGATTTCGGGGAGCATCATGCAGTACTAAAACCAAGTTGTCCGAGTGCCTTACCTCATCTCAACTTTGTCTCGGAAAATATGGACAACTGTCACGACGACTCATGGTGGCACTGGCCCCGGACAATGCCAATAGGAACTCTTTCAATTGTCCATTTGAAACCCTTGATTTATCAAGTTGAAGCCTTCAATCAATCTTCGATAGATGATTTGATCATCATTGGTGGAACAACGTACATAGTGCTCACCGCCGAAACGTTCGAACAATTTAATGATCGGTCATCGCTAACTGAGTTCTAAGTATATCGTGTATGTCCAGAATTTCCAATGACAATGTGTCGAACATCATAATCAGGGCTGCAAGCTCCCCTGACAATTTCAAATCGACGATGATTCAGCTCTGGAGGAAAAAAAACTTCTGTTCTCTATTCACTATTGCCCAGTTTGCGCTTCTTGTTCCCCCTAGTATTGACACTCGACGCCACCGTAGTGTGAACTCTATTTCTATTCGTTGCGACGCTGTCCGACATCTGTGCTGCAAAGTCAGACAAGCCAGGCAAGCCACCTACAGCACGCGCGTGCGTTATCCAGAGTTTCGGATCAGAAAAGTCGATCGCCTTGCCACGCAAGGGACCGGCAGCAGCGTTTGCAGCAGTGCCCTTGATGGAAGGATAGTGACGAGGGTAGTGTGCCCCAGTAGAGGTAGAGCCAAAGGTGAATGCACCAGATGGACCGGAGGTATACGCATGGGTGTTTTTAGTGCTATTAGCGGCGGCGTCCGCACTGCTTCCCGCAGCGACGTTCTGCTTCGTATTACATCGAGAGTAGTATGCATGTGCAAAAGCAGCGACCGCAACCTCGTGAGCAGCACCGCCTGTTGTGTTCATAGATCCAGGGCGCACACTTTTAGTGGGGACGTGTGCTTCTGAGGACGCTACGGTAGTTGGGACTGGGTTCGCCGAGTGCGTAGACGTAGTACCGGCACCTCTGGTAGATCTGCGCGAAGGGTCACACTCTACAGCATCAGTGGGGGCTATGGCTGCCGTTGACGCACTCGTAGGTGGAGCTACTGTGGATGCAGGGGTAACAGGGCGTGGGCGGGCAGGTATAACGATAGTGATGGGAGTCGATGTCTCCCCATCTCGACCCTGACCACGCCCTTGTGCGTCGCCTCTATTCCCTTTCGCACCCCTAGCACGCAAATAGATACGACCACCTCTAGCAGGGGCTGCTTGTACTTGCGCCAAGTCCTGGGTACCAGTCGTTGCCTCCGACAGCGTTGCAGTAGTATTCACATGTCCGGTAGTGTCGGGTTTCGATGATGCGTGGGATGCGGAGGGTGGGAGTTCGATGGACCAGGGCGCGGTCAAAGGGGATTGCCGCACGGTAACGGGCGCCAGTTTCAGACTCGAGCTAGCAGCAGTACCACTGATCGTTTGTTCCGAATTCCAATTAATCGAGATATTTGAGCTAGCTGTGGACTGAGATGCTGAATGGGTATTAGTGGGAGTCACAGGCATGCGAGAAGGCATCACTCTGCCGCATGTGGGACACTTGACGCCTGTAAGCACGACTGTATTCGCTTCCACCTTGCGCAAGATCCTATCAATCCCACGGAGAGGCGTATGATACAAACTCCCATTGTTAGGCGTATGATAGATACTGGCAGAGCGTGTGCACACCATCACACCCGCTACAGAAGGGTTAGGAGTTGTTGAATTCTTCTGTGTAACTTCAGAGACAGCCTTGTACGTTTCGTGGCTCGAAGTTGTCGAATTCTGATCTTTCTTCGCTTCCTCTTTCTTCGCCTGTTCTTTCTTGCGCTGGCGAGCTTTGGTCTGTTTCTCACTTTCAGCTAGTGCCGCTGCTTGCGCTTGCTTGGGAACTTTGATTTGTCTGCCGAATCTTGTCGTCGTAGGAAGGTCCACAGGAAGGTTCAGTGGTGACCGAGCTGCAACGGAAGGCTATAAATAACCGTCCTACAACCAGTATCTCAGAGATGACTTACGCCGGTGTTGCTCAAGGGTGTCGTGAATACGAGAGCTGGCTTCCACAGCAAAAGGCAATTGTTGGCTCATCTCGAAGTCTGATGAAAAGAAATCAGGTATAAATTTAGAACGCTGATCGAGCCACCCGACCGTATCCGAACGCAAAGTCCTCAATGTCCAGACTAGACGCTCCACGACCATGCATGTTTTCAACTGCTGCATCTGCAATACTATCAATAAGTTGGGTGTGAGCTTCATAGATAGTGTTCGTGATGATCGTCAAAAGCTAGAGGGGCGATCATATCGAGAACTCTGGGTATTCTTTGAAGTGGCTCTTACCACAGGTATGTCGCTTCCCACAGTTGACATCCCAAAACGCGCGCGGAAGTACTCTGTCGCCCATCTGTGCACGTCCGTGAAGCTCTCGATCAACTGAGGACCGAGTTGGCGAGATGGATCAATAGGAGGATTTTTGGGGTGGTCACGATTGGCAAGCAATTGCAGGGCCCCCTGGATAAATTGAGAAGGCTCGTTGAGCTATGAAACCGTCAATGGAGTGTTTCTGTGACATGAGCAGAAAGAACCTACCGATACACTGACCCTCTGACCGAGTGGCAGAGGAATTTGCCTGTTGGCATAATCTTGTAGGATGGGCCGAGTATGTGCAATCCATTCGTCGGTTGACTGGAAGCTTGAGTCGTAACATGCTGACAAGTAGACGGAACGCCATGACTCACAGAAAAATCGGGTGATGGATAAAATAGATCTTCATCGTCCAACGGGCCGAGATCAGTTGGACGTTGGCCAGAATAAAATTTGTCTTCTCTCAAAGCTTTCCCCTTGCCCTTTGCGACAGCAGAACGTCTCCTGTCAGTATTCTTTTTAGGTAGCGAAATAAATTCCTGGAGTGTGGGCTGCAAAAGCGGTGGGCAAATGGTTGATGGTAAGCGCTGAGTAGATGAGCCCATGTCACCAGGCAAGAGCCCGCGCGGTTGGCCAGGAAGAGTGGAGTATACGTTGTCACACATGCCACTATATGATATGAGAGTTGGCGTTGTGGTATCAGAAGGATCATAAGAGTAGTATGAATCTGCGCCTGTGGTGGGTGGTACTGTTATAGGATTGATGCCAGGCTGGTATTCCTCATCCTTATCATTCGAGGGAGGGGTTGTTCGTGATGAGGTGAATGACTCAGTATCTAAGTTTGAGGTAGCGCGTCGGACACGAGTGGTTCTTCTGACCATACTGTGAGATTAGTGATAAGGAAAATAAGTGGTTCTGTCTGCTGAATGAAAACTGGTGCTTATGAAAGACCAAGGAGTTACTGCTGTGGCTGCCCATCGTCATCGTCAAAACACGCAAACAGGTTATCACTGCTTCATAAACAAAGGTGTAAGACCGTGATTCAGCGTGAAAGGGAGTGTTAGACAAAGGAAGGATATCATGTTACTGACTTGGAAAAGTCAGAATGGTGCTGCTATGCAATGAATCGGCATTGTCTCTCAGAGATCGTGTAGACGTAGGGTACAGGCTCATGAAGTAAGTTTGTTGACTATTACATAATTTAAAGTTTCTTTTTATATTTGGTTACTCACTCTCACGAGTTGCGGCGCGCAGACCAACTTTTAAGTACTGTTGTCTCCTTGCAATGCTTGACTCACATCAACAAAGTGCCAATCCAAACGAGACACGCTCGTCGCTAATATCGCACCAAGGCAATTACTAGGTCACACTGCTACAATGAATATCACAAGCAAGGTTTCAGGCCTAGGTTCCAGCCGGCATTTCACGAGTACGAATCAATCTGCAAAACAATCATATTGGCGGCCTCATGAGCACGAAATATAGTCAAAGTATAGTTATACTATTGCGCATCATATAGCAATCGGTGCGGAATTCGAAACTGTTATCGCCCCACAATTCAAAGAGTTTGACATAACCGCCATACACAGGAACATGCGTGCACATCGCTTTACGATCGTACAGTCGTGATTCGAGTTGTATTGAATTATCATGCATCTTGTGCTTCCCACTGCCAGTTGCGTAGTCTGGCAGTACTTCCAAATTTGACGAGGGCTTCGAGAGTGGTTTGGGATGGCACTTCCTTCTGCCGAGAGACAAGCCTGCGCAGCCCGCTCACAACTTGGGGATGTTGACTCAAGAATGGAAATGTGGTTTTGCTTATTTCAGAAGCGTAGACCCTCAGACATCGGTCCGTTTCAACAAGATTTGGCTCATTTTCCTGGAATGTAACGTTAAGCTTTGGTTCCACATTGAGGTCGAGGAGAAGAGCGATGCAGGGGAGATTCGATAGGCACTGGATTGAATCATGTGTACAAGTGACGTACCCCAAGTCTGGCCCATGGTAATTGTTTTCCCGCTTTGTCGGAAATAAATATCTGTGAGATGCGTTTTAGATCTTCGGAGCCAAGGATACGATCGTCAAAATAGATGGGAATCATCTTGTCGACGAGCAGCAGCAGATGATAGCATTGGACCGCGCTTGTGTGATGCCAGTATCGCAAAGTTCACTCTTCGGCACTGCATCTCAGAGGCGTACACCGTAGCTGATTATCAGTTCGGAGTGCAAAGTTCTATCTTTAGAATGATGCCTGTACCTCTATTACAATGTTTTGTAAACCTAACGGTCGACGGTCTTGTGGCACGGGCAATCCAACGGGTCATCGAGAACGACACAAAGATCTACCTTGATCTTCAGGTGGAGTCAAAATGTCTTCGAACACGCGCGTCCACCACTAACTTATCACCAGGATGGTCACATCAGGTTCCTATCATACTATAGGAAGACCGCAATACGTGACTCGCACTGGTCCGATTTATCCGCGGGTTTGTATAAGTATAAGTCAGCGTAATCATGCACTCTAATCTCACCGTACCCGTCGCTCATCACAGTAAGTCGCCACCTTTGTGTTCTGGAGTACTTGACGCGTTGCAAAGTAGCGGGGTATCTGAATCGTGACGATAAGCAAGCCGGACCGTTTCAATGGCGATCATCATTGCCGCATGCACCCTTATCATTATCTTGGCCAGCGTCTGGACAGTGAAACAACGATATCAGGCCACAAGACGGTTGCCATTACCGCCTGGACCGCCTGGACGTTGGCTATTAGGAAATGCGATGCCAAAGTCATAGTAAGTCATTGTCGAGGGACACCAACATGATCTCTATCTAACCCCTCACGCAGCGCGCCGTTTCAATTCGCGAGATGGACAGAACAATACGGACCTGTGTTCTCGCTCAAGCAAGGCCATAGGATTTTTGTAATTATAGGACGTCATCAGGTAAGCATAAAACAATACATTGTCTAGCCAGACATGAAGTGGATTACGTCACAGGCTGCAGTGGATATCATGGAAAAAGAAGGAGCAAATGTTGCCGGCCGCCCACGTTTTATTGGAGTGCAAGAGACGTTGTCTGGCGGGTTCAGGGTGTCCCATGAGGACAGGGATGAGATATTGCGCCGGATGCGCAGGTACACATCCTGTCTCTACTAAGTGCTATCAGTGAGACTAAATGTAAAGCAGGGTCTTACATCCAAACTTGCAACCTAAGGTTGCGGAGACCTACGAGCCCATGCAGACCAGGCATGCGAAGAATCTGGTTCTAGATATCTTAAATGATCCACAGAACCACCAGAGACATGCCATGCGGTACGAACACCAGCTCATACTCGCGGTACAGGTGTTAATCCGAGGATTTCAGTTATTCAGCTTCCGTGATCATGTCCTTAACCTATGGAAAAATTACTCCGACTTCATATACAGATCCTGAGGTCCTTTCCATCAATAGGTTTTCTACGCTTATTGGTCAAGCTATGAAGCCGGGAGCATATCTTGTGGATTCGTATCCAATCCTGCGTTTCGTCCCAGGCTACCTGAGCGAGCTGAAGGCATGGCACAAAGAAGAACTTGCTTTCTATGACGGGCAGTTAGACGCAGTGCGAAGACAGATGGTTCGTGATTTTCTTGTGATGATAGATATGCTCGCTCACCACTGTAAAGCGTGAGGGAACTGCTACAGGTCCATCCTTTGCGAGGTTCATATTAGAGCACCAGAAACAGTACCAGCTCAAAGATGCGGGACTGGGATACCTTGCAGGTGTTGTATTTGCGGCCGGTTATGATACGGTAAGTTCTTACATTGCATCGCGTGTTCGCTCGACAACTGTTGTAGACTGCGTCCGCGATCACAATTATGATGATGGCTGCTGCCACTCATACAGATGCGCAGGCTCGCGTACAAGAGGAACTCGATAACGTCGTGGGGCGTATGCGGCGTAGGTTATGCCTTTTCTTTGTTCGTCTACTGACTGAGATAGCTCCTGATTAGTGCCGATGTTTACTGATCAGGAGGTGCTGCCGCAGGTTACTGCGTTCATACTCGAGAGTCTCAGGTGGAGACCTGTCACTCTTGGAGGTACGTCTTATTTGAGTTGTGATGATGCGATAATTATCGACCACCTTGCACTACAGGCCTTGCGCATCGCGCGAGTAAGGACGTCATTTGGAACAACTACCTCATTCCGGCAGGTGCGACTGTTGTTGGGAACCATTGGTCAGCAGGCAATCATTTTCGTCCTCTCACCTTTGGGTCTGACGCTCGTGCTTCAGGGCCATCGCAAACGATCCTGAAGTCTTTCCAGAACCACAGACGTTTAATCCTCAGCGTTGGATTGACGATGCAGGTCGTGTGCGCGGTGATCTCCGGTTTTTTACTTATGGCTTTGGCCGTCGGTGAGTGGCATCGTTCATCTCTCGACCATTTCTTATGCCTTACTTGAATGTCAGAGTGTGTCCCGGTCAACATCTCGCGAATCGGTCCATCTTCATCAATACGGCTCTCATTCTGTGGGCCTTCCGCCTTTCTGAGAATCCTGCCGCGAAGATTGACACGCTTGCATTCACGGACACTTTACACATACAAGCTGCTCCGTTTGAGATATGTTTTGAGAAGAGGATCGATGAGAACGTGATCAGGGAACTATGCGTACCGGGAAAATAAGAGGGGTTTATTCCAGAAACTTGAATTTTTGTGCAAAGGACTTCGTCTTGCGTTTTGGTGTTTTTTTTTTGTCTATCCGACCCAAACTCGTCGTTACACCTAATTTTGTATATCTTCAAACAGGTGTCAAGATATGACTATCGACGTCACTCTCGTACGTCCTCATCTGTTTCTTTACATCTTCAACGACTCTTTGTTACATGCCTCATACACGTTCTCCTTTGATTCTCCGTCCCAATTAGCGTATTATGACTTCCCTCCGTCGAATATCCTCCTTAGTCTTTTGACCCAATGAAAAGTCTCGTTCCCATTTCTAGTCCAAGCCTCTCGAATCGTCAGGACAGGCACAATTGTAATCATGAACTGGCTCCCCTTGGTGTTACCACGCATCAAGTATCTCTCGATACACTGCGATACTCCAAGTTGCATGGCTGATCGCGAACTGTTTACAGACAGCCCCCGGATAAAACGAAGTATAGTATTGAAGTGGTATCCTTTTACCATTCAATTATTCGGCCACCACCCATGCGCTTTCTTTTTCTAGCTGGCCAAAATGAAGATCAGACAACTTGACTTTGCTCTCAAAGTCGACACGGGTTTCATTGTGTGCTTCCCAGTCTCATGGTTCCGGTCACGTTAGTCTTTAACGTGGCTGACAGCCCCATCAGCTATATGTTCTTTACCTTCACTTCGAGGCAGCTCTGAAGCACCTCAAGCTATGTGACATCTCTCATTTAATTCTTACTCAGCGAGTCGTGTTTCGGCTTTCTCACTGATGTCGTGGCTAATGGCACAATACGTGATTCATTGCTGGCTTGGTCGATGTGGTTGTTGCTCCTGGAGTATGGGCAATTTTCCCTGCTTCATGGTCAATATAACAATCGGTGCGGAATTCGAAACTGTTATTCAAAGAATCTGACATCGCCATCATACACAGGAACATGCGCGCAATTATCGCCCTACATCGCTTTACATTCGTACAGTCATGATTCGAGCTGTATTGAATTATCATGCATCTTGCGCTTCCCACTGCAAGTTGCGTAGTCTGGCAGTACTTCCAAATCTGACGAGGGCTTCGAGAGTGGTTTGGGATGTAGGGGAGATTCGATAGGCACTGGATTGAGTCATGCGCGCGAGTGACGAACCCCAAGTGTTGCCCATGGTAATTCTTCCCCGCTTTGTCGGAAATCAACATCCGTGAGACGCGGTTTAGATTATCGGAGCCGAAGGCAGGATCGTCAAAATAGATGGGAATCATCTTGTCGACGAGCGGCTGCAGATGACAGCATTGGACCGCACTTGTGCAATGCCAGTATCGCAAAGTCCACTCTTTGGCACTATATCTCAGGTGAGAATCTTAGATAATACCAGCTTGCTTACCTCAACAAATCGGCGTAGTTCGATCGGGAACTGCCAGTGAGATAAACTCTGTCATAGACACCCAGCGCGAGAAATTGATGTAGGCATACTGAAAAGCTGCCTTGTCTGATGAGATAAGTAACTGCGGATAGCTAGCGGAGCGCTGCAGCGCCCATCCGCCGAATCTCGTTATTCCTAAAACCTTCTAGGCAGAGTAACTAGGCGTAGCTACTTATAAGTTCGGAGTACAAAGTTCTATTTTTAGAATGATGACCCAGTCGACCTCCATTACTTAATGTTTTGTAAACCTAACGGTCGACGATCCTGTGGTACGACTCGACGAGCAATCCAATGGGTCATCGAGAACGGCATGAAGATCTACCTTAATCTTCAGGTGGAGTCAAAATGTATTGGAACACGCGCGTCCACCACTAACTTATCACCAGGGTGGTCACATCAAGTTCCTATACTATAGGAAGTACGTACTACGTGACTCGCGCAGGTCCGATTTATCCGCGCAGGCGTTCAATCCGTGTTTGTATAAGTATAAGTCAGCGCAATCATGCACCCTGATCTCACCGTACCCGTCGCTCATCACAGTAAGTCACCACCTTTGTGTTCTGGAGTACTTGACGTGTTGCAAAGTAGCAAGGTGCCTGAATCGTGACTATCAACAAGCCGGATCATTTCAATGGCGATTATTATTGCCGCATGCACCCTTATCACTATCTTAGCCAGCGTCTGGATAGTGAAACAACGATACCAGGCCGCAGGACGGTTGCCATTACCGCCTGGGCCGCCTGGACGTTGGCTATTAGGAAATGCGATGCCAGAGTCACGGTAAGTCGTTGTCGAGGGACACTAACACGATCTTCATTTAACCCCTCACGCAGTGCGCCGTTTCAATTCGCGAGATGGACAGAACAATACGGACCTGTGTTCTCGCTCAAACAAGGCCATAGGATTTTTATAGTTATAGGACGTCATCAGGTCAGCATAAAACAATACATGGTCTAGCCAGGCATGAAGTAGATCACGTCACAGGCTGCGGTGGATATCATGGAAAAAGAGGGAGCAAATGTTGCCGACCGCCCACGTTCTATTTCAGTGCAAGAGACGTTATCTGGCGGGTTCAGAATGCCCCTTGAGGACAGTAATGAGAAATTGCGTCGGACGCGCAAGTACACATCCTGTCTCCACTAGGTGCGATTAGTGTGACTAACTGTAAAGCAGGGTCTTGCATGCAAACTTGCAACCTAAGGTTGCGGAGACTTATGAGCCCATGCAAACCAGGCATGCGAAGAATCTGGTTCTAGATATCTTAAATGATCCAAAGAACCACGAAAGACATGCCATGCGGTACGAACACCAGCTCATACTCGTGGTACAGGTGATAATTTGAGGATTTCAGTTATTCAGCTTCCGTGATCATGTCCTTCACCTATGGAAAAATTACTCCGACCTCATATACAGATCCTGAAGTAGTTTCCATCAACAGGCTTTCTGCGCGTTTTGGTCAAGCTATGAAGCCGGGAGCATATCTTGTGGATGCATATCCAATCCTGCGTTTCGTCCCAGGCTACTTGAGTCAGCTGAAGGCCTGGCACAAAGAAGAGCTTGCTTTCTATAATGGACAGTTAGATGCAGTGCGAAGACAGATGGTTTGTGATTTTCTTGTGATGATAGATATGCTCGCTCACCACTGTAAAGCGTGATGGAACTGCAAGTCCATCCTTTGCGAGGTTCATATTAGAGCACCAGAAACAGTACCAGCTCGAAGATAAGGAACTGGGATACCTTGCAGGTGTGATGTTCGGGGCCGGTTCTGATACGGTAAGTTCTTACATTGCATCGCGTGTTCGCTCGACAACTGTTGTAGACTGCGTCCGCAATCACAATTATGATGATGGCTGCTGCCACTCATACAGATGCGCAGGCTCGCGTACAAGAGGAACTCGATAACGTCGTGGGGCGTATGCGGCGTAGGTTATGCCTTTTCTTTGTTCGTCTACTGACTGAGATGGCTCCTGATTAGTGCCGACGTTTGCTGATCAGGAAATGCTGCCGCAAGTTACTGCATTCATGCTCGAGAGTCTCAGGTGGAGACCCGTCAGTATTGGAGGTATATCTTATTTGAGTTGTGATGATGCGATAATGATCGACCACCTTGCACTACAGGCTTTGCGCATCGCGCGAGTAAGGACATCGTTTGGAGCAACTACCTCATTCCGGCAGGTGCGACTGTTATTGGGAACCATTGGTCAGCAGGCAATCATTTTCGTCCTCTCACCTTTGGGTCTGACGCTCGTGCTTCAGGGCCATCGCAAACGACCCTGAAGTCTTTCCAGAACCTCAGACGTTTAATCCTCAGCGTTGGATCGACGATGCAGGTCGTGTGCGCAGTGATCTCCGGTTCTTCACTTATGGCTTTGGCCGTCGGTGAGTGGCATCGTTTATCCTCGACCATTTCTTATGCCTTACTTGAAAATGCCAGAGTGTGTCCCGGTCAACATCTCGCGAATCGGTCCATCTTCATCAACACGGCTCTTATTCTGTGGGCTTTCCGCCTTTCTGAGAATCCTGCCGCGAAGATTGACACGCTTGCATTCTCGGACACTGTAAACATACATGCTGCTCCGTTTGAGATATGTTTTGAGAAGAGGATCGATGAGAATGTGATCAGGGGACTATGCGCACCGGGCAAATGAGAGGCGTTTATTCTAGAAACTTGGATCTTTATGCAAAGGAGTTCGTCTTGTGTTTTGGAGTGATTTCGTTGTCTATCCGACTCAAACTCATCGTTACACCTAACTTTGTATATCTTCAAACAGGCACGATTGTAATCAATCATGAACTGGCTCCCCTTGGTGTTACCACACATTAAGTATCTCTTGATACACTGCGATCTTCTCCAAGTGGCGTGGCTGATGGTGAACTGTTTACAGACAGCCTCCGGACAAAATGAAGTATAGTATTGGAGTGGTATCCTTTTACCATTCAATTATTCCGCCACCACTTATACACTTTCTTTTTCTAGCTGGCCAAAACGAAGAGCAGACAACTTGACTTTGCTCTCAAAGTTGATACGGGTTTCATTGTGTCCTTTCCAGTTTCATGGTTCCGGTCACAGTAGTCTTCAACGTGTATATCCACGATCGAGTTATATGCTCTACCCGTAAGCCTCTTAGAATCACCATACTCCATATCGTTGAATTGTGCTTGAAACCAGACGATTGTTGTCTAACATATAACCATTTGACAGTAGCCAGCGATTGGTTGGTTCAATCAAATGATCGATAGACCGGTGGTCTCCAGGACATCGACACCCTGCTCCACCATTCATGCACGATTTAGCACTCCTTCTCTGCGGCCGAGATGGATCATGAAGATGGCCAGACGTTCTCGCTGATCTGACACAGTATCAGCCATCCAAGGTTTCACGACTCGCTATCACTTCTTCTTTTGCTTCGCTCAGGTGCACGATAGAGCCACTGCGATCTGATCAAAATTCCGTATATTAGAATATCGTGATCAGCGCCTTACTAATACTTTTCCAGGTGCGCTTGATGCCTTCCGACTTGAAGCCCCGGTTATCTTCTCTACTTCCCTATCAGTGATTCTCATCTCCTTGCCATGCGTATTCATTCATGTCAGAGGCAAATACTCACCTCGTGAGTATATTTTAAAGTGTCATACTCAATATCGTTGAATCACGCTTGAACAGACATCGATCAGTAATATAGTAACGCCTGAAACAAGAATGGACCTGGATATCTGACGACCTGGTGTTACGATTAATCACGCCAATGGTCGCTGAGGACATCGACAGCCAACTTTCACCCTTCACGCAGATACTCTCGACAAGTAGTATGCCTGCCTGCTCTCCCTTCAAGTTTGTATATCGAAGTTGAAGCCCTTGATACAACAACTCCACATTCCAGCTGTGACACCCACGTAGCCCTTATGATTAGAGGTCGGTGTACCAGGTTGCCTGGGCACCTCCACTAACAGCAGACAGCTGGTTCGAGCAAGGATACTTAACAGCTTACTTGGCTGATGCCGTTGTATTGATTTATGCTGTCCGAGCTGATTTAGCAGACCCATGAGTGATTTGCAAGGATGAATGAATGTTCGACGACCAGTGACCATTATATATAGACTAGGGCACACACCCGAGGCAGTCAGAGATTTGATGCGCACGCACCGCTGCGATAGTTTATTTGGCGTACCAAGTTGTTGATTATGTAAACAAAAGTTAGAAATAGTTGGAATAGGACCCTAACGCCACAGGTATCTCCGAGACCTCCGTTATACTCAAACGGGTCGGAACAACAATGACGTTATAGTCATTCCGTTCCACACATCCGCAATTATATTGGCATCAACATCGTATAAAACGAAACATGGCACGCTGGTTATCACTGCTCACTCGAAATCTTCATTACATTCGTCGACTAACTCTTGCAACAAGCCTTTATCCATATATTCTACAAACCTCACCTCCCAAGTCGACAATGAATCAAGTTAACAACATCACCATAAAATTTATGGATGTCCCCGCCGAATTACTGTTGGATATTCTTGGTCACCTAGACGTATACGATCTGGTCCGAGCACGCAAAGTACGCAGAGTCTTTTTTGCCCAAATCACTACTAATGCAGAATCTCCAGGTATGCAGTGATATTCGACAACTCATCGACTCTTCCTCGGAACTTCAATACTTGATTGATGTCCGATACTTCAATGCGATTCCGGCCTCGTTACCTGGCGGCGACATCGCCGTTGCAACACGTCGTCAATTGCTTCAAAAAAGCGAAACTGCGTGGCAGGGAGCTGAATACTCTCAAAGAAACTCCATTCCGATGTCTTACTCTCCCGACAACTTTCGTTGGTCGTGCGGCGTTCTCGGAATCCCAGCGAAATCCATCGAGCAACTCAAGTTCATCCAGCCCTCACTGTCAGATGGCGACACCCACACCATCGACTTGCGACAACGCATTTGCAAAATCGACAGTACAGCATTCGAGGGTTATAGTTTTTCGCCCGCACAGGATCTTGTGGCTATCCTTTCCAAAGCAACCCGCGGGTGAGTGTCTTCTTGCATATGACCATGGACTATATTGACGACAACAGAGAGAGTCATGCATATGACATCACTTTCAGATCATTGTCTGAGGACAAACCCCATCCTGATGCTGGATCCCCCCTCGTGAAAGCGCTGGACAATCAGATCCATCCACAACTCTTCGAATCCCCCTACACGCAATCTATGATCTTCGGAGACTATTATGGCTTGTTCTGCAAATACGCTCGCAAAGTAGATTGTGATGTGGTCGATTTCCTGCAAATTTGGAACTGGAAATCCAAGGAAGCTTCTCAGGTGAGTCAAAGTCCCCTGTTTTGCTATGACTTACGACCAACTTGGATTTGCAGTGCCTCCAAATTTTTGACGTGGATTGCGGAACGACGAATTTCAGTTTTCTAACGAACGATAGATTCCTCGTCGCCGGCTCGAGGGAACTAAAGTTGTTCTCCCTCGACACTATCGATTCGGTCAATGTGATCCGGCTCGTTGCCAAATTCTCCTTCCCTGCATTGAAGGACCCCTTCATCTTTCACTACATCACCTTCAGTCCCATTCCATTCCACGCCAACACTCATAATCAGCTCATTGCTATCAACATGTGCATGTCAGCCCCCACAACCACCAAATCTCCGTATTTCACCTTCTATATCGAGCGGAACACCCTCTTGGAGCTCGAATCCACCTTCATCGGCCGTTATGGAGAAGCAAGCCAGGATTCTCCTAGTCTGCCTTGGTCCGCCTGGGGCCCAAAGTACACCCGATTCTTTGAAAATTCCTACAGCTCCTGCGCACACCGCATTTTCGGATTCCGTAGTGCGGAGTTGATTGGCGACCTTGTCTCTCGTGATGGGGTGCTACAGCCTCGACCATTGCGCATCCGCGACTTCAACCCTCATAGGGTGACGGACTTCAAGGCTGGGAACCTATCTACATCTCATCAACGACTTGTCGAAGGGGAATCACCAAATTCGACCCTTTTCTTGGATCCACTGGGACCTGGTCTCCCGTATATCGAAACGATTTCTCAAGAAAAGTTCCTTGCGAATGATATGACCATGGAAGCAAACAGGATAACGTTGTTATCCCTCAAAGTCGTGAGTCATCATCGGATACTGATTGTGGACATGGCACTTATAATAACGCAGGGAAACAGTATGTATGATACTTCACAGAGCATCGAAATGCTTGATTTCGAATAATCATTTACTACACCGAAACTGTTCAAGATACTTCAGTATCTCAATATATTTGATTGATTCATACTCAACGGACTCTGTGAGATGCGCATTGTGTTGCTATCCCATCAACATTCTCTCATTATCCTGGTCCTCGCAGACTATCTCAACATTGAACGGTTTGACCTGACAAGAATGTGCTTTGCTAATCGTCAAGCATGTGTTTTTGGTTACTCCGACTGGGTACCTTATACGCAGGAGCCACAGCCTTGGACTTGGCTAGATGAGGAGTGTACCAAGGGGAGTCAAGGAAAACTGGCGGTGGTGGCTTGTGGCATGTCTGTCATCTGGCACCGCCGCGGCCGCTCATGGTAAGTCAACGTTATCTGGTCACAAATGCATGGCCTCACACTGCCTACTTGCACTTCCAAGGAGCCAAGTTAAATCAGAGTTCTCGTGGTGAATTTCGGAAGTTGTTCGTGCTCTCAGAGTACTTGTATGGTTCATCCCAGCTTTAATGCAACTCAACCACGTGGGTGTCCTTCACCATCTATGTTTTTTTATTGACTCTCGGCTCAGGTTACCATGGCAGTGTAACCAGAAGTCTTATTCTCAGTCCGGTCTCCGTACATAGTTTGGCCCTTGCTGGAATTATTGGAGGGGTTGCTCTTGAAATTTGGGTTCTTTGGTTCATCCGCACGCACAAACTCAAGTCAAACGTCACGCTCGATGAATCTTCCCTTCTCCTAAGAGCTGACCTCCAGGTGAGGAATTTGTTGCCATTCATGCTCACCCAGCGTCGCAGGACTGATCGAAGAGGGCGAACAGAGGGATCATGCCAGCACGTTAGACAACGAGGGATTACTCTGTTCCATCTGTGCGAATATCGATTTCTATAAGATCTTCCTTAATGGCATCCCAGAGACGGAGGACATCCCGCTCGATCATCTCTCGTCCATCTTACGAAAATCCTATCAATGCAATTTCTGCCGCCTTATATCCTTTCATGATCGCCGAACATGGATGCTGGACAAGTTTCCTCACGTCGATATCTCAGGGATCGAGCGTAGGATGTTCACGAAACATTGTGGTTGTCTTCAGTTGGCCTCTTATCCCCCATCCAAATTCCGTTGCTAGTCTGTACAATTTCTGTATGTTGCTACCACGATCGAGTGTCAGGTGTCCTGTTCCAACTCGGAGCCTTGATCGGTTCGGAAATGACGTGACACTGAAGCCCGAAACATCCGCAGCACCTCCCCCCGTACTAGTACACCACCACTTAAAAAAATGTCATATACAACACACTGCGGGTTGTTATAAATTCGGAGTACAAATCTCTATTGTTAGAATGGTGAGCCACTTTGTTACTTCCACTGAGTCGACCTGTTTTGTGAACCTATTATGTAATGGTCGACGGGTCCTCCAATCCAGATTCTAGTGGGTCATCGAGAACGACATGAAGATTGACCTTGTTCTTCAGGTGTCGAAATGTCTTCGCACTCGTGTGTCCAAGGACTACTAACTTCTTGCCAGGGTGGTCATCAAGTTCTTGGCCTATACTATAGGAAGACTGTAATACATGATTCACACTGTCACACAGGTTTCATTAATAGTAGGCGCAGGTGTTCGGTCCGTGCCATGTGTATAAGTATAAGGCAGTGTAATCATGCACTCTAATCTCACCCTACCCGTCGCTCATCACAGTAAGTCATCACCTTTGTGTTCTGGAGTACTTGACGTGTTGCAAAGTAGCAAGGTCCCTGAATCTTGACTATCAGCAAGCCGGACCATTTCAATGGCGATTATTATTGCCGCATGCACTCTTATCATTATCTTAGCCAGCGTCTGGACAGTGAAACAACGATATCAGGCCGCAAGACGGTTGCCATTACCGCCTGGACCACCTGGACGTTGGCTATTAGGAAATACGATGCCAAAGTCATAGTAAGTCATTGTCAAAGGACACCAACATGATCTCTATCTAACCCCTCACGCAGTGCGCCATTTCAATTCGCCAGATGGACGGAGCAATACGGACCTGTGTTCTCGCTCAAACAAGGTCATAGGATTTTTATAGTTATAGGACGTCATCAGGTCAGCATAAAACATCTCATTGTCTAGCCAGACATGAAGTAGATCACATCATAGGCTGCAGTGGATATCATGGAAAAACAGGGAGCAAATGTTGCCGACCGTCCGCGTTCTATTGCAGTGCATGAGACATTGCTTGGCGGGTTGTCACCGCTCCTTGAGGGCCCTGGTGAAAGATTGCGCCGGCTGCGCAGGTACGCATCTTGTCTCTCCCAGGTGCGATCAGCGAGACTGAATGTAATGCAGGGTCTTGCATGCAGGCTTGCAACCCAAGGTTGCGGAGACCTACGAGCCCATCCAGACCAGGCATGCGAAGAATTTGATTCTAGATATCTTGAATGATCCAAAGAACCACCAAGGTCATGCCATGCGGTGCGAACACTATCTCTTTCTTGCGTGGTACAGGTGGTAATCCGAGGATTCTAGTTATTCAGCTTCTGTGGTCATGTCCTTCACCTATGGAAAAATTACTCCGACCTCATATACAGATCCTGAAGTTGTTGCCGTCAATAAGGTTCTTGCGCGTTTTGGTCAAGCTATGACGCCGGGAGCATATCTTGTGGATACGTATCCAATCCTGCGTTTCGTCCCAGGTTACCTGAGTCAGCTGAAGGCATGGCACAAAGAAGAACTTGCTCTCTATTATAGGCAGTTGGACGTGGTGCGAAGACAAATGGTCCGTGGTTTTCTTGTGATGATATACGTACTCACTCACCACTGTGAAGCATGAGGGGACTGCAAGGCCATCCTTTGCGAAGTTCATGTTGGAGCACCAGAAACAGTACCAGCTCGAAGATAAGGAACTGGGATACCTTGCAGGAGCAATGTTTGGGGCCGGTTCTGATACGGTGAGTTCTTGCATTGCATCGCGTGAGTCTTTGCTCGACAACTGTTGTAGACTGCGTCCGCAATCACAATTATGATGATGGCTGCTGCCACTCATACAGATGCGCAGGCTCGCGTACAAGAGGAGCTCGATAACGTCGTGGGGCGTACGCGGCGTAGGTTATGCCTTTTCTTTGTCCATCTACTGACTCATATAGCTCCTGATTAGTGCCGACTTTTGATGACCAGGAAATGCTGCCGCAGGTCACCGCGTTCATGCTCGAGAGTCTCAGGTGGAGACCTGTCACTCTTGGAGGTACGTCTTATTTGAGCTGTGATGACGTGATGATGATCGACCACCTTGCACTACAGGCTTTCCGCATCGCGCGATGGAGGACATCGTTTGGCAGAACTACCTCATTCCGGCAGGTGCGACTGTGATTGGGAACCATTGGTCAGTAGGCAATCATTTTCGTACCCTCACCGTTGGGTCTGACGCTCGTGCTTCAGGGCTATCGCAAACGACCCTGAAGTCTTCCCTGAACCACACAGGTTTAATCCCCAGCGTTGGATCGACGATGCAGGTCGTGTGCGCAGTGATCTCCGGTTTTTCACTTATGGCTTTGGCCGTCGGTGAGTGGCATCGTTCATCTCTCGATCCGTTCTCATTCCTTACTTGAAAATGTCAGAGTATGTTCTGGTCAACATGTCGCAAATCGGTCGGTCTTTATCACCACGGCTCTCACTCTGTGGGCTTTCCGCCTTTCTGAGAATCCTGGAGCGAAGATTGACACGCTTGCATTCTCTGACACTGCAATCATACATGCTGCTCCGTTTGAGATATGTTTTGAGAAGAGGATGGATGAGAACGTGATCAGGGAACTATGCGCATCGGGCAAATAAGAGGCATTTATTCCAGAAACTTGAATCTTCGTGCAAAGAAGTTTGTCTTGCATTCTGGAGTCTTTTCGTTGTCTATCCGACTCAAATTTCCCGCTACACCTAACTTTGTATATCTTCAAACAGGCACGATTATAATAATGAGCTTGTAGCCCTTGGTGTTACCACGCATCGAGTATCTCTCGATACACTCCAAATCGTATGGCTGATCGTGAATCGTTTACAGACAGCCCCCGAACAAAATGAAGTATGTGCTGAAGTCCTATCCTTTTATCATTCAATTATTCCGCCACCACCCATGCGATTTTTTTTAGCTGGCCAAAACGAAGAGCAGACAGCTTGACTTTGCTCTCAAATCTGACACGTGTCTCATTGGGTCCTTTCCAGTGTTATGGTTCCGGTCACGGTAGTCTTCAACGTGGCTGACAGCCCCATCAACTATATCTTTTACCTTCACTTCGAGGCACCTGTAAAGCACCTTAAGCTATGTGATATCTCTCGCTTAATTCTCACTCGGCACTTCAAAGGTGGTTTCAATTCGCACAACCTGTATTTTTCATCCATATATACGCGCGGGCGCTAGGTCTCGCATAGGGTAGCCTAGATCACTTGGATCACGGAGGGTCATGTACAAAACAATAACACCTTTGTTCCAGAGCTAATTCGATATTTTAGCTACCTGATATGAACATGGGCTATAAAACACTGACCTCGGACATTAGTCTTGATTTTCCTGTACCAGAACTTTGAGCGATCGAACAGAAATTAGCATAGTATGGCCTGTGCGTGCCACCACCCCTGAACTTCATGTTGTTATTTTCAGGTACTTGTAGAAACTGTCCGCAGCCTTCCCAACGTTCAGCGATGTGAGAGAACGAGCGCGTGTGACAGGCATGGCAAACTATTTCATGCGCCATGCGCATATCAAGCTTGTCTTTCAGGTGTTTGCCTTTTAGCAATTTACTGGCCGCGGAGACAGTTTGTAACATGATCGGGCTAAAGGTAATCACTTATGCCTAGTTGTAACTTGTTTGTCGTCAAAGAAGAGGAGTTATACTATCCCTTCCGGTGCAATCGGCACCCCAGGGAAGTCGGCAGGTCACACATTTTGGCAGGAAAACGTTACGCTTTTGTTACAAGTAGTCACATTCCGTCACACCAAACCCTGCGAAAAAGCGTGACTGCCGACTTCTGTGGGGTGGGATAGTAAGGCAAAGTTAGGCATAGGCGTAGTCAAGCGGCTACTGAAGTTGGCAACGATTTATTTTTAGAATGGTGACCCACTTTGGCTAGACTCGTGGAGTCGTGAGAGACGGTCACAGTACACTTTGGCACTTTCGCTTCCAAGTCGACTTCCATTATAATGTTTTGTAAACCTTTGATGGTGGACGGTCATGTGGCACAACCAATCCAATGGGTCATAGAGAACGACAAATCTTTGGATGGAGTTGATATGTTTTAGCATTCGCGTATCCGCTGCTAATCACGAGGGTAGTCATTAGGTTCCTACTATACTATAGGAAGACCGCAGTACACCACATCCGATTGATGGTGGAGGTGTTGAACTTGTCTTTGTACAAGTCAGTGCAATCGTGCATTTTAATCTCACCGTACCCATCGCCCATCACAGCAAGTCACTGCTATGTCACAACTCTGGAGTACTTAACATGTTGCAAAGTGGTGGGGTGCTGTAACTATCAGGAAGCCCGACCATTCAACAATGGCGATTATCATTGCATGCATCCTTATCGTCTTAACCAGCGTCTGGATTGTAAAACAACGATATCAGGCCGCAAGGCGGTTGCCCTTGCCGCCTGGACCGCCTGGACGTTGGCTATTAGGAAATACAATGCCAAAGTCATAGTAAGTCATTGGCAAAGGACACCAACATGATCTCCATCTAACCCCTCATGCAGTGCGCCGTTTCAATTTGCGAGATGGACAGAACAATACGGACCTGTGTTCTCGCTCAAACAAGGCCATAGGATTTTTATAGTTATAGGACGTCATCAGGTCAGCATAAAACATCTCATTGTCTAGCCAGACATGAAGTAGATCACATCATAGGCTGCAGTGGATATCATGGAGAAAGAGGGAGCAAATGTCGCCGACCGTCCGCGTTCTATTGCAGTGCAAGAGATATTGCATGACAGGTTGGGACTGCTCCTTGAGGGCTCTGGTGAAAGATTGCGCCGGCTGCGCAGGTACGCATCTTTTCTCTACCAGGTACGATCAGCGAGACTGAATGTAAAGCAGGGTCTTGCATGCAGGCATGCAACCCAAGGTTGCGGAGACCTACGAGCCCATCCAGACCAGGCATGCGAAGAATTTGATTCTAGATATCTTGAATGACCCAAAGAATCACCAAGGTCATGCCATGCGGTGCGAACACTAGCTCTTTCTCGCGCGGTACAGGTGGTAATCCGAGCATTTAAGTTATTCAGCTTCTGTGGTCATGTCCTTCACCTATGGAAAAATTACTCCGACCTCATATACAGATCCTGAAGTTGTTGCCGTCAATAAGGTTCTTGCGCGTTTTGGTCGAGCTATCCAGCCGGGAGCATACCTTGTGGATGCGTATCCAATCCTGCGTTTTGTCCCAGGCTACCTGAGTCAGCTGAAGGCATGGCACAAAGAGGAACTCGCTCTTTTTAACGGGCAATTGGACGCTGTGCGAAGACAAATGGTTCGTGGTTTTACTGCGACAAGCAATTTCCTTACTCGTCACTGTGAAGCGTGAGGGGACTGCAAGGCCATCCTTTGCGAGGTTCATGTTAGAGCACCAGAAACAGTACCAACTCGAAGATAAGGACCTGGCATACATTGCAGGAACGATGTTTGGGGCCGGTTCTGATACGGTGAGCTCTTACATTGCATCGCGTCTTAAGTTGACAACTGTTGTAGACTGCGTCCGCAATCACAATTATGATGATGGCTGCTGCCACTCATATAGATGCGCAGGCTCGCGTGCAAGAGGAACTTGATAACGTCGTGGGGCGTACGCGGCGTAAGTTATGCCTTTTCTTTGTCCATCTACTGATTCACATAGCTCCTTATTAGTGCCGACTTTTGATGACCAGGAAATGCTGCCGCAGGTTAACGCGTTCATGCTCGAGAGTCTCAGGTGGAGACCTGTCAGTCTTGGAGGTACGTCTTATTTGAGCTGTGATGACGTGATAATGATCGACCATCTTGCACTACAGGCTTTCCGCATCGCACGATTAAGGACATCGTTTGGAAGAACTACCTCATTCCGGCAGGTGCGACTGTTATTGGGAACCATTGGTCAGTAGGCAATCATTTTCGTCCTCTCACCTTTGGGTCTGACGCTCGTGGTTCAGGGCCATTGCAAATGACCCTGAAATCTTCCCTGAACCACACAGGTTTAATCCCCAGCGTTGGATCGACGATGCAGGTCGTGTGCGCGGTGACCTCCGGTTTTTTACTTATGGCTTTGGCCGCCGGTGAGTGGTATTCTTTATCTCTCGAGCATTTCTTATGCATTACTTGATAATATCAGAGTGTGTCCTGGTCAGCATGTCGCGAATCGGTCGGTCTTTGTCAACACGGCTCTTATTCTGTGGGCTTTTCGCCTTTCTGAGAATCCTGCAGCGAAGATTGACACGCTTGCATTCTCTGACACTGCAAACATACATGCTGCTCCGTTTGAGATATGCTTTGCGAGGAGGATGGATAAGAACGTGATCAGGGAACTATGCTCACCGGGAAAATAAGAGGCGTTTATTCTCGAAACTTGAATCTTGGTGCACAGCAGTTTGTCTTACATTCTGGAGTCTTTTCGTTGTCTATCCGACTCAATTTTCCCATTACACCTGACTTTGTATATCTTCAAACAGGCACGATTATAATAATGAACTTGTACCCCTTGGTGTTACTACACATCAAGTATCTCTCGATACACTCCAAATCGTATGGCTGATCGTGAACCGTTTACAGACAGTCCCCGAATAAAATGACGTATGGTGCTGACTTTTCCTTCAATTATTCTGCCACCACCCATGCGCTTTCTTTTTCTAACTGGCCAAAACGAAGAGCAGACAGCTCGACTTTGCTCTCAAAGTTGACACAGGTATCATTGTGTCCTTCCAAGTTTCATGGTTCCGGTCACGGTAGTCTTTAACGTGACTGACAACCCCATCAGCTATATTTTTTTACCTTCACTTCGAGGCACCTCTGAAACACCTTAAGCTATGTGATATCTCTCGCTTAATTCTCACTCGGCACTTCAAAGGTGGTTTCAATTCGCACAACCTGATCTTCCAGAACATGCCTGTCTTTCAACCCTTCTACGATCCTCCACGAACATCTGGTTTATGTATGTTCATGATGGAGTCTGAGAGAACGGACGTACCCGGAGATGAGTGACGGGCACAATCAAGCCATCTTCAGCTGAACGAGCCTTTTCGTATGTCTCAGTCTTACCCGTATGATAAAACTATACGCCCCGTCGTTGAAACATCTCAGTCTTTTCCACTGGAACTGAGATGTAAGCCCCTACGTTACTCTTCGGGCACTCGCGCTAATAATACTACCCACAGTATACATTAACAGGTATACTTGGCTTGAGCGCAGCCTGTATTTTCCATCCATATATACGCGCAGGCACTAGGTCTCACATAGGGTAGCCCAGATCACTTGGATCACGGAGGTTCATGTACAAACAATAACACCTTTGTTCCGGAGCTAGTTCGATGTTTTAGCTACCTGATATGAACATTGGCTATAAAACACTGACCTCGGACATTAGTCTTGATTTTCCTGCACCAGAACTTTGGACGATCGAACGAAACTTAGCATAGTATGGCCTGTGCATGCCACCACCCCTGAACTTCATGTTGTTATTTTCAGGTACTCGTAGAAACCATCCGCAGCCTTCCCAACGTTCAGCGATGTGAGAGAACGAGCGCGTGTGACAGACGTAGCAAACTATTTCCCGTAGTTCAGGGTATTGCTGGAGTATTTCCTGCGCCATGCGCATATTAAGCTTGTCTTTCAGGTGTTTGCCTTTGAGCAATATACTGGCCGCGGAGACAGTTTGTAACATGATCGGGCTAAGCAGTCAGTCCGAGGAATCTGATCTTCACGAAGGGGCCAGATATTTCAAGTACGGTTTGATCGATCTTGACATCACGTTGTTGCGGTGTAAGTGGCAGGAGTATCGTATGTAGGAAGTTGATGAACCTGGCTCGGCAACGAGGGCGTCGATGTATAATTGGTTGAAATTCTGAAGCTGTCCTGTTCGAAGGGATGAGGATATTCTTGATTTGAGCGGCGAGTCTGGGACCACCCGTGTTACTAGTCCGCGCTTCTATGCCATATCCCTAGGAGTATCATTCGAAGGGAGAGACAAAAACGAGACGCACCGAATACAGTTACGCGATTCCCACAAGGCATTACATAATTCTGGTTATGGCAATTACTAAGCGCCCACTGCTCCGAGCCTCTCGTAACGTTAACTGCCAATACACGCTTCAATGGCTATCTTACGCCGTTCGTGAAATCTCCCGTGCGACGTGGAGCGCTCACGTATCCAACATCGGTTGCCTGACACCGCTAGTCCGCGATACAGCCTAACCCAAAAGCCGTCAACTCGAATTTCCTTCTATGGTCCTGTTCAAAGCCTATATCTCTAAACAAGTTAGCAGCGGTTCAATCAGTCACCAACCACCCAAAGGCTATCAGTCATGATAGCGATTCATAACGTTCACAACCGTGACTTTCACAGCCCAGACCATCACATTTCCTATGCATGTCGGCAATAGGAACGGATAGCACAGCGTTAGCTGAGAGGAGAGAATGCTATATAAATTCCGGTTTCTGCGCCGTCATGCTTCTCTCGTTTTTTCATTCAAAAACGCCTTTCGTTTCTTTTGTCTTGGATCATTACTTGTATATATCTCTAGGGTGCAGGCCATCTTTCTCGAGGTCATCATCCATACTAAGAGACTTACATGCCAGCCACTACCATGTCCTCCTGGATCTCGTTCTCCGACATCTTTTATTTTACTCGCAATGCGAGAAAAACGCCTCTCATCCCAGAGGGCTTCGTCCTTGAAACACCTTTGGAGTCCAAAGCCACTATGGCAATCCAGCTCAAGCCAGAGTCTCCAACATCCCGCTCAACACTTCCCACCATTTCCAAATCAACGGTACCTTTGCCTGCGTCTTCCACCCCGCAGACACCCCTGGAGCCAGTCGTTTTCATAGGAAATAACAGCACTGAAACCCTTGTCAACGTTGTTTCAAAGCCCGGGTTTCCAACCTCAATTCTGCAGCTCTACCCATCTGTCAATGAGGCTGCGCACACCCGACGCATATCGTTCGCAGATTGTGCCACACCTTCGCGTCCTGTGAAGCCTGTCAACGTCATTGACGTGGGCCAGGTCTCGTCCAAGCCCTCCGCGGCCGCAGTGGAAATGCCTGAGCAAGCAAAACCTCTCAGAGAGGACGTCCCCAACACGGAAAAGAAATCAAAGAGGAAGAGCATCATGCGGAGTATGTCCTTGCTTGGCCCTCGTGCACCCGGCACGAAGGCGCGCCGCTTCTCGGTCCCTGTCTTTTCTTCGCTGACGGATGGCATGAATAAGCGGGCAAACAAGCAGCCGTAGGCCGCTCAGTCCAGGGCGAGGGGAGGAGCACCGGAGTATCACGATAGCTTAGGAAGTGAATTCTGCAGAAAGGCGCACCGATGTTCGAGCACCACACATGCTATCCTTTATCCTATGATATCTATAATTCAACCTTAATCATTAATTACCCACATGTTGTACTAGGGTGGTCCATTCACTATTGCGAACTACTTTGGCTTACATCGCAATCTGGACAATGGTTTAGCATATACATCATTCAAGACACTGTAGTTCTATAGTAGGGTATGGTTCTGGAATGGAGGAGATATGATACACATGATTAGCATACGGACCGTTTATTTGATTATCATACAGCCGCACGCAGCTAGGTTCGCTGCGCATATCGACTGCGGTTCCGGATTCGTTCCCCATAATTCAGGGTCTGCAGGTACAATCAATAGCGGCGACAGGGAAAGGAACAAGAGCGGAGACTTGATCGCAATTTTGAATCTCAGTGCGCTGTATATCGTTGGAGCAGATGACAGAAAGCCGAAGCCAGCTAATGACCGCAGAAAACAGACGGCAGCCAGCGCTGACTACGAAAGGCGTTAGATAGGTGTGATCGAACGCATGGGGAAAGCATCAAAAGTAGTACGAGGCGTTAGATAGGTGTGATCGAACGCATGGGGAAAGCATCAAAAGTAGTACGAGGCGTAAAGCAATCGACGATGTCAAGCTGTACGCAGTGATAATTTAAGATGATACCTGCTCCCATGAGGGCGATGCCCTGTTGAAGCGTCATTAGAGGAACAGCACCGTCAGAATGAAACTAACCGTGACAATATCCGGAAGTATGGGGTTTGTGGCATTCTGTCGAAGGTAGTATAGATCCGGTGAGCATAACAGCTGATGGCACGTCTGCGCGTTGATCATGCTTTGACAGGGCTATCTCGCTCGACCCGAACGTCTATCCCAACCCTGACAAGTTTGATTCCGAGAGATGGCTCGACGAAAAAACCGTGAAAGACCTCAAGCTCAAGTTCCCTTCATACGGTTTTCGATGCAGGTATACCTTTTCCTGATAAACCACGTTGTGCCGTAGTATTGAAAAACGACATGCAAAATCTGCCCCGGGCGACACATTCCGAATTGCTCGATCTTCATACCTTTTATGGTCGTTAAAGATCACACAGGACCCGGAGAATCCTATTGACCATTTGGGCTTTGTGGATGGCGTAATTGCGCACCTAAAACGCTTCGCTGCGCGCTTCGAGCCACGGTTTGGAGAGGAGGCGTCGTTGAAGTATGGAGAGGGGTTGTAGGACCTTGCAGTGATGTATCACGTATGTATATATGAGCTTTGGGGTGTGGTATTATTTTCGTGCTGAGGGCTGGTATTTTGGCACAAGTGCCCTACAGCGTGAAGGATATTTAAGACATTCTTGTCAGTGTCTGAAATAGATGTTACATATCTCCATGTGCGCAATCCAAGACAATGGGACAACACACTAGACAAGGCTGGTGATGGTATTGATGGTTGACGTTAAGGCCTAAGGCCTAAGGTGGGAGTAACGGTGTGCCTTGATAGAGGACGTTATGTAATCAACATCAGGTCATAGGGAGTTCAAGTTCGGTTCAGTGATGTCCCCCCATATTGTCAATGCACGCGTTTTCCTGAGCTCGCTGGCAAGGGCTTGCAGCAGATTGACGGTAAAACAAGCCTGCAACATTTGTGCGATCTCATGTATTCACCTTGCGACGTGCACAGGTACTTTACAAGTTGCAACTTGCACCTAGCGGCCTCATATAGTTTTCCAACAGAGCCTCGATCTCACCGTGGCCTTCCAGTTCGCCGTTGAATTCCTGGGATCGCTGACCACTCACCGTGTCATTTCTCTCAAGTAGCGGGTCTTCGGTGTACCAGTACTGCAGTTTCAACTCGCCAAGTGTGTATTGACCCCGATCTCACTTCATCTTGCGCTCAATATGAGACCTTTTACAGCATCACTACTAGCCTAGTGTATCGAGCTGGGTTGCAGGTTTATCCTCCAGGCTATTCAATTCCATTCTTATTTCTCAACAACTTTGCACTCAGCCTCGGAGATAATTCCAGCAGCGTGGCATCATGTCTGACCTTGACGAGGCCATCAAACTGCGTCGGGATGTACTGCTCCTCTGTCCCCCCGGTCATCCAGATCGATCCTCGTCTCTGAACAATCTCGCAATCAGTCTTATAGACAGATTCCGGCAGCGTGGCATCATGTCTGACCTTGATGAGGCCATCGAGCTACATCTGGATGCATTACTCCTCCGTCCCCCCGGTCATCCAGATCGATCCATGTCCCTGAGCAATCTTGGTGCCAGCCTTCGAAACAGATTTCAGCAGCGTGGGATTATGTCTGACCTCGATGAGTCCATTGAGCTGCATCGAGATGCATTACTCCTCCGTCCCCCCGGTCATCCAGATCGATCCTCGTCCCTGAACAATCTTGCAAACACCCTGGGAGACAGATTCGAGCAGCGTGGGATTATGTCTGACCTTGATGAGTCCGTCGAGCTGCATCGGGATGCATTACTCCTCCGTCCCCCCGGTCATCCGAATCGATCCATGTCTTTGAATAATCTTGCAAACAGCCTTCGAGACAGATTCCTGCAACGTGGGATCATGTCTGACCTTGACGAGGCCATCAAGCTGTATCAGGCTGCATTACTCCTCCGTCCCCCAGGTCATTCAGATCGATTCTCGTCTCTGAACAATCTTGCAAACAGCCTTGGAGACAGATTCCAGCAGCTTGGGATCGTGTCTGACCTTGATGAGGCCATCGAGCTGCATCAGGATGCATCATTGCTCCGTCCCCCCGGTCATTCAGATCGATCCTCGTCTCTGAACAATCTTGCTATCAGCCTCCGAGATAGATTCGAGCAGCGGGGCATGATGTCTGACCTTGATGAAGCCATCGAGCTGCATCGGGATGCATTACTCCTCCGTCCCTGCGGTCATCCAGAGCGATCCTCGTCTCTGAGTGATCTTGCACTGAGCCTTCGAGACAGATTCCACCAGCGCGGCGCCCAGTCTGACCTTGATGAAGCATTTAGCTTATATTCTCAACTCTCCCACCTATCACATGCAGCATCTCGCTCAGATCTTCGTGTTGCTAAATCATGGGCGGCCTTCGCTGACACCCTCAATCACGCCTCTGCATTGCTTGCCTATAAGACTGCACTGAAATTCCTCGATCAGCAGGTTGCTCTCTTGTCGCCTTCTTTCCATCATTTCGATGTCTTCAGGGAGGCTGTTTCTTCCCTTGCCACAGATGCTTTTTCATGCAGTGTTCGTCATGGTGCGCTGACGACTGCGGTGGAGCTGGTGGAGCAAGGTCGTGCAGTGTTCTGGACCCAGTTGGCACGCTTCAGCACGCCACTGGATGAACTTTCCGTTTCAGGTGACACCGGCGCGGCCTTGGCAGAAGAGTTCAGACTGTCGAGTTTTCGCCTTCGTAACGCGTTCGATCAGTCTACTGAAGACCAGTCTCTGCAAATCCGGCAACTTGCCATGCAATGGGATGACGTGGTTTCACGGATCCGCATGATTCCCGACTTTTCTCGGTTTCTCCTCCCTCCCCTTTTCTCCGACCTACAGAAGGCAGCTGAAGACGGTCCTGTCATCATTGTCAATACTAGCCAGTATTGCTGCGACGCCTTGATTGTCCTGAGCGATCAAGATCCTGTCCACGTTCCAATCGGTATCACGCACACCGAAGTTTCTGATTTGTCCTCCGAGTTTCAATCCCTTTCAAAACAATTTGGTTCTCTTGATGCTCAACTCAAGCTTGTCAGCATCCTTCGTAAACTTTGGCATGGCGTCGTTGGCCCCGTAGTACAAGCCCTTGAGGTATCAAATATTCGCCGTGGTTCGCGTATCTGGTGGTGTCCCACTGCTGAGTTCGCGCTGCTTCCTTTACATGCAGCAGGAGCTTATGAGAAGAAAAGAGATTGTTTGTCTCACATCTATATCTCCTCAGTACACCCCCACTTTGGCAACTCTTGTTCGTGCGAGACAGCAGGTTTCACGGGATGCGTCCCCGCAACATTTTGTTGCCATTGGTCAAGGAAACCCCGATGGAGGGAAGCCACTTGAATGTGTAGCTCCCGAGATAGCCGTTGTCGCCAAGCGTCTCGTGCCCGCCGTGTCGTCCTTCACGTTGCTCGAGGACAGCGACGCAACGGTCAAGGGTGCATTGGATGCGCTGAACCATCACCAGTGGCTTCACCTGGCCTGCCACGGTATGCCGAATCGACGACGACCATTTGAATCTTCCTTCGCGATGCGTGATGGGCCATTGATGATCAAGGACATCATCCGATACAACTGGCAAAACCTGCAGTTTGCGTTCCTATCGGCTTGCCACACTACCGTGGGCGATGAGAAGAGTCCCGATGAATCGATCCATCTCGCTGCCGCAATGCAATTCTCCGGATTTCGTAGTGTGATCGGTTCCATGTGGTCTGTCAAGGATGATGTCGCACAGGAGGTTGTGTCTGGTTTTTACGAGAACCTGATCGATGATTCAGGGAGATTGGACTGCACGCGCGCTGCAACGGCGTTGCACAAGGCTTTGAAGAAATTGCAGCGCAGTGATATTCCATTGGAACAGCGGATTGTATTTGTTCACATAGGTGTGTAGTTGGAGACTTGATTCGCTATATTATCCCATTTGCTGTATTTGTTAGTTGTTTTCATCCCCTCGCTCTGTTGTTGCTTACTTATTTCTGCACGATACTTTGTTATTCTGTACTGTACTAGTGTCACACGCTGTCTCGCTGAATGAATCTGATTTAGTCCTGCATCGTCACAGTCCTGAGTTATTAAGTGTAGTCGTAGAATATCATCCGGTGAGTGGTGCTACTGGCAAACTACGCTTGCTGCCCCCATGATATATGTGATAGACACCATTACACTGCACCATGCCGGATCCTCTGTGACAACATCAAATATGAGAAGACTCTACCAAAATACGAGTAAGATAGACTATCATCATATGCATGGCTGGAACATGTATGCAGCAGAGCACTGAACAAAGTCGCAAGCGAAAGAATATTGCTTCAAGAAGGAGGGTGCTCCAGACTAAGCCACACGGGTTGTGCTCCAACGTTCTAGATAATGACATCCCCGATGTGTTACGAACAACAAAAGCTGCAAGACGTTCCTACCGCATCGTGACGAAATTCACAGGACCGCGTACTGTTAGCTCGTCGGTCTGTCCGTCCATTTGAACCGCTTTGCTATCGTCGGTGTCGTTGATGCGCATTTCGTAACCATCAAACGACTCGAGATGGGTCAGATATAGCTCACCAAGCCAAAGCTATACCACATTAAGGTTGCAACGTTGAACGACGAACGAAGCCTTGAGGTTCTACGTCATCTGGACTTCGGCTTTCCAATACTCCATTTCTGTTTTGGACATGAACATAAACCTTCGCTTTCCTTTCCAACAAGACGGGGGCGTCACGAGCTAAATAGAACGAAATATCACTCACTTTCTTGCAGTCCAAACAATGCAAGGATTTTCACAGCCGCGTCAGGACTCAGCAATGAAAGGTTGGTGGAAAAATCAATACAACCACCCATCTCCAGGTTGAGCGTTCAGCAATTGATCCTGGGGAGGAGTTAAATGAAGTTGTCAGTCCACCCCGACCGTGCTCAATCTTCCGGGTAACTGCAGAACTGAGAATACGTGCCTGTAAATAAACTGAACCGCAACAGGTCGAGCTACCAAGTGACTCGGCTGAGTCGGCCCGTCTGGTGGTCAAACATGCCACGGTCACTCAGTTTGAAATTTGAAATTTGACCTATTTACCGCGACGAGCTTGATGAGATCTGAGACGGGGCCGCCGCATGTGCTGAGAGAGATGCTGTATTTATATGCCGCAACAAACAACGCGGTACTCTCTATGGGCTGTCCTGTGGGGTAGTGACTGCGAGGAAAGGGAAAATACTTGGGTACGAATAACCGATCTGTTTTGAGGTGTTGACTCGGATTCTTCCTAGCTTGCGCTTGCATCCGAATTGTGTCCACCTCCACATCCTTCCTTCTCGGACACCCCCCTCCGCTCGTCACCCAACCTGCCTACATGTGCTGAGAAAATGTGACCCATGCATGCATCCGGAGTGCGGGACGTGGCCAGCTAGGAATCATTCTCAATATCAATGTTGATTTGAACGTTAAATACACTAGAACTCTGATTAATCCGAGTCGGATGACCAAGCGTCACATGAAAGGTTATCAATCATCCGGGAACTCGACTTCCGCTAAACTTCCGGCACATATTAATAAGGATAGTGCAGTCATAAGCAACCTTATCTTTCCCCCCAAACACTTCATCATGCCGACCGTCCAACTTCCATGCAAGGTTCTCGTCTCTGGCGCGAACGGCTATATCGCGGTCTGGGTTGTGCGCACCCTTCTCGAGAAAGGGTACTCTGTCCGTGGAACAGTTCGGTCTGAGGAAAAGGCAGTACACCTCAGGCAACTGTTCAGCTCGTATGGTGATAAGCATGAGGTCGTCGTTGTTGAAGATATCACAAAGGTGCTCATACTCAAGAAAGTGATCGCGCGGGACCTTACGGTGATGTATTTCAAATAGGAAGGAGCCTTTGACGAGGCAGTTAAAGGCGTTGATGCTATTGAGCATACAGCCTCCCCTTTTCACATGAATGCAGATGACCCGGATGGTACATTGTCACAAATTAATGCGCTGATCTCTATTCACCTGTTTCTAGAACTTATCATTCCCGCAGTTAATGGCACAGTTGGGATGCTGAAGAGCGCTCTCAAGTATGGGTAGGTGCTTCGTCGTCGCCGAAGATGTGCACTGTTAATTGATGCGCGTCAGCCAATCCGTCAAGCGTATCGTGATCACTTCATCGGGAGCTGCGGTTCTGCGTGACACGACAACGCCATTCACTTTCTCCGAACTGAACTGGAATGAGCAATGTCTGGAAATTCTGAAGGAAAAAGGTCGTGACGCGCCTAATATGATGAAGTATCGTGCTTCGAAGACTCTCGCTGAGAAAGGTACGGGCTATCAAGCATACTTATCGTGGAAGTGGCGATTCTCATATTCTTACAGCGGCCTGGGAGTTCTGGAACAAACATAAAGCCAGTGTTGGCTGGGATCTCACTGTCCTTAACCCACCTTATGTGAGTTTTTTCAATGTCAGGAAGTTTAACCGGGACGAGCTCACCCATTTCTCAATGATAGGTCTTTGGGGTATGTCATAGACGTGCTTCTCGTTGACTTTCCCTTAGTTAACCTACTTCCATAATAGCCCGCTATCAATGAAGCCACAGCACCATCCGGATTGGGCACGTCCTCAAAACTATTCTACAACTATGTCGCCCAACCAAACTCTAGCGGAGCAACAAACGAGTTCCTTGCTTCCTTCGGTACAACCTGGATCGACGTGCGTGACCTTGCGGAAGCGCATGTCATCTCGCTCGAGAAGGAAGCTGCAGGTGGCGAACGAATTATCGTCAGTGCAGGTACGGTAGTTCCGTCTATCCAGCAATGATCGTGCACTTACCTTTCTCCAGGACTTTGGAAATGGCAAGATTTCAGTAGGTGCTATCCGTTGCTGTTGCTTTATCATTCACATGATATCTTGTAGTTGACGCTGCTAATACAATCTCGCCGCCACCGAAACTCGCCACAGGTGGTCTACCGAAGGGTAACCCCGGTGCTGGTACTGGACACCCCTCCACAGTGCACTTCCTTCAATACGACACCTCGAAGGCTGCGCGAATCCTGGGGCTCAAGTACCGAACTATGGCAGAGATGACGAGGGACACGCTGGCAGACTATGAAGCAAAGGGATGGTAATGCATTCTATACAAGAACCCGAGATAAGTTGTATGTAGCGTCATGGATGAACAAGAGAATGAAAGTTTCTACACGATCAATACTAGTAGATACATGTGAAGCACAGGCAGTGGGTAGGCTCAAAGGTTTTGGCACTGAGACGAGCAGCTCGAATTACCAACAACTTATACGTGCGTTCTAAGTAATATCGTGATCTGAGAACACACTTATAAGTTGTCGGTCTCACGCCGCATTTTCCGGGCTGTTATTGATCTATACCGTATACGCGCTGAGAGAACTAGCGGGGAGAGACGCTAGGGTACATGAGTGCGAGTGCGATACGAGTGTCACCTCAGTATGCATAGAACAATACTGAGGTGTGCTACAGGCCGATACGAGCTATATACGAAAGATAAAGTGAGCTTAGGTAATGAACCGGCGAAGAAGTTAGCGGAGGGCTCGTATGGTCAAGAAGCAAGAAGTTCGAAGACGAGTGCGCTGCATGTGATGTCGATAGCGATAAGAACAAGAAGGTAATGCGATGTCTAAAAGGTAAATCGTCATCTACCGTCAACATACCGAACGTATGTCCAAGGCCCGAAGGATCAGTCCTTGTAAATTATTGATTTGCACGAACAGAGTCTATCCGAGGTCCGTTGATGATAGAATTTCAGGCTTCAAGCATTTAGCACTCTGGCCAGATCTATGCGAACCTTTTCTGTCCGAGTTGAGCCGGTTGGATGAATGGTTCTCCCCCACCTGAGATAGCTAGTTCCAGCTCATTCCTGGATGCACTTCTCGGATGTCCTGGAGAAAATGGCCAGTTACACTGAGACAAGTGAATGATATGACTTTCATGTTTGCGTGGTGGTGGGCGCCGGATGATTTTAGGTATATGCCTTTTGAAGAACAGAGATCGTCGGGAGTTTTGGTCTGTACGTTAATGGATACAGACAAGACTCACCTTTATGCTTGTATCATGTATTCAAGCCCACAGAAGCAAACAAGACGACACACTTGCGCACCAAGAACAAACCACTTGATCGGCGCAATCGCATCGTTGCTCTCCGAGTCGTTGATTACGGTTAGTACCTTCAGGATTTGAAGAGGTCAGAAGGACCATCAACCAATGGTCCTTCTGATATCTTCAAATTCCGATGTCTGGATACCTAGATTTGCGCATGCTGCCAGTTTGGATTGGTCCTCAAAATGTCAAGTTGCAAAAGATCGTGCTGATTTTAGAACCGTAGCCTAGGTAGATGTTTGTTGACACATATTAGGATTAGAAGCCGTTGACAGACAAAGCCAAACAGCCATATACGTAAGTGACTCTACATGAGTCGGCCATGAGCCATATTACATCAATCAATTTCTGTTTTTAGACCGCTTTTATCACCACGCCTTTTCAGCACAGAGTTTTGGTCATGATTGCTTGAGTGCTGAGGTCCACAGGACCCTCATACACATCTAGCATTACCCACGCGCCGCGCGTTCTTGCCTTTCATCCATATTGATCACAATGGAAACAACTGAAGAACTCCAACAACTCGAAATCACAGCGTTAAAATCCATTTATGATACAGATTTCTTTGAGCCCCCACCGCCAAAGGCTTGGAAGGTCTGTCTGTTCGTCTTATTGAGCTAGTTCGTAAATGTGTATGTGTATGTGCATGTCTAGGGAGCCACCAGATTGCCCGAATTCATCATCAAAGTCACACATCCCGATCCAATCCATGCCTCCAAGGTCTACTTCCATTTGCATATCAAGTCAGACGATCCTAGTGCTCATATATATATCCGTTCTAACAAACGTCTTGTTAGACTACC